CGTCGCGTCCTGTCTCGCCTGTCCGTTCTGGTTGGTCCGGTCGTCGTGTTCCTCGTCCGCGTCAGCCGGACCTCGTAGTCCGTCGTCCTTCCTCTCCTCCGCAGCGTGTTCCTCTGCCGTCTCCTCCTGCGTCTTCTCTGCCTGTCGTTGCGGACCCTGAGTCTGACCGGTTTCGTGCTGAGCACCCTACTGTCACGTGTCTGCTAGCCACTGTTGTCACTGACCCGTCGTTTGAGTCTGCTGCTGCGTCTGCCTTAGTCGCTGAGCTTGTTGACTTTGCTGCTGCCTGTCGTCTAGACTACGCCGCTAGTCTTGTTGCTGAGTCTGAGTCTGTCTGTCCTCCGTCCGTCGGGGGTGAGTGTGCTCTTGGCACGGACGTCCTTGAGGACAGGCAGGAGGACCTTGAGTGTCTTGCAGCCGCTGCGCCTCATCTCGTGTCCATGCTGCTTGCCCCTGAGGGAGACCCGGATGCTCCTGACTTCCCGACCCCGCGCTCTTACGCTGAGGCGATAGCGGGTGAGTACTCCTCTCAGTGGCAGACAGCCATGGACGCAGAGATGGCATCCTGGAAGTCCACAGGCACTTACGTCGACGAGGTTCCCCCACCTGGGGCGAACATCGTCAGTGGCATGTGGATTTTCAGGGTGAAGCGGCCGCCGGGTTCTCCGCCTGTCTTCAAGGCGCGTTACGTTGCACGAGGTTTCAGTCAGCGAGAGGGAGTAGACTTCTTCCAGACCTTCTCCCCCACCCCGAAGATGACCACTCTTCGGGTGCTGCTGCACGTTGCCGCTCAGCGTGACTACGAGCTTCACTCTCTTGACTTCAGCACAGCCTTCTTACAGGGCAGCCTGCACGAGGAGATCTGGCTGCGCCGCCCACCTGGCTTCACTGGGTCGTTCCCTCCAGCCTCCGGCGGCCGGTCTACGGTCTCCGCCAGGCGCCACGTGAGTGGCACGACACACTGAGGACGACACTTGCGGCTCTTGGGTTTGCTCCGTCGACTGCTGACCCGTCGCTGTTTCTGCGCACCGACACTTCGCTGCCGCCGTTCTACATCCTCGTGTACGTCGACGACTTGGTCTTTGCCACTGCTGACACTGAGGCTCTCGCCCTGGTGAAGTCGGAGCTGCAGAAGAGACACACGTGCACAGACCTGGGTGAGCTGCGCAGCTACCTTGGCTTGCAGATCACCCGGGACAGAGCACGCCGCACCATCACACTGACTCAGTCACACATGGTGCAGCAGGTCCTTCAGCGCTTCGGCTTCACCTGGTCCTCGGCACAGGCCACTCCTCTGGCTACAGGTCACTCGCTCTCAGCTCCACCTTCGGACGAGTCCGTAGAGCCGAGTGGTCCTTACCCAGAGCTAGTGGGCTGCCTCATGTACCTGATGACCTGCACTCGTCCTGACCTTGCGTACCCTCTTGGCCTTCTGGCTCGCTACGTGGCTCCTGGTCGACACCGAAAGGTGCACATGGATGCTGCTAAGAGGGTACTGCGCTACTTGTGCAGTACATCGGGCATGGGGCTCGTGCTTGGAGGACGGGGCGACGTTGTCCTCACTGGGCACTCGGACGCTTTTGGGTTGACGACCAGGCTACGCAGCGGTCGTCACAGGGTTACACCTTCAGCCTTGGCTCTGGCTCTGTTTCTTGGCGGTCTACACGCTCGTCCTCTGTTCTCGGCTCCAGTTGTGAGGTTGAGATCTACGCCACAGCCATGGCTGCACAGGAGTTACGCTGGCTCACCTACCTGCTGACCGACTTGGGCGAGCCGCCTCGTTCTCCTCCAATGCTGTACGTCGACAACAAGGCCGCCATTGCCTTGTGTCAGGAGCACAGACTGGAGCACAGAACGAAGCACATCGCTCTGCGCTACTTCCTTGCTCGAGAGTTGCAGCAGCGTGGTCAGCTTCGTCTTGCTCACGTGGCCACTCGGGCCAACACTGCTGATATATTCACCAAGGCGCTTCCGTCTGGTGATCATCAGCGTTTCTGCACTCTGTTAGGCCTTGTGCCCACGTTTCCTCACTTGCTGTAGACTTTGCTTGTACTGTGATCTATATATATACCTGCATGCTTGCTCTGCTAGGTAGAGATCACTGTGCTGTTGTTGTTGCATATATACCTCTGCATGTGAACTGGCTCTGTGGCCCTTTGCTTGTGCTCAGTGTGTGTGGTGACGTTGTGATCCACCCTGAGCTTGCTTTGCTTTTCTTGACTGGTCTTGTGACCCCTTGCTCTCCCCCACTTTGCCTATGGGGGTGTGTCAAAGTATATGCATGTTATATATGTGTAGGCTGTAGTGGGGTAGCCAATATGGGGTACAACCCCTTTTAGGGTTTCATACTTGTACCCAACTCTTTCATAGTTCATTCATTCCTGTCTCTAGATTCTGACACTTTCCCGCCCCCTCTCTCTTTGTCGCACGCTCGCAGCAGACGCACACACAAGGGACGCACTGCGCACTTCCTCTGCATCCGTGTGCGCTGCCGCGGCGTTCGTAAGAGCTTGTGTTGCAATCTGCCATCACTCCATGTGTGACCAATCTTTTACTGCATCCACGTGTCAATGTACTACCTCAATCCACCGCAACTCACCACCTGCCACATCACACCGCTCCTTTCCCCCTTCCCACCCCCTCTTTCCCTGCCCCATCCCCGCCACCAGTCCTGGGCAACCACGACTACTACGGCAGCGGCACGGAGTGGACGCATATCTAAATGGTCACGATCACAACATGCAGCATGTGAAGAAGGATGACAGGTACATGCACATGCTTCCCTGAGATAGGGGGATGTGGAGGGTGTGGGGTGTCGGTCATGCAGTGAGGTTTCTCCTCTGCACATGCACCAAGGAGAATCCTCACTGCATTCTATTTGCCTTCTCGCATTCGCACCACTCACCTCACCATTCACCCCTCTCCCCTTGCCTTCCACCTAATCTCTCTCCTTCCTCCCAACCCCTCTCCCTCTTCTCCGCCCATTCCAGTCCAGTGCACTATTTCACGGTGGGGGGTGGATCCAAGGCATGGCGCAGCGACGCCCCCTTAGAAGCCCCCGGGTTGCGCTTCTACTTCCCTGGCCAGGGTTTCAGTGCGCTCCAAGTGGACAGGGAGAGACTCTCAGTGGCCTTCTATGGGGTGGATAGCCAACAGATGTACTCCACTACTCTAAAGAAATGAGGGCTCGGCCAAGGCTGCAGTGCACTGCATGTGGATAGGGACCGCCTTACAATCTCATTCTATGGCGTGGAGGGCCAGCAGATGTACTCCAAAAAAGCTCCAGAGAAATGAGGGCCCTTTGCAGTTGCAAGGTCGTACAAACTCATTGTCATTTGTATCACCATTTGCTTCAGCTAAGTTTATTGTGTAAGCTCCAAGTCCAAGCCCAGTCTAGTCTGGGAGCTGTCACCTCAAAGCCCTGGATTCCCAAGAATCCAACGCAGGCTCTTTGCAACGCATGTGATGTGCATACCGTACCTACTCAGATCAAATGCAGAGAGACGACACTAGGGAAAGGGGAGTGTGCGTGTTGGGAGAAGGATCTGGTAGCTGGGTGGGACAGTACAGCTACCCACTGTTCAAGCCTTGAGTCGCTTGGCATCTGCATCCGGCACACTCGCATCGTCCTCCCCCGCCTGCATGCAATGGGGGCAGCACCGCACAGCACCGCATGTGCATCGGTCAGGAGGCGTACAAGAGCAAGTCGCATTGGCAGAGGCCATAAGCATGCTGAAAATGCATTAACTGATACCGTAAGTGGAAGTGTGGGGTGACAGGAGTTGATGAAGCGGGTCACTGCAGAATGCATGAAAGGCAGTCAATTCAAGGACAGTGTACTGGAAGCACGGCATTCCAAGCTCTGCATTCACCATCAGAGCCATCCGAGTGAGCACTCACACAACAGGGGCTCATGTTCCTCCACTCGCCCCCCATCCCCTTCCCCGCGCCCCCCCAGTCCATCCTCTTTCCCCCTACTTTCTCCCACCCACCTTTTCTCCCGGCACGACGGCGTAGCGCTCAGCAGGCGACACCCACGTGGCAGCGGCATCCGGCACCTCCGCATGCGCTGCTGCCGCCACGTCCTTCTTGCCGCCCGGCCCGCTGATGTGGCGACACCTGTCACCGTCCGCGCTTATCGCCTCCACTCGCTTGGGCAGGTTCCTGGGAAGTGGGCCGGGGGGAGAGAGTGCATGCAGGCATGAGCGGCAACCGCCACGAGGCTTGTCTGCAGCACTGCCCTGCACGTGGGGCTGTGGCACATGGTGCAACCCTGGGCCGCACGCCTACCCCGCCCAAGACAGCGTCATGCCACACGAATTCTAAAGCATCTCAGCACACAGCAGCAGCCCCACACTCCCACCTGTCCTCGCCACACAGCAGCAGCCCCACACTCCCACCTGTCCTCGCCACACAGCAGCAGCCCCACCCTCCCACCTGTCCTCGCCACACAGCAGCTCCCCCACCTGTCAGTGTTATCACCATGACCCAGTTGCCCGCTGGTAGCGCGCCCCCAGGAGAACACGTTGCCCCCCTCACCTCACTCAACACCACCGTGTGCTGATGCCCCATGAGGTACACGACGAACCCCTCCGCGATAGCACCATGCTATAAGGACCAACACACAGCAGCAGCCTCACCTGTCGGTGGTATCCCCGTGGCCCAGCTGGCCGCTGGTGGCTCGCCCCCAGGAGTACACGTTGCCCCCCTCACTCAACACCACCGTGTGCCTCCACCCACACGCCACCGCCACCACCCGCTGCCGCCACAGGGTTTGGAAACATAGGGAGAAAGGGAGGTGGGGAGGAGGGTGAGGTGGGGCACAGGGTGAGGCAGTGAGGCGGAAGAGCAAAGGTGGGGAGAAGATGTGGATGTGGCGAGATCGGGACCAGTGCAGCAACCACAGGGCCACGCTTGCTGTGGCAGCCCAATCATCTTCAATGCTCGTCCCCTTTACCATTCCTGTTCCCCCTACCCATCCCAAGAAACACCCAGCTGACCTCGGAAATGCTCTCTATCCGCTGGGGCGAGCACTGGTCCTCCGAGTTGCCCACTCCCACCTGCCCGAACTGATAGGTGGCGAGGCAGGAGGTGCGGCAGGGGAAGAAGATCGCGGAGAGGAATGGGAGGAGCAGTCAACAGGAGGGTGGCGAGAGCGGTGCGAGATGGTATGCATGGGAGCAAGAGTAAGAGAGAAGAGCATTGGCATTGTGGACAGTCAACGGACTTGCATAGAACACCCACTCCTCACCACCTGACGCCTCTCACTCCATCTCAATCCATCTCACTCATCCTTCAAGTCCAATAACTAGGTTCCACCACACTCACTCTGTTCCACCCCCAAGCGTACACCACCCCATCCGCATCCAGAGCAACGGAGTGGCGCCATCCTCCTGACACCTGCTTGCACCGCAGCGCACGAAGGGAGGGGGAGACCGGTTGGAGAGAGTCAGATGATTACCAGTGGGTTGATGTGGCCAAGCGTGTAAGGGAAAGCTTAGACGGCCTTCAGAAGGTGATGAAGAGAGGTGTGCAGGCAGAACAGTGCACAAGAGAAAGGAATCTCATGCATGCTCTCATCTCACCTGCACGATGCGCTTGCCCTGCTGCATGGGGGCCACAGACAAGGGGGGTTCTTGATTCTACTCTAGAATCGGCTCACCTGCACGATGCGTTTGTCCTGCATGGCGGGTACAGGCGAGGGAGTGAGGTGGTCCTGGAAGTCGCCATGCCCCAGCTGCCCGTACTTGCATGGCTGGGAGCTCACCTGCACGGTGCATGCCTGTGGTGGTCTCACCTGCACAATCCGCTTGTCCTGCATGGCGGGCACGGGCGACGGAGTGAGGTGGTCCTGGAAGTCCCCATGCCCCAGCTGCCCGTACTTGCATAGATGGGATGGGAGCTTACCTGCATGGCTGGGATGGGAGCTCACCTGCACCATGTGCTTGGCTTGGCATGCATGGCTGTGGTCTCACCTGCACGATGCGCTTGTCCTGCATGGCGGGCACGGGCGAGGGTGTGAGGTGGTCCTGGAAGTCACCATGCCCCAGCTGCCCCTACTTGCTCCACCCGAACGTGAACAGCAGCCCTTCCCATTCACCTGCACGATGCGTTCTCCTTGCATGGCTGGGAGCTCACCTGCACGATACGCTTGTCTTGCATGGCGGGCACGGGCGAGGGAGTGAGGTGGTCCTGGAAGTCACCATGCCCCAGCTGCCCGTACTTGCTCCACCCAAACGTGAACAGCCGCCCATCACCATTCACCACTATCGTGTGCCGCCACCCGCATGCCACCTGCGCTATGCGCTCTGACTGCCGGCAAGAGAGAATCAGATGAGAGTAGGTGGGGAAGTGGAGAGGGAAGAGGTGATGCAGGGAAGGGCATCGCCGTTCACTGTGATCGTGTGCCGCCACCCGCACGCCACGCCACCTGCGCTATGTGCTCCGACTGCCGGCAATAGAGACACAAATCAGAGGGGCAGTGGAGGGGGAGAGGTGATGTATGGGAGGACACGGGAACGAGACGAGGATGAGGACGAGGGAGCCTTTGTTGCCCGTGAACCTAGATGCTACCTCTTCGAGTCCCCCCGCCTGCCTCAATGCCTGTGACCCTAGACGCACCTGTCCATCTGCACGTCTCCGTTCCCCCGCTCACGCACCTCAATGGCAGTGACCTGCTCGGGCAGCTTCCTGTCCAGCCGGTCCCCCAGCCCCAGGTTGCCGTATCGCCCCCACCCCCACCCGTACAGCCGCCCATCCTCCGCCGCCGCTGCTGTGTGCTCCGCGCCCGCTGCCACCATCCTCAGCGGCACGCCCTGCACGGGGGGGGAGGGGAGTGGGAGGGGGTGGATGGGAAGGGGAAGGTGGGGAGGGTGGGGGGATGGGGAAGGAGGGAGAGGTGGATGGGTTGGTGGTAATGGAAGGGTGGATGGGTAGAGAGGAGGGCAGAGGTAGGGGATGGCAGGGGAAACGCAGGTTGGATGGGAGGGCAATCTGAGTGGAGCGGTAAGAGGCAGGCGGCATGCGTGAGGGGAAGGAGCGGGCTGTGATTGGTTGAATCATCATGAGCACACTGTGCTGTGAGTGGCTCGCACAAACTCCTGGAACGCGGACATCACTCTTCAAAATGCTTACTACAAGGCGCATACGAACGGGAGGGCGTGGGATGCAAGCGGCTTACAGCGAGAACGGTGATCTGCGTGGGCACGAGGGCGTCGGCCAGCGTGCCCAGGCCCACGAGGTGACCTGTGAGTCGGCTCAAAGAGGTTCTTACCGCAAGGAATGCGAGGGTCTTACAGCGGTAATGGGGGGGCTTACAGCGAGCGCGGTGATCTGTGTGGGCACGAGGGCGTCGTCCAGCGTGCCCAGCCCCAACTGGCCGTTCTGATTGCGCCCCCAACTGATGCCACGCCAAGGGGGGGCGGGGGGGGAGAGGGAGAACCGGGTAAGGGGAGAGGGGAAGAGGACGCACAATGCAGTGATGACGGGATGCGTGATTTCACGTCTATCTTTGACTCTGTGGCAGGGCTAACCAGGAGACAGGGAGCATGCATTGCAGAAGTCACATGAAGGCCTTGTGCCGTGCCAGTGCAAGAGGTCGACTGGAAGACATGCCACTCCATGCAGCACTGCCCATCACGCCACCACCTGACAGCCCCACCACCTGACAGCCCCACCACCTGACAGCCCCACCACCTGACAGCCCCACCACCTGACAGCCCCACTGCCTGACCGCCCAGCACCTGAAGGCAGTGCCATTAGCGTCGACAGCGATGCAGTGGCAGTCGCCACATGCGATGTGCATTGTGCTTCATGGGCCGCCCGCACAGCCTTTTGAGGCACCGCAAAGGCCGTCTCCCTACCCACCATTCCCTTGATAGGCGCCTCAGAAATCACCTGAAGGCGGTGCCGTTAGCATCAACAGCAATGCAGTGGCAGTCGCCGCACGCGATGTGCTTCATGGGCCGCCCACACAGCCTTCTGAGACGCCTCAAAAGCCGCCTCTGTACCCGCAATCTCTATTCTAGGCCCCCCAGAAATCATCACCTGAAGGCGGTGCCATTAGCGTCCACAGCAATGCAGTGGCAGTCACCGCACGCAATGTGCTTGATGGGCCGCCCGCACAGCGACGCCACGGCGTGCGGCAGAAACACGTCGCTCGAATGCCCGTGCCCCAGCCGCCCAAAGTCGCCCCTGCGGGTGGCGGGGGGACGCGGCGGGGGGAGATGCGTGGAAGGGGGCGCGGGGAGATGTGCGGAATAAGGCATGGGGAGATGCGCGTTAAGTCATTATCTCGCCTATCAACTCACTCTACTGGCAGATTGATCTCACCATCCCCTTTTATTAACTCCCCCTCCCACACGCCTATCACCTCACCAGCCCCCCTCGCGCTTAACTCACCACCCCCAGCTCCAGAGCGTCTGCGAGTCCTCCGAGTACGCCGTCGTGTGGTCCGCGCCGCACGCCAGCGCCGATACGTGCTTCCCCGCCAGCGCCGCGACCTCCGTGGGCTCCAGCTGCTCCTCCGCGCTGCCCAGCCCCAGCTGCCCGTCCTCCCCGCGCCCCCACGCGCACACACGGTCGTCCGCTGCACGCGCGCAAGGGGGAAAGGGGAACGCGCGCGATTATGGCAGACGGCTTTGCAGTCGAAACAAAAGTCGACACGGACAGATAAATTCTAGGGTTGCCGGGTTAAAGCGATGCGGAAAGGCTCGGAACGAAACCGGAAAGCGGAAATTAGCGGTGCAGCTGACAAACATGTAGAGGTGAAAATTCGCGATCAAATTTATCCAACCTACCAAGAAAGCGGATAAAACGCATCTACTCGTGTAAAAAAATATTGAACGACTACGGTATGCCAAGAAACACGCACAGAGCAGGGCGACGGTGTGACTGGCGCCTGCTGATATCGCCACGACACGACACTCGGAATCTTGAGACGCCATGGCCTGTGCTGTGAGGGAGGCGCTAGTCGCGTTGAAGGGAATCTAGGGTAAATGGGAAAAGCGGACCTGTGGAATATGCATCGATTCGAACAGGCACACCCCTCATTCCTCCAGTTGACCGCGATATTGAGAAGCGATAACTGAATTTGAGAGCACAGATGCTTTCTTTCTTGCTGTATTGCTGATACATAACTGATATATCATTCTTTGATCAAATGCAACATCAATCAGGGGTTTTTCTAGAGCAAATCATTGTATTTTTTCCTGTGGATGGTGAAAGTGGCTCCAGACACTTTGAGTTTAGCCTTTGTATGCTCGCATTGTTTCGCATTGATCTCTGTTCTGGTACTGGGACATGTAACGATCGAGTCTATCCAGAATGACTGTTAGAGCGTATACTGCTCCGATGCATCAACGGTCAGCAGTTTCTCAGTTGACCTCCCTCTCGTCGTTCCCGCAGGCCCGTAAGATTTACGGGCAGATTCGCCGTGTGAAAAGCACGCCCAGGCAACACCTTCGCTGAACAGTCCCTGAAGTGTGAAGTTATTTCCGAGCGAGACTCGCAGCCTCGTGCACGATTGACCAATGATAGCTTAGAAGACCTTGTCATCACGTTCGGGGATTAGCGAGACCCCTGGCTGATCTGTGTCACAATCAGAAAGCTGTTGAGAGCAAAAACGAACTGTACAGTACGCAGCAGGCTTGGCAAATCAGGAAATTTCACTGTAAGCTTTGCCAGCCCGGATCAACGCAGCCCAGATCAATTCCACAAACTACCACACCCAGTTATGTGCGTCGCCCGCAACGACCCCACTCGCCTCGTGGCATCGCGCCTACCTCAACCGCGACTCGCGTCGCGATTTCTCGATTCTCGAACTCCAGCCAGCCAGCCACCTCCGTCTCCGCTTGCGACGAACTCCAACGAAATCGGCCTCGTCCGCTCGCACATTTGCGCCCCCCCTTACTCCGTACAGCACACTTCACTCGCCCCCCTCCCCCCATCCAGCTAGCCTAGCCACCCTTCTTCCCCCTCCCTCCCTCTTCCCCCCGCCTCCCCCCTTCCACCCTCCCGTTGTGCACCAAATTTTATCTCCTTTCATGGCGGCTGTCTAGAACTGGCAACCCTGCTTGAATCGGCAGTCTAACCACCACAAGCGCAATAAGACGTCGTAGTAAGACCCCGCGCTGCGAGACAGAGAAAGGCTCACCAAGTACGTCCAATCAATCCTCTCTCTTGAAAACGCTGGAGCAGCAGCGACGACATCAGAATTGCTGCGCGAGACTTTACGGCTACAGGCATTAGTACTTCCATTCTAGGCCCGTCATTGTTGCAGAACTTCCCAGTGCTGCTTCGCGAATCAGTCCAAACCGTCACGCCGCGTAGTGCTTCTTCCGCGCGTGGCTCGCTCCGCGCGTACCTCCCCGTTCCGCACCCCCCTTTCCCCCACTCCCCCGCCATGGGCGCAGCGGGGTCGCGCGAGGTGTGGGTGGTAATGCCGGACGGCCGCGCGGAGAGCTTCCGCGAGCCAATCACCGTCGCGCAGCTGCTGGCGCAGCACCCGGGGTATCTCGTGTCGCAGCCGGACCTGCCCGGGAACCCCGGCGAGAATCACGGCGCGAATCGCGGGCGGCGGTGGAATTTGCCAGCGGAAGAGATGCTGCGGCTCGGGGAGATGTACGTGCTGCACTCTGCGGAGCTGGCGAGCGTCGAGGACGTGTTTGCTGACGTGGCGAATCGCGTGCAGACTAGGGTAAGTGAGGAGCTGTTGGAAGCGAGCTCGGCGAACAATGTAGGCGAAACGCGCGAGAGATTTTCCCCATTGCGACTGCCCCCCACGCGGGCTCGCAGCGTTTGCGCCTTCATCGTGTTCCCCTGGCGCACTCACATTCGCCCCTCCCTTCCCTCCCCCCTCCGCGCCTCCGCGCATCTGTCTATGCGCAGGGCCAGGCACCACGGCAGTCGCGCAAGGCTCGCGGAGGCCATTCGCGCTCCAAGTCCGCCTCTCTCGTCGACGGCGGTACGCGCGGGGGAACCGAACACCCGGAGTGGCAGGATGCCGTGATTACCGCCGCGACTCGCGGCGGTGGTGCTGGCGGAAAGCACAAGGGCAGCCGACCGCGGAGGACGCGCCCAGCGGCGGGAGAAGCGGCGCGCGCGGAGTCTCAGAGCCCGGAAAACGACAATGGACAGGACGGAGCTGGCTACGCCAACGCACTCGTTGCGGCTGTAGCCGCGGAAAGCGGCCTCGAGGGCTCCGCGGGCTGCGGCGCCAGAAGCCTCCCCCACAGCCCCTCGTCCTCCCCCTCGCCCCCGCTCTCCCCTTGCCTTTCCCCTCCCCGCGCCCGCCCCGGCCACCGTCACGCGCGCGGTCTTCCACCCCGCGTTACGTCGCGTCTGGCGCAAGCGCACGGGCACGGCAGGCGCGCGTCCATAAGCGCGCTCCCCGTGGAGGGGGGAGGGGAGGGAAGTCGGGCGGAGATACGAACAGGCATTGGGGAGCAGCGAAGGGCGGGTTACCAGGTAACGAGTGGAATGTTGTTCGGAATCTCGGATGGTGATAGCAGCGACGGGTCAATGGTGCTGACGTCACCAAAGATTGACATATCGGATGTGATTGGCTACGACATGTTCCCTGTGTCGTCATCTGAGGGCGAAGGGGAAGGCAAGGGCGGCAGCCAAGCGTGGGACGCGGAAGGGGGGCGTGGGCGCGGAAAGCATGGGCGGGGGGGGAACGGGAGAAGAGAGCAGACGCGTGGGCGCGCCCAGGCGCAAGCACATGCGCGCGACTCCTGCAGCAGCGGCGGGTTCAGCGCGGATGGGGAACTCCCTCACTCCGCTCCCCTCCTGGCGGGCGGCACTGGCGTGGGTGGCACGGGAAGAGAGGCGGGGCAACGAGGGCGGGCGCGGGCAGGAGAGAGGGGGGTGGCGGGGCAGGTGAGGGGGCGGGGGGAGGTTTCAGCTGCGCTGCTGGCGCATCTTCACTGGGAGAACGTGGCGGAGAGTGGGGGGAGGAGAGCGGTGAGGGGAGGGAGGCCAGTGGGGCGCAGTGTATCCGCGGAGGAGGAGGGGGGACCGATCGTGAGAGCCAGGAGGGAGGGTTGGAGTGTGGGAGAGGTGTGGGAAGAGAGAAGGGAGGAGGAGGAGGAGGAGGAGGAGGAGGAGGAGGAGGAGGAGGAGGAGGAGGAGGAGGAGGAGGAGGAGGAGGAGGAGGAGGAGGAGGAGGGGGGGGGGGGGGGGGGAAGAAGAGGAGGAAGAGGAGGAGAAAGAGGAGGGAGGGATGAAGGGAGGGGAGGGGGAGGAGCAACCAGAGGCGGAAGGGGATGCGCGGACCAGGATGGCGGACGGAGTGGGGGAGGGGGAGGGGGCACGTGACGGGGAGCGAACAGGGAAGGGGCGGGCGAGGGGGAGTGTGGAAGGAAACAGCAGCGGAGGCAGGCGCACGGACAGGCGGGGGAAAGCAGAGAAGCAGGCGAGAGGAGCGGCGGGAGGAGAGGGGGATGGAGATACGAGCGTGGCTGCTGGTGGGGTGCAGCCCAGCAGCAAGGCAGGCGGAGGCAAGGGGGGCAGGGGGGGAAGACGGGGGGAGGGGGAAGCAGGTGGAGAGGAGGAGACAGCACCAGGGAGCAGGGAGGCAGTGGCGGGCGGGGCAGCGCAACGCCGGAAGCACAAGGGCAGCAGCAGCGGCAGCAGCGGCGCAGCAGGAGAGAGCACAGCAGGAGAGAGCGCAGCAGGAGAGAGTGTGGGCGAGTTTGTGCGATCAGCGTCGATGCGGTCGGAGGTGTTGCTACGGTCACCCGACATGCTGGCAGACATGCCCCAGCTGCGGGAAAACATGCGGCAGGGGCGCGCAGCAGTGGCAGGAGGGCCGCCGGGAACAGCAGGAAAAAGGGCAGGAGGCGCAGCAGGGGGAGCAGGGGGAGGAGGTTCGGGAGGGAGTGGGGAGAAGAGCAAGGGGGCGCCGCGGCGGCGCAAGAATTCGTTCGTGGATGAGGAGTTTGGAACGATTCTAGAGGAGTTCATGCCGGTGGTGACCGGTGGGGGACGTGTGGGAGGGGGTGCATGCCACAGCAAGGCACTGGTGACTGCTCTGGCTGCTGCTGCTGCTACCCCTACACTGCTGCACACACCTAGCGGTAGACTGCTGCCTTCCCCCAGCGGTAGACTGCTGCACACCCCCAGTGGCCGACTCGTGCCCAACCCCGCTGCTCCCAGCGACACTGGCAACAGCAGGTGAAGGCACAGCACAAGACAAGGCGCCATCTATTATTGAATGGCCACAGCAAGGCGCTGGTGAATGCCGCGTCTGCTGCACCCGCACTGCTGCACTGCACACTCCCTCCTCTGCGGTAGACTGCCTCACCGCCCTCCCAGTGGGGGGGTGATGCCTGCCCCATCTGCCCCATCTGCTCCATCTGCTCCCAGCGCCACTGCCAGCGGCACACTGCAGTGAAGGCACAACTGGGAGGTGGCGAGTGAAAAGGTGGTGAGGTGCGGGAACATGCACGTACGGTATTCTGGTTTCTGCTAACTTGAGTTGTCCAGTTAACAACATTCGGTTCCATGGTGTGCCTTGCTAACTTGAAATGTCCGAGACGGGTGCAGGCAGTCCCATGATATGCCAAGTGGCACGATACTGTAGCAGACAGGCACTTGCATGTGTATGCTGTTTTTTGCTAACTTGTCCAGTAACATTCTGTGCCTAACTTGCTAGCCAAGACCATATGTTGTGTACCTGTACTGTACCAGGAAACACAGGGACTTGAAATTTAGCCTTGGCTTGGCATGTCCCAGACCTGCACTTGGTTTGGTTGGCATTGACTGTATTGTAGGTATCAAGCAAGAACACTGGTAGAGTCAGTTTGCACGCATGCATCCATGTTGTGCCTTGCTAAACTACGGTAGACAGCACCCATGTTTGCTCTACATCCTCTGCACCTAACACCGTCTGAGTCCTGACCCGTCCTAAGAGTAAAACAAGCCTATGATCAAAGCAAGCGCTGCGCTTGCCTTCTGGTTAGCACGGAACATCATCCGCTGGAGAATTAGGGGGAGAGAGAGTCTCTCCTCTCCTTCAAGTCCAATCCCTCCTTCCACCCTCCCTCACACGGCCGTTTTGAACACGATGCATCGCCTCGACTCCGGGAACTCCTTGTTTCCATCCCCGGGATTCAGATTAATCACATTCGTCTCGTTATAAGCCAGCTGCAGCGACTGCAGCTTCACGCGCACACACGCCCCATCATAGAACCCCAGCATGCTCTCCCCATCCGTGGCCCGCCGGTGCAGCCGCCCAATCTGCCCCGTGACGTAAAACATCTCCCTGTAGCTCGCCGGCGCCACCCCGTAGTCCACACAGGACAAAATCTGCAGCCGGTTGTGGTCCACCGAATCCACCTCGACAAACTTTCCGGGCGGCAGCTTGTTTGTCTTTAGCGCGGGGCTGATGGCCGAGTCGGGAACAGTGCCGTTGAGATGGAAAAGAGGCACGGCGGTCTGATGCTGCTCGAAGTAAAAGTCGCAGAGAGACAGGGGGTTGGCCGGACACATCATCTTGCACGGCCCTGTGGGCTTGGGGAACTCCGCAGGGGGAATGGGCGCGGGGGGAGCCTCGGGGGAACCCTCGGGGGGAGACTCGGGGGGAGTGTCGTCGGGGGTGTTTGGGGTGGACTGGGGGGTGACTGGCCCGGAGGGGGAGTCGGGGGAAGGTGTGGGCGGGGGCGGGGAGGACGTGCGGGGCGGGGGCGACTGGGTCTTGGTGGTAGTCAGCGGGGGAATGAGTACCTGCGCGTGCGGGGGCGTCGGCGGAAGGTCGGTGGAAGGCACGCCAGGGGGAGAGGGGGAAGGGGACCCGGGAGCTCGCGGGGAGGGGGAGGGCTTGGGCGGGGAAGGCGGCTGCAAGGTCTGGATCCCCGCAAAGGGGGGGCGATCGGGGGTCCCGGGGGAGGAGGGGGAGTCGGGGGAAGGGGGAGAAGCGGGGGAGCGGGAGGGCGGGCTGTCGGTATTCGTCTTGAGAGACGGCGGGGAGGAGGAGGAGGGCGGAAAGTCTCCCCCCGGCGGGCTGTCGGGAGAAGAAGGCGGAGAACCAGGCGCGCGGGGCGCACCCGGCACGGAGGGCGGGGAAGGTGCGGACGGGCGCACGACGAGATCTCCGGGCGGGGAGCCGACGGCCTGCGCGAAGACGGGCTGGCGGCCGCACGACACGGACTGCGGCGCGACGGGGCCGGTCTTGAAGACGACGCAGCGGCGCGCGTCGGGGTAGTCGTGCTGAAGGTCGTCGCCCGGCGCCGTGTTGACCACCGAGCCGTTGGGCGCCGGGATCTGCGCGTTCACGATCCACAGCTTCACGCACCGCGACTCGAACTTGTCGCGCGGCGAGGACAGCTGCGGGCGGGCGGGGAGGGGGCGAGGGGCACGACGGGGGTGAGCAACGGTAGCAACAGAATAAGCAAGTGAATTCTTCAAGAATATAATAACAAAATGAAAATTAGCTAATGTGAGGACACCGTGCACATACCGTTTGGAAGGTGCGGACGTGCAGCGTGGATTGCTGTTTCGTGAGGTAGAACTGGTTGTCGTCGCCGCGCACGCCGTCCATGGCGCACAGGAACTGCGCCGCGCCGCTGCGATCCACCTCAATGATCTGCTGAATGCGGCTCGACACCAGCGGCGGGCTTATAACGGTATCGGGTGTGACATTATCGAGGCGGAAGACGGGGACGTCCTCCGGGTGCCCCTCGAAGTAGAAGTCGCATTGGTCCAGCGGCGCCGCGGGACAGCTCTCCTCCTCGTACGCGCTACTGTCGACCTCTGCTTTGGCGCCACCCATTGCAGTCTTGACGTACTTACTGCCCGATGAGGCGCCGCCACTGCCGGCGGCGTCAGGGTAATCCGCGTCAGCTGCGCCGGCATCAGCATCAGGATCAGCACCGGTATCAGCATCGGCAGCGTCGGCAGCGTCGGCATCAGCATCGGCATCAGCATCTGCATCAGTATCGGTATCAGCATCGGCATCAGCATCTGCATCAGCATCGGTATGAGCATCGGTAACAGCGTCGGCATCGCCGGTGGTCATCGATTTCACGCCCGCCAGCTTCGACGGCCCGTTCTCATAGGCGCCAATCGCGGCCTTCGCATTTGTAGCCTTGATGCCGTCGTCCGCAGCTGTAGCCTTGGCCTCGCCCTCGGTAACTGGAGTCTTCGCGTCGCCCTTCGCTTCTGTAGCCTTCGGTTCGCCCTTCGCATTCGTCGTCTTAGCGTCGCCCTTCGCATTCGTCGCCTTGGCGTCGCCCTTCGCAACTGTCGCTTTCGTGTCGCCCTTCGCAGCCGTCGCCGTCTCGTCGCTGTTCGCATCAGTCGCCTCGATGTCGCCCGCGTCATCCGCAGCCGCCACGACGCCCTTGGGACTGAGATCCGCTTCGGAGCTCGGAATTTTTACGGATGTCGCTATAGCGGGTACACCAATCTCCTTGCCGGTGACTCTCACGTCGTCAGTAACGAGGATGTCATTCTCAATATCGCCGACGTCCTGGCCCTTAACCCCCGCGGCTTTAATCACCATGTTAGGAATTTCCACGCTCTGCTCGCCGGCAACCTTCTCGCCCGTGGTTTGCGCGGCGCCGTCAGCCTTCTTTTCCGCGGTCTTCCCGACTGGCGGAACCGCGTGCGCCGGGGCTTGCGCGTGGTTGTGCGCCGGGGCTTGCGCTTGGTTGTGCGCCTCCATGCTCTGCAGCTGCGCGAGGTGCGCCATGTGCGCCAGATGCGCCATGTGCGCCACGTGGTGGAAGTGGAAGTACTCGTCTCCGTCTTCCTCCGTCAGACTTGACGGATCCGTCTCCGTCAGCATCTGGACGTTCGCCTCCGTCAGCACTTGCGCGCCCTCCTCGCGCAGCTTCTTCAGGTTCTCCGCCGTCAGCTTCCATCCCTCCGCCTCCAGCTTCGCCTCGTCCGCCGCGCTCAGCCGCGCGGACTCCTTCTCCGCGGGCTCCTTCTCCGCGGGCGCGGGGGCGGATGTGGAGGAAGGCGCGGGGGCGGTCTTGGGGGAAGGCGCGTGCTTTGGAGCGAGCGACGGCTTCGGGGGAAGAGCAGGCTCGGGTGAACCGGCTGCTTTGACGGAGGCAGAGGGCTTAGGAGCGAGAGCAGGCTTGGGAGCGAGAGCAGGTTTGGGAGCAAGAGCAGGCTTGGGAGCGAGAGCAGGCTTGGGAGCGAGAGCAGGCTTGGGAGCGAGAGCAGGCTTGGGAGCGAGAGCAGGCTTGGGAGCGAGAGCAGGCTTGGGAGCGAGAGCAGGCTTGGGAGCGAGAGCAGGCTTGGGAGCGAGAGCAGGCTTGGGAGCGAGAGCAGGCTTGGGAGCGAGAGCAGGCTTGGGAGCGAGAGCAGGTTTGGGAGAATCAGCCGGTTTGGGAGAAGGGGCTGGACTGGAGGAAGAAGCCGATTCGTGGGTGGAAGGCGGCTCGGACGAGGGAGGCTTAGCGGACGCGTGGGATAGGAGCAGCAGTAGACACGCGCAGGCCGCGACGACCTGGTAATTCATTCGCCCCATGGCGCCTACCTGCTCGGCGCTACGAGGTATCGATCGGTGCGGATGGGTATGTGAAGCACACGGTAGCTCTCAGTGCTTGCGGGCAGAGCTTGAGGACCCGCCTCTAGGAAGGAGCACTACTATATCGCTAGGACGAATTTCGATGAACTAGCCTCACAAACAGTTTAATATTAGAAGCTCATGCTTGGAGACAATGCGATGAGTCTTGTCTGTTTCACAAGAATGAGGTTTGTCTGAGATGGTGAGGAGGTGACGAGAGATGTCTGTGCTGTGAAGAGGTCCTAGAAGGAATTCAAGGACAGAATACTCGGAGACGCGCCGAATTTGAAAGAGATCGCAGAGCGAACGCAAAGGGCTTGTGCGGAGCGAGTTACGCCCGCCTGACTCGCCACCTGGTCCGTTTGCCCGCCACCGTCGGGTAGCCATGGCGGAGCGACCACCGTTGTTGACTGGGCGCACCTGCAACTGGCGTCATCTGGGCGCGCAAGACAGTACAGTAGATGTGAATGGGTGCACAGAGGACGACCTGCCGAGGCGCTGAAAATCAAATTCAAATGTCCCGCCACTTTCACAGTGGGCTGCTGAGCGCTTTCGCATGCGATTGGACAGGCCCATTTGCTTGGAAGAATGTCAGGGGCGTGGGAAGAGATTTCAGTAGGCACTCGTTGTAAGTTTTTTGTACGATTATTAGTAATTACTCAAGATGAAATTACATCAAGTGTTACCATAAAAAATATGATAATCAATGGTGGATGTCAAATTTTTTCCAATTAATACGCTGGTAAAGGTCGCTCAAGGGCAAAAAAAAAAAAACATGGCTGCTGTCATATTATTTCCGTTTTGCCTTTACACCAGAATAACTAGTGATAAGATACAGCTTGTTTTGTAGTGGAAAGATAAGAAAGATTGCACCCACTGTTTTACGCACGTCAATATTCTGCTACCCTCCACAAACGGAAAGGCACCTTAGGGCGTGTGTCTTTCGGAGTGTACTGTAAAGTTCATGTTTTTTCGAACTTACGCATTTGAACTTTGGTCGACTTGTAGTCGAGTATCTCGACTTTTGGAGGTAGAATCGCAGCATCACCCTTTTCATAAACACATGGAAACACAAAGTTCGAGTTTTGAAGTTCGACTTTGTACAGAACTCGTGCGAGTCGCGTCCTACTTTCTTAGGTTACCCAACCTATACAGTGTTGTTCGTGACCGAATCGGGATTGGGTAACCATGTAAAATCAATTTCGTGTTTGTCGTGATTATCGCAGCTTCATCGCGCGTGAGTAGAAGAACACACGATGGATAAACGTACACGTGGAAATTCGACCCGAGTTCAGTGTCCTACTATTTTCTCAAACTTTGATTTGGACACACGAGCGTCGCAAACAGCTCAAAACGGAATTTGCGAAACGGGATACCATCGAAAGGTTCTACTTTTCGAACGTCTACACCAAAAGACACGCGCCCTTACTGAACCGGAAAGCAGCAATACTGAACCTGAACCGTGTTCATGCGACACCGAACAGTCGTCAGTATCACTGCTCAGCAGGCACACTTCATGAGCAATTCTCCAACTATCATGGTGTCTTCGACATGCTGAAGCGCCTTCGGCTTATTCCATGCAGCCTTAATTCCCTTAGCAGAAGTAATGAGGTCCAACGGGCCACATGATGGGGCTTTAACTCCGCGATTGAAGTCGTCTCCTCGCAGCTCGTCGCGACCGCGAGATACGGCGACCGTTGCCTCTGACGTCAGCAGCAGGGCTTCCAGTAGCAGCAGCGCAGTCGTTATCGACGACAGAGGCGGTTCGAGCAACAACAGCTTAATTACTATCGGAGACAGCGGCGACAGCTCAGTTAGCGTCACCGTCAAGACGTCAGCAGGGTTAGCCGGCGTGACACGTCATGCCAGCGAGGCATCGGTGGAGCTGCAGGTGCGGGATGGAGGAAATGACGTCAGACCCGAAATTGACGGCGTCAGTCGCAGTGGTGACGAGGATGGCTTGAGCGAGCGAGGGAGAGGAGAAGGGAGAGAGGGGGGGGAGGAGGACGTGCGGCCTTTGATTGAATTACCCGAGAGACACGGATTAGGGTTTGGTGAGAGACACGCGGTAGGGTTGAGCGAGAGGCACGGCGGTAGCGCGTACAGCAGCGCTAGAGAGACGGACTCTGAGATTGACGAGGCGAGCGATGGGGGAAGGGGAAGGGCGGGGGAGCGGCGGGCAGGGAGGGTGCGGGAGAGACGAGTGGAGCGGAGCAGGTCGGGGGACGGAATGGCGGCTAAAAACTGGCTGCCTGCCGCCGTTGGTGCTGCTAGTGGTGCTACTGCTGGTGGTTCTATCACTGGCGGGGCTGTGACTGGTGTGGGTGGTGGCAGCAGCGGCAGCGTGAGGGCGAGTGTGGGGTGGGGAGGGGTGCGCGTGCGCGTGTGGTGCGACCCTCGCAGCCTTTGGCCCGTGGCACGCGTGTTGACGCTGCTGCTGCTCTGGTACACCTTCAGCACCGCGCTCAGCCTGTAAGCACCGCGCTCAGCCTGTAAGCACCGCGCTCAGCCTGTAAGCACCGCGCTCAGCCTGTAAGCACCGCGCTCAGCCTGTAAGCACCGCGCTCAGCGTGTAAGCACCGCTCTCAGCCTGTAAGCACCGCGCTCAGCGTGTAAGCCACTCTTATTCCATTCTTCTTCCCCTCCTTCCCCCACTTTCACTCCTCTTCCCCCTCTTCTTCCCCTCGTCGCCTCTTCTGCTACCCTTCTTACCCCCCTTCCCCCCCTCTCCCCCCACCCCCGCCCCCTCTCTCTGCCCGCACCCCTCCCCCCGCAGGTACAACAAGATGCTGATATGGCAGCAGCACGGCTGCTTCCCCGCGCCACTGCTGCTGACGGTGCTCATGGCCTCCGCGCTCCCCCCGCTCTCTTTCCCCCTACCACCCCTCTCCTCCTGTCCCCGCCCCAACCCCCACAGATACAACAAGATGCTGATAGGGCAGCAGCACGGCCGCTTCCCCGCGCCACTGCTGCTCACGGCCTTCCACTTCGCGCAGCAAGCCGTCATGGCCTCCGCGCTGCTGCACTCCGCCTTCCCCTCCGCACTCCCCCCGCTCCCCCTCTCCTCCCGCGACTACTGCCTCAGAGGTACGCCCCTGCTCTGGCTCCCACGTGTGCCACTTGCCACTTTCCTCTGCCTACGATGCTCCCCCCTCTGCTCTCACACCCTCTCGCCCCGTGTCCGCTCTGGACCCGTTTGCCCTCTGTCCGGCTTATCACTAGACTCGCTCGTCTCGTCCACTTGCCTGCCATTCTCGTCTCGCATGCACTCCATTCGTGCCATGGGTGCTGGTTTCTGCGTCTGTGCCATGCCATGCCATGGATGGATGCTCCTTTATTGGCCATGGGTTGGTTGGTTGGCATGACATGGCATGTCCTTCCATGAATGAATCCTCTCCTCATGATGGTGTCATGTGCTGGCATGGCATGGCATGGTATGTACCGGTGGGGCAACGAGCAGTGATCCCCACAGCGGTGGCAACAGCAGTTGACATCGCCCTCTCCAATCAGTCACTCGCTTACATCACACTCACCTTCTACACCATGGTACGGTACGGTATGACTCATCATCGCTCATCATTACTCATCAGTACTCATTATCACTCATTGTTAGTTACTCACACTATCACTCTTCGTTTATCATCAGTCATGCATGCACCACACTTTCGGCCCTTGCCACTCCCTCCCTTCCAAATCCCCCTCCCCGCTTCCCGTTTTCCCCACCACCCGCCACAGACACACGCACCCCGCTTGCATTCCCATCCCCTTCCTTGCTTTCGGCGCTCCCACTCACTTCCCTCCCCACGCTCCTGTTTGTCCCCACCACACCACACCACACCACACGGCAGTGCAAGTCCAGTGCGCCCATGTTCCTGCTGCTCTTTGCCTTCATCTTCAGGTGCGCTCTCATCTCATCTCATCTCATCTCATCTCATCTCATCTCATCTCATCTCATTCAACACCACTCAAAGTGTGTTTCAATTCAATGTCCTCCCTGTCTCCCCCTGCCCACGTCTCTGCACAGCTAAGTCCAGAGCCTCTGGCCCCTGCTGCACTTAGCCTTATCTTCAGAGTCGTGTTGATGTGTTTTACAGTTTACTCAAGGGAGTCAAGAGCTGCTTTCAAATGGCATCTCTCCACTGCAAGGCCCGCCGCGCCCCTGTGTTCCTGCTGCTCTGCCTCTGCTTCTGATCCACTCACAATGTCCTCCTTATGCCGCCTTGCTGCACTGCCCATGCCCCCATGCCACCCTATGCCACCCTATGTCACGCCCACGCCACGGGCGGCAGGTTGGAGCCTATCAGCTTTCGTCTCATCGGAGTCATGATGGTGATCTCCGTGGGTGTGCTCTTCACAGGTCAGCCTGCCTGCCTGCTAGTCACCTCCTTGTGAATCCCCTCCCTCCTCGCCCATCATCTCTCTTTCCAAGCCTTGCACTCCACCCTCATCGAAGTCATGATGGTGATCTCCGTGGGCGTGCTCTTCACAGGTCAGCCTGCCAGTCGCTGCTCCGATATTCATCTTCTTTTGAATGCCCTCCCTTCTCGCCCACCATCTCTCCCCCATCTCTCTCCCTCATCGGAGTCATGATGGTCACCTCCGTGGGCGTGCTCTTCACAGGTCAGCCAGTCAGTCTGTCGCTGTCATGTCACTACTCCGATACTCATCTCCTTATGAATGCCCTCCTTCCCTCTCATTTTGGCATGCCACTAGCCCCTCCGTATTCATTTCACCCCACATCTCCTCTTCCTCCTGCACAACACTCATCATCACTCACTATCCTCCTGTATTTCTATACATGTGCATGTGTGCATGCCTGTGGGCCTCTGGCAGTGGCGGGGGAGGCATCGTTCCACCTGGGGGGATTCGTACTCGTCATGCTCTCTGCCATGGCATCTGGCCTGCGATGGGTGCTCATTCAAGTGCTGCTGCAGGTGAGGTGGTGATGCTGCTGCAGGTGGGGGGGGTTTGCTGCAGGTGGGGTGGGGTTGCTGCAGTTGGGGGGGGGGTTGCTGCAGGTGAGGTGGGGTTGCTGCAGGTGGGGGGGGTTGCTGCAGGTGGGGTGGGGTTGCTGCAGGTGGGGGGGGGTTGCTGCAGGTGGTGGGGTTGCTGCAGCTGGGGTGGGGTTGCTGCAGGTGTGGGGGGGGTTGCTGCCGGTGGGGGGGTTGCCGCAGCTGGGGTGGGGTTGCTGCAGGTGAAGGGGGGTTGCTGCAGCTGGGGTGGGGTTGCGGGCTGTGGGCTTTCCCGGTTTCCCTGTTTCCCGGTTTCCCGGTATCCCGGTATCCCGGTATCCCGGTATCCCGGTTTCCCGGTTTCCCGGTTTCCCGGTATCCCGGTATCCCGGTTTCCCGGTTTCCCGGTATCCCGGTATCCCGGTTTCCCGGTTTCCCGGTTTCCCGGTATCCCGGTATCCCGGTATCCCGGTATCCCGGTTTCCCGGTTTCCCGGTTTCCCGGTTTCCCGGTTTCCCGGTTTCCCGGTTTCCCGGTTTCCCGGTTTCCCGGTTTCCCGGTATCCCGGTATCCCGGTATCCCGGTATCCCGGTATCCCGGTTTCCCGGTTTCCCGGTTTCCCGGTATCCCGGTATCCCGGTATCCCGGTTTCCCGGTTTCCCGGTTTCCCGGTTTCCCGGTTTCCCGGTTTCCCGGTTTCCCGGTTTCCCGGTTTCCCGGTATCCCGGTATCCCGGTTTCGCGGTTTCCCGGTTTCCCGGTTTCCCGGTTTCCCGGTTCCCGGTATCCCGATTTCCTGGTATCCCAGTATCCCGGTTTCCCGGTTTCCCGGTTTCCCGGTTTCCCGGTTTCCCGGTATCCCGGTTTCCCGGTTTCCCGGTTTCCCGGTTTCCCGGTTTCCCGGTTTCCCGGTATCCCGGTATCCCGGTTTCCCGGTTTCACGGTTTCCCGGTTTCCCGGTTTCCCGGTTTCCCGGTTTCCCGGTATCCCGGGTTTCCCGGTTTCCCGGTTTCCCGGTTTCCCGGTTTCCCGGTTTCCCGGTATCCCGGTATCCCGGTTTCCAGGTATCCCGGTATCCCGGTATCCCGGTATCCCGGTATCCCGGTATCACGGTATCCCGGTAGCCCGGTTTCCCGGTTTCCCGGTTTCCCGATTTCCCGGTTTCCCGGTTTCCCGGTTTCCCGGTTTCCCGGTTTCCCGGTTTCCCGGTTTCCCGGTTTCCCGGTATCCCGGTATCCCGGTTTCCCGGTATCCCGGTATCCCGGTATCCCGGTTTCCCGGTTTCCCGGTTTCCCGGTTTCCCGGTTTCCCGGTTTCCCGGTTTCCCGGTTTCCCGGTTTCCCGGTTTCCCGGTATCCCGGTATCCCGGTTTCCCGGTTTCCCGGTTTCCCGGTTTCCCGGTTTCCCGGTTTCCCGGTATCCCGGTATCCCGGTATCCCGGTTTCCCGGTATCCCGGTATCCCGGTTTCCCAATATCCCGGTATCCCGGTATCCCGGTATCCCGGTATCCCGGTATCCCGGTATCCCGGTTTCCCGGTATCCCGGTATCCCGGTATCCCAGTATCCCGGTTTCCCGGTATCCCGGTTCCCGGTATCCCCGTTTCCCGGTTTCCCGGTTTCCCGGTATCCAGGTATCCCGGTATCCCGGTTTCCCCGTTTCCCGGTATCCCGGTATCCCGGTATCCCGGTTTCCCGATTTCCCGGTTTCCCGGTTTCTCGGTTTCCCGGTTTCCCGGTTGCCCGGTTTCCCGGTATCCCGGTTTCCCGGTTGCCCGGTTTTCCGGTATCTCGGTTTCCCGGTTTCCCAGTTTCCCGGTTTCCCGGTTTCCCGGTATCCCGGTTTCCCGGTATCGCGGTATCCCAGTTTCTCGGTATCCCGGTTTCTCAGTCTCCCGGTTTCCCGGTTTCCCGGTTTCCCGGTTTCTCGGTTTCCCGGCATCCCAGTTTCCCGGTTTCCCGGTTGCCCGGTTTCCCGGTTTCCCTGTTGCCCGGTTGCCCGGTTTCCCGGTTTCCCGGTTTCCCGGTATCCCGGTTTCCCGGTTTCCCGTTTTCCCGGTTTCCCGGTTTCCCGGTTGCCCGGTTTCCCGGTTTCCTGGTTTCCCGGTTCCCCGGTATCCCATTATCCCGGTATCCCCGTATCCCGGTTTCCCGGTATCCCGGTTTCCCGGTTTCCCGGTTTCCCTGTAGCCCGGTTGCCCGGTTTCCCGGTTGCCCAGTTTCCCAGTTGCCCGGTTGCCCGGTATCCCGGTTTCCCGGTTGCCCGGTTTTCCGGTATCTCGGTTTCCCGTTTTCCCGGTTGCCCAGTTGCCCGGTTTCCCGGTATCCCGGTTTCCCGGTATCGCGGTATCCCGGTTTCTCGGTATCCCGGTTTCTCGGTCTCCCGGTTTCCCGGTTTCCCGGTTTCCCGGTTTCCCGGTTTCCCGGTATCCCGGTTTCCCGGTTTCCCGGTATCCCGGTTTCCCGGTTGCCCGGTTTCCCGGTTTCCCTGTTGCCCGGTTGCCCGGTTTCCCGGTTTCCCGGTTTCCCGGTATCCCGGTTTCCCGGTTTCCCGTTTTCCTGGTTTCCCGTGTTCCCGGTTGCCCGGTTTCCCGGTTTCCCGGTTTCCCGGTTTCCCGGTATCCCGGTATCCTGGTATCCCCGTATCCCAGTTTCCCGGTATCCCGGTTTCCCGGTATCCCGGTTTCCCGGTTTCCCGGTTTCCCGGTTTCCCGGTTTCGCGGTTTCCCTGTAGCCCGGTTTCCCGGTTGCCCGGTTTCCCGGTTTCCCGGTTTCCCGGTTTCCCGGTTTCCCGGTTTCCCGGTTGCCCGGTTTCCCGGTATCCCGGTTTCCCGGTATCCCGGATTCCCGGTATCCCGGTATCCCGGTTTCCCGGTTTCCCGGTTTCCCGGTTTCCCGGTTTCCCGGTTTCCCGGTTTCCCGGTTTCCCGGTTTCCCTGTTTCCCGGTTTCCCGGTTTCCCGGTTTCCCGGTTTCCCGGTTCCCGGTATCCCGGTTTCCCGGTATCCCGGTATCCCGGTTTCCCGGTTTCCCGGTTTCCCGGTTTCCCGGTTTCCCGGTTTCCCGGTTTCCCGGTTTCCCGGTTTCCCGGTTTCCCGGTTTCCCGGTTTCCCGGTTTCCCGGTATCCCGGTATCCCGGTATCCCGGTATCCCGGTTTCCCGGTTTCCCGGTTTCCCGGTTTCCCGGTTGCCCGGTTGCCCGGTTGCCCGGTTGCCCGGTTGCCCGGTTTCCCGGTTTCCCGGTATCCCGGTATCCCGGTATCCCGGTATCCCGGTATCCCGGTATCCCGGTATCCGGTATCCCGGTTTCCCGGTTTCCCGGTTTCCCGGTTTCCCGGTTGCCCGGTTGCCCGGTTGCCCGGTTGCCCGGTTTCCCGGTTTCCCGGTTTCCCGGTTTCCCGGTATCCCGGTATCCCGGTATCCCGGTTTCCCGGTTTCCCGGTTGCCCGGTTGCCCGGTTTCCCGGTTTCCCGGTTTCCCGGTATCGCGGTATCCCGGTATCCCGGTATCCCTGTATCCCAGTTTCCTGGTATCCCGTTATCCCGGTTTCCCAGTATCCCGGTTTCCCGGTTTCCCGGTTTCCCGGTTTCCCTGTAGCCCGGTTGCCCGGTTTCCCGGCTGCCCGGTTTCCCGATTGCCCGGTTTCCCTCCCGGTTTCCTTCCCGGTTTCCCGGTTTCCCGGTATCCCGGTATCCCGGTATCCTGGTATCCCGGTTTCCCGGTTTTCCGGTTTCCCGGTTTCCCGGTTTCCCGGTTTCCTGGTTGCCCGGTTGCCCGGTTTCCCGGTTGCCCGGTTTCCCGGTTTCCCGGTTTCCCGATTGCCCGGTTGCCCGGTTTCCCGGTTTCCCGGTTTCCCGGTTTCCCGGTTTTCAGGTATCCCGGTATCCCGGTATCCTGGTTTCGCGGTTTCCTGGTTTCCCGATATTCCGGTTTCTCGGTTTCCCGGTTGCCCGGTTTCCCGGTTGCCCGGTTTCCCGGTATCCCGGTTTCCCGGTTGCCCAGTTTTCCGGTATCTCGGTTTCCCGGTTTCCCGGTTTCCCGGTTTCCCGGTTTCCCGGTATCCCGGTTTCCCGGTATCGCGGTATCCCGGTTTCTCGGTATCCCGGTTTCTCGGTCTCCCGATTTCACGGTTTCCCGGTTTCCCGGTTTCCCGGTATCCCGGTTTCCCGGTTTCCCGGTTGCCCGGTTTCCCGGTTTCCCTGTTGCCCGGTTGCCCGGTTTCCCGGTTTCCCGGTTTCCCGGTATCCCGATTTCCCGGTTTCCCGTTTTCCTGGTTTCCCGGTTTCCCGGTTGCCCGGTTTCCCGGTTTCCCGGTTTCCCGGTTCCCCGGTATCCCGGTATCCCGGTATCCCCGTATCCCGGTTTCCCGGTATCCCGGTTTCCCGGTTTCCCGGTATCCCGGTTTCCCGGTTTCCCGGTTGCCCGGTATCCCGGTTTCCCGGTTTCCCGGTTTCACGGTATCGCGGTATCCCGGTTTCTCGGTGTCCCGGTTTCTCGGTCTCCCGGTTTCCCGGTTTCCCGGTTGCCCGATTTCCCGGTTTCCCGGTTGCCCGGTTGCCCGGTTTCCCGGTTGCCCGGTTTCCCGGTTTCCCGGTTTCCCGGTTTCCCGGTTTCCCGGTTTCACGGTTTCCCGATTGCCCGGTTTCCCGGTATCCCGGTTTCCCGGTATCCCGGTATCCCGGTTTCCCGGTTTCCCGGTATTCCGGTTTCCCGGTTTCCCGGTTTCCCGGTTTCCCGGTTTTCCGGTATCCGGTTTCCCAGTGTCGCGGTATCCTGGTTTCCCGGTATCCCGGTTTCCCGGCTTCCCGGTTTCCTGGTATCCCGGTTTCCCGGTTTCCCGGTATCCCGGTTTCCCGGTTTCCCGGTATCCCGGTTTCCCGGTTTCCCGGTATCCCGGTTTCCCGTTTCCTGGTATCCCGGTTTCCCGGTTTCCCGGTATCCCGGTATCCCGGTTCCCCGTGCGTCTTTCCCCATTCGGGCTTTCCCCATTCGGGCTTTCCCCGTGCGGGCTTTCCCCAGGTGGGGTGGGGTTGCTGCAGGTGGGGTGGGGTTGCTGCAGGTGGGGCGGGTTGCTGCTGCTGCAGGTGGGGCGGGTTGCTGCTGCTGCAGGTGGGGTGGGTTGCTGCTGCTGCAGGTGGGGTGGGTTGCTACTGCTGCAGGTGGTTCTGCAAGTGTGCTGCAAGTGCCTTGGCATGGTTGTGCTGTGCTATAGTATGGAACCAAATCAAGCATTTCCTGGAGATTTGTAGCATAGTCTGTTGTGCCCCATCCCGTGTAGCATAGTCTGTTGTGCCCCATCCCGTGTAGCATAGTCTGTTGTGCCCCATCCCGTGTAGCATAGTCTGTTGTGCCCCATCCCGTGTAGCATAGTCTGTTGTGTCCCATCCCGTGTAGCATAGTCTGTTGTGCCCCATCCCGTGTAGCATAGTCTGTTGTGCCCCATCCCGTGTAGCATAGTCTGTTGTGCCCCATCCCGTGCCATGCTGAAGTTGAATCCCGAAGCACTTACATACGTACACTCTAGAACCTTAACCCTTACTCTCCTTCGGTGTGCCTCTGCTTCCCTCCCCACTGCCCTTGCCACTGCCCTCCCCATTGCCCTCCCCATTGTCCCCCCCGTTGCCCTCCCCATTGCCCTCCCAATTGCCCTCCCCATTGTCCCCCCCGTTGCCCTCCCAATTGCCCTCCCCATTGTCCCCCCCGTTGCCCTCCCAATTGCCCTCCCCATTGTCCCCCCCGTTGCCCTCCCAATTGCCCTCCCCATTGTCCCCCCCGTTGCCCTCCCAATTTCCCTCCCCATTGTCCCCCCGTTGCCCTCCCAATTGCCCTCCCCATTGTCCCCCCCGTTGCCCTCCCAATTGCCCTCCCCATTGTCCCCCCCGTTGCCCTCCCAATTGCCCTCCCCATTGTCCCCCCCGTTGCCCTCCCAATTGCCCTCCCCATTGTCCCCCCCGTTGCCCTCCCAATTGCCCTCCCCATTGTCCCCCCCGTTGCCCTCCCAATTGCCCTCCCCATTGTCCCCCCCGTTGCCCTCCCAATTGCCCTCCCCATTGTCCCCCCCATTGCCCTCCCAATTGCCCTCCCCATTGTCCCCCCCGTTGCCCTCCCAATTGCCCTCCCCATTGTCCCCCCCGTTTCCCTCCCAATTGCCCTCCCCATTGCCCCCCCCGTTGCCCTCCCCGTTGCCCTCCCAATTGCCCTCCCCATTGCCCTCCCCGTTGCCCATGCCATGACTCGCCCAAGCCCGCCCTCTCCTCTCCCAGAAAGATCGCCTCGGTATGTTCCCTTTCTCAAGCCCCCTCCTCCCCTCCTTCCCTCCTGCCCTTCTCTCGTATGTCCGTGCCTCTGTTTCTCGTGTCCCTGGCCTGGCCACCCCCTTGCATTGTGCGCTGCACACTCCTCCAACCCCACTCGAACGGTCCTTCTCATTGAATAAGCGGTGCAGCATGTGTAAGACAAGGACCAACCTTCTGTTGCTTGCTGGTCTTTTCACTGCTGCACTCTGCACCTCAGTCCTCCACCCCCACACCCTCGTCATCCCACCTCTCCTGATTCCTCTCCCCTCCATCATCTCCCCAATCTCCCAAACCCCATGCAGGTCTCAGCAGTCCCCTGGTTTCTCTGGCATACATCACGCCCCCCATGGCCGTCACCTGCGGTCTCTTCTCGCTCGCCCTGGAGCCCCTCGCCTCGCTGCCCACCTCGCCCTACTTCTCCCCGCCCTCGCACCTCGCACCCACGATGCTTCTCCTGCTGCTGGGAGGGGTGCTCGCCTTCCTAATGGTATGCCTCAGGCAACTCTTTGCCCTTGCTCGTTCACTGTGTATTATGCTTCTCCTGCTGCTGCTGTTCCTGCTGCTGCCGCTCCTCATGCTATGCCTGCTCGCCTGCTTCGTGAGATGCCTCGCTGCCCACCTCGCCCTACTTCTCCCCGCGCTCGCACCTCGCGCCCACGCTGCTGCTGCTGCTGCTGCAGCTGCTGCTTCTGGGAGGGGTGCTCGCCTTCCTAATGGTGAGACTCAGCTCGTGCATTGGCCCGTCAATGAATGTTCACCCTGCATTGTGCTGCTCCTGCTGCTGGAAGGGAGGGGTGCTCTCATTCCTCATGGTATGCCCCACGCATGATCAAAGGGGTGAGTCTCACGCGAGCCTTACGCATGCTATGCACGCTCTCCCTTCCCCCTTTCTCCCCCCGCATCCATCAGACATGTCAGAGTTCTTAATTCTGCACATCAGCGCCGTCACTTTCTTTTGAGTAGACTCTAAAGTCTTCCCTTCTTCCCCCCAGCCCCTCCTCACCCCCTCCTCTTCCCTTCTCCCCCCCTCCTCCGCCCCCATCAGATCATGTCGGAGTTCTTACTCATCCTGCACACCAGCGCCGTCACCTTCTCTGTGGCCGGCACTGTCAAGGAGGGCGCCACCATCCTGGTGAGCATGGGGGGGGGTAGGGGGCCATTCTGGTGAGTTGACGCATAGGGAGCAGTTTCTGCTCATTCTGCACACCAGCGCCGTCACCTTCTCTGTGGCCGGCACTGTCAAGGAGGGCGCCACCATCCTGGTGGGTCAACAGTCAAGCTCCACCCTGATGCTCTCGTTGCTTACTCGCCCCACCACCCCAATATTCGCCCCACCACCCCAATATTCGCCCCACCACCCCAATATTCGCCCCACCACCCCAATATTCGCCCCACCACCCTCGCCCCACCACCCCAATACTCGCCCCACCACCCCAATATTCGCCCCACCATCCCAATACTCGCCCCACCACCCCAAAATTCGCCCCACCTCCCCATTCCATCCATCACCCCCCTCCATCCCCTCCCAGGTGTCCCACCTGGTGTTCTCCGATCGCTTCACGCGTGTCAACCTGGTGGGCGTGCTCATCATCATGATTGGCGTCTCACTCTTCAACCTGCACAGGTAACCACCTGCACCAGTAACAACCTGCACAGGTGACCACCTGCACTAGTATTCACCTGCACGTACCCACCTGCTCAGTGACCCACCTGCACAGGGACCCACCTGCAGCCCCTTGTGTGGTCTCACCAGTCCGCATATGCTCCCTGCTATCAACCCTCAACCCAAAAGTACTCCTGTCTCCCCGCGTCCTGCTCGATAACCCCACCTCTTCCCGCCCCCTCTCCCCCTTCCCCTTCCCCTTCCCCCTCCCTGTCCCCTCAGGCTGTCTCGTCCCCCCCGCACACACCGTGGAGGTTCAGCCCCTCTCACACCCACCACCCCCAGCGCTGCTCTCACTCCTACCTCAGTACCCACTACCCCTAATGCCTCACCCTTACACCAACCCCAATCTCACCAGCAGCCCCACCTTCATCCCCCTCCGCTCTGGACCTCCTCGTCTTCTACCCGCCTACCCACCTGCTCCCCTCGCTCCCAACCTCCCTCCCTGCACCTCTCCTCCCCTCCCCCTGCTGCTTCCTCTGCCCCTCGCCCCTCTGCTCCTGCCAGCATGAGCACTAACAGCAGCCCCGACAACAGCATTAACAGCAGCACTATTAGCACCACCATCAGCAGCACTAACAGCCATACTAACAACAAGCGCAGCAGCAGCAGTAGCAGCAGCAGCAGCAGTGGTGGCAGTGATGTGAGCAGAGCAAGGGTCAGTGGCAGTGGCAGCAGGGGCGAGAGCTCTGCTGTAGGGGTGAACTCTCCAGTGTTGAGAGTTGTGTGCGAGGAGAGGGAGGAAGAGGAAGGGCAGGAATCACAGCCGTTGTTGCTTGATGGCAGCAGTAACCACATACGCTCGTAGCTTGATATTGATCCTCCATGTCAGGTGTAATGTTCAAAGTACAGTTGTTATTCACCACACCACCATCCATGATGCTCATAGCACCAATTCTTGCAGGCTCCTTGCAGCCGCAGGTGTAGTGCAGCCGAGCACCAATAATGTACACATGTATCAGAGCACATGCACGCACGTACTGTACCAGGGCACATGTACACATGTATCAGAGCACATGCACGCACGTACTGTACCAGAGCACATGTACACATGTACAGTCCCAGAGCACATGTACACATGCCAAAAGGGCTGGCCTGGCTTCCCTCAGTATGGCTAGCCTAGCAGCATGTTGCGGTGATTTGTCTGTGGGTGTGTGTGCGAGCGAGAGCATTGATACAACGGGGTGCTGCACACCACATGCTGGCTGCGTTGCGTGAGGACTCATGCATTCTACTCCAAGAAGCCTCACGCACGAACCGTCACCCCCCGGATATAAGCGCCACCCTGGGATAAGCGCCAGGCACTTGTAATTGGCATATGGCGCTTATATCCGCTCCTCGATTATAAGCCCACCCCTGAAGGCTTACGTATTATAAGAGCCACCATTTGTATTAGTTTTTATAAAATTACTGGAATCTCTGTAGCGAAACACACTATTTGCATCCTGACATATTGAAATTTCGACCCTTCACCCTCGCGCGACTCACTGCCTCACCCTCGCACGACTCACTGACTGCGCGTCCAGTCAGAATGAGCTGTCATGGGGCGAAATGACTCATTCTGACTGTGTGTGTTGGCAGCTTGCAAACTTACGCGCGATTCTTGTTCACAACCCCCTATGATCTTGACTCGATTGAAATCGCAATGACAAGATGAACACTTTGGAGTGAAAACAACTAGATTTCATATATGTCAGTGTATAAGCCCCGGCGCTTATAAAAATCCTCGATTATAAGCCCACCCCCCTACAAAAACATGTTTTATTATACCCCCCCATGGGGGCTTATCCGGGGGGTGACGGTATGACTCATGAAGCTCCGAGTCTGGGAGCGAACCAACAAGCCTGCCGCACAGGGTGCATGCATGCTGTTCATGATAACAGAGCCTCTAGTTTTGCTGATTCGTGGCTGATTTCTCATCAGACTTTCCTTTAAAATTCCGTGATAGTGATATTTGTGTAGATTTACCCATCTGCTCAGAAGAATCTGCGGATGCTTCAGAATTGCACGACAATAAGGTATTTCCAGCCTGCTAAACAACCAACCTGAGGAGGACCTCATGCCCCATGGCCTGCAAAGCAACCAAGCCCTAACATGTAAAATCACATGAAGTAGGAGAGGGGGGTGATCTTGCGGGAGGCCCCTTCCCCGAACTGCTCGTTCCACTGCATCAGCTCCATCATTGCTGCTGCATCGCTGCTCACACTCGCACGCACCTGCCAGGCACAAAGGGAACGAGGACACATGATAGCATGCGTGTTTGAGTGCGTGTCCGTGTGTACGTGTGTGAAACTGCTCGTTCCACTGCATCAGCTCCATCATTGCTGCTGCATCGCTGCTCACACTCGCCCGCACCTGCCAGGCACAGCGAGAGAGAGAATGCATTGGAGCGTGTGTGTTTGAGTGCGTGCTTCTGTGTGAGTGTCTGTGTGCAAGCGTGAGTGTGCATGCATGCGCACGTGTGTGCGTGCACTCAGCAGCACAGCAGCATGGCAGCATGGCAGCACAGCGGCACGGCAGCATGGCAGCATGACCCACCTTCTCCATGGCTTTCCGCATGTCCTCCATGCTGATTGGCCGCATGCATGGCGCAGCGACAGGTGAAGCCGCAAGAGAAGCAGCGCCTTGAGGCTCATGTGAGCCAGAGCCAACGTCAGCAGCACCAGCCTCGCCCTCCCGCCTGCCACTCGCTGCTAAGCCGCTGCTTCCACTGCTGCCCTCTGCGCCTCCCTCTCTCCTCTCAACCTCCTCTTTTTCCTGCAAGCAACCCCCAATAGAAAGGTGGAAGCTCACGTGGTGAGTGCTGGTGTATCAAGGGTGCTGGTGTACAAGGGTATGAGGGTGGAAGCTAAGGCACGTGAGTGCCTGTGTTGACATTCTAGTTAGCACATGACATGGTCGTACGGCTGTGGCACAGCACATACGCAACAGAGAGAAAGAGCAGTGCACACGAGCCCTCTTTGTGCCCCAACCCAAGCACCCCTCACCTTCTTCTCCTTGTCCAGCAACTCCTTTATTCTCAGAAACGCCGCTGTCACACACAGGTTCTGCTCACACACGGTAAGATGGTGCCTCTCTGTGTCCCAAGCACCCCTCACCTTCTCCTCACCCCTCACCTTCTCCTCGCCCCTCACCTTCTTCTCCTTGTCCAGAAACTCCTTAATTCTCAGGAACGCTGCTGTCACACACAGGTTCTGCTCACGCACAGTGAGAGGATAAGGGAAGAGCAGGGGCGACAGGTGAGGGGAGGGGGTGTTGGAGAGGGTGGTGTATGCAGGGATGATGCTTCCATTACTTGTGATTGGCGGAATGCACGATGGTAAGAGAATCACGTCAAGGGGGCAGTAGTAGTCGGTGGCAGGGCAGGAGCATTCGGTTTCGAGATGTCCGCAAACAGAGCGTCCTCACCTTGAGGTCGCTACCAGAGTACCCATCAGTGGCAGCAGCGAGTTCATCAGTAGAAAAGCCACGTTCGAGCTCCTCGTCCTTCAGAATCACCGCCAGGATCTTGGCCCGGTTGGGGCAGTCAGGCAGGTCCACGAACAGCCTGCGAGCACATGGAGGGGGACGCACGAGAACGAGAGGTAAGGAAGCCTTGCAGGGGCAGACGGTGGATGGGGTGTGGCAGAGGTAGAGAGAGAGGTTTGGCGTTTAAATCTGCTCAGTTCAGGCCAACTCAGCCTCGCACAGCACCCACCTTCTGGGGAACCGTTTAATGACAGCGTCGTCAAGGTCGTGGAGACGGTTGGTGGCGCCGAGCACCAGGACGAATTAAGAGGCGCCAGAATGCATGGCAAGTGCCCCAACCCAAGGCCCTACCTGTGCTCTTACATGCCTCAGCGCACCACACACCGTCTGGGGAAGCTCCTGATGACGGCGCCGTCTAGGTCGTGCGGGCGGTTGGTGGCGCCGAGCACGAGGATGATTAGAGAGGCAGCCAACAGGAATGCACGGCAAGCGAGTGCTTCAAACCAAGAGACCTCAGCGCAGCACCCACCTTCTGGGAAAGCGTCTAATGACGGCGTCGTCCAGGTCGTGGGGGCGGTTGGTGGCGCCGAGCACAAGAATGCGCTCAGCCTGCTTGGATCGCAGCCCGTCCCAAGCCGCCATGAACTCGTTCTTGAGCTTTCGCATTGCACTGTGCTCCGAGTCGCCCCCTCTCCGCCCCAACATGCTGTCCACCTGACGGGGGAACACGAGAAAGATAGCGAGGGAGGAGTGAGAGGAAGAGGTTGAGGCAGGAGTGAGAGCAGGATTGAGCAATGAGAGCTTGCGAGCATGCGCAGTGGCCTTTTCCCACCAACAATGCAGTGCTCCCCGCCTGTTACACAAGAGGAGAAGAAGAGATACGGTATCAACCAGCCCACTCGCTCACTCACTCGCTCACTCACCCACCCACCCACCCACTCACTCACTCACTCACTCACCTCATCCACGAAGATGACACACGGCGCGATTTTACTGGCCAGCGTAAACACCGCCTTCACGTATTTCTCTGCCTCGCCAAACCACTGGTGTGAGAGGGGGATGAAGGGGGGGGGGAATTAGGAAGATTTAAAACAAAGGTGTGATGGCGATGTCGCCGGCGAGAGATACGAGACGATGGGCACTGAAAAGCTTCGTTGGCTTGTAAACACGAAGAGGAGAGGCGGAGCACAGAGCGGAGGGGGGGAGATAGAGCGAGGAGGAGTACGCACCTTGGAGGCCACAGAGGCCGTGGAGAGGGAGATGAAGTTGGCACTCGACTCTGTAACCACTACCTTGCCCAGCATCGTGATGCCCTCTCAGTCCACCCACCAGTCGCATGGAGATGGGCAGCTTGGGCGAGAGGAGCAGCAGAGGAGGAGAGGACATAGAGAAGAGGAGGAGCACAGGAGGGAGAGGGCATAGAGAAGAGGAGGAGCACAGGAGGGAGAGGGCATAGAGGAAAGGAGGAGCACAGGAGGGAGAGGGCATAGAGAAGAGGAGGAGCACAGGAGGGAGAGGGCATAGAGAAGAGGAGGAGCACAGGAGGGAGAGGGCATAGAGGAAAGGAGGAGCGCAGGAGGGAGAGGGCATAGAGAAGAGGAGGAGCACAGGAGGGAGAGGGCATAGAGAAGAGGAGGAGCACAGGAGGGAGAGGGCATAGAGGAAAGGAGGAGCACGGGAGGGAGAGGGCATAGAGAAGAGGAGGAGCACAGGAGGGAGAGGGCATAGAGAAGAGGAGGAGCACAGGAGGGAGAGGGCATAGAGGAAAGGAGGGGTACGAACCTTGGAGGCCACAGAGGCCATGGAAAGACTGATGAAGTTGGCCCCTGACTCGGTAGCAACCGCCTTGCCCAGCATCGTCTTGCCCGTGCCTGGTGGCCCGAACAGCAGCAGCCCCCGCACCGGCTGGTTGCGGGGGGAGCGAGAAGAGGGGAGGAGGGTAGGAGGGCGGTTGAGTAATGCAAGAGTGGCGGGGTATCACCGCAGGTAGCACCTCCCAAGGGTCCCACCTCCCTGACTCGGTAGCAACCGCCTTGCCCAACATCGTCTTGCCTGTGCCTGGAGGGCCGAACAGCAGCAGCCCCCGCACCGGCTGTGGGGTTGGTGGGGGGCGGGGTTGGTGGGGAGGAGGGTGATTGGGAGGCGGGCAAATGGGAGAGGGGCACAGTGAGTGAGGCGACGCGTGGAAGCGAGGGGAGCACCAGTAGCCTGTATTGTAGTGGGGTATGGGAATGCGAGATGGGCGGCGTGAGCTGTGAAAGTAGCAAATTGAACAAGTGATTAGATTAGAGGAACAACCTAGCATACATAGTTCGAAGGGAAGGTTGGAAGGGAAGGATGAAAGTGACCATAGGTTGGGTTGACCTCACTTGGGGAAGTGAGGGAACCATAGGTCAAGTGGGTTGGGTTGCCCACACTTTGTAGAAGTGAGGCAACCCTAGGCCCACTTGGCTTGGGGTAACCTCAATTGTGGGAAGTGAGGTACCCACAAGTCAAGAGGGTTGCATTTGGGGGCTCCACCACAATTGGGTGGATTGGCACCCCAAAGTGCAAGACTACACCCAAAGTTGGGTGTAGTCCCAACCCAACTGTACACCACAATTGGTGTACAGTCACATGTGTTGGCATGCTACACAATATATATTTTAACATGAGCGACTAGAAGGGGCAAATGGGGGTTGGGGCAATGGGAGGCAGGGAAGGGAGGAGTGAGCCGGGAGGCTGGGTTGGGAGGGAATGCAAGTCAAGGAACATGCAGGAAGAAAAGGGGAACGAAAATGTAGCACAGCCTTATGAAGAATGCCTTGGTGAGTTGCCCCGTTTGGAAGAGCTCTGGGCGCTGCAGCGGCAGCATGACCACCTCCCTCAGAGCCTCCTTGACGCCCTCCAGCGCACCAATGTGCTCAAAACGCACGCCCAGCTCCTCCGTTAAAGTACTGCTACTGGATGGTTACCTTGGTGAGCTGGCCGGTCTGGAAGAGCTCTGGGCGCTGCAGCGGCAGCATGACCACCTCCCTTAAAGCCTCCTTCACGCCCTCCAGGGCACCGATGTGCTCAAAACGCACGCCCAGCTCCTCTGCAGGTATCACCTCCCCCAGAAGCAGCCTCTCAAAGTCGTTGTCACACGTTACGTCCTGAGGGCGGGTGGAATGGGTTGCCAGAGAAGAATTCTGTAAAAGCGCATATGTTCAGCAGACCTAGGCAGCAGGTCAGGCCAGCAGGCCGCACTGTGGTGAGCCAAACGCCCATCCTTGTTTGAAACACTGCAAGCTGCTATCCTGACAGCTCCTCGTAAAGCCCACTCTGAAGCCCACCTGAAGTGCCTTGCGCTGTGCGGCTGGCTGCTGCTGAGATGCTCCCTCCACCACCTCCACTCCATGCCGAATACTGCCGCCCAGTGGTGATTGCAAAAGAGAGAAGGCGAATGGATAGCAGCAACACACAATGAGGAGGTCGACGAATGTGACAACAGCAAGAGGTGCTATTATCAGTTGATATGATGGGCACTGCTGAACTGAAAGCAAGGTGCATGCAAGTGCCATTGGTTGGGGTGAGGGCGTGAGAAAGTGAGAATGCAAGTGTGTGAGAGGGTAAGAGCAGAACAGGGTGAGAGGGTGAGAGGGTAAGGGAGTGACAGATGAAGCAGACCTGGAGAGAGAGAGCGGGAGGCGGGCAGGAGGCGTGTCGGCTTGTTGGCTGTGCTGTAGCTGGTGACTGATAGCCCACCCCACCATGCGCTCCGCTCCTGATCATGGGTGCAAAGGGAACTGAGCAGACTTATGAGTTGAAAACAAAGAGAATGTGAGGTTCTCTTCCTATACTCAGCATATGGAATGAAAAGAAGGGTGTGCGAATTGACTTACCCTCCTGCGGAAGAACGTTGGCAGATACGAGTATCACGTATAATACGCTAGCGTATTATACGCTGGGTATATACGCGGTACGCTAGGGGTGGCGTACTGGTGATACGTAAAAATACGCCGGGCGGGCAGGTAAAACTTTTTTCCCGGGCAGGGCTAAAAAAACCTGTTTCAGGGGGGCGGGTTATGTTTCCCAAAAACACATGTTTTTTAATTTCATAATTATCCAGAGATACATCTTTGGGGCTACTTCTCCCCACCCCATACATCCCCACCCCACCCTCTAGCTAGCCTCCACACAGCCGAGTTCCTTGCGGGGCTTTTCCAACACCACCCCTGCCCCATACTCATCCGCCAGAACTGCATCCTCTCCTTCCCCCCCCAGGGCGATATGCGACTGCGCGGTAACAAATCGCCAAGTCGCAAAACCTTCGCGAAATTTTTCAATTTCGATTTTTTTTTTTCGGCGGGCTGCCCGGGCGTATTTCCAAGAAATACGAGCGTATTAGCGTACCACGTATATACGCAAGCGTATATACGTGGTACGCAACCCTGCCCAGGGCGTATCTGCCAACGTAGCGGAAGAGAGTGCGAGGCGATTGACAGCCTGTCAATGTCTGCACACTCCACTCCCGCCGTGCACATCACCTGCTCACATGCACACATGAACTCAATCACACACGCACATGCACAGACACACACACACACACACACACATCATGTGTTATTATTGAACAGGTAGCAGTGGACGGAGACAGAGGTAAGCCAACCATACTGGTAACCTGCCACACATCAATGACCACACCCCACCACCTATAACCACATTCCACCACCTATACCCCACCCCACCACCCATCACAGCACTTCATCCACCCATCACCACACCGCACACCACCACCCATCACCACACCGCACACCACCACCCATCACCACACCACACACTACCACCCATCACCACACCACACACCACCACCCATCACCGCACTCCACCCACCGATCTAAGCAGGCGGCGGTTGCTCTCAGCACGCATCAGCTCCACGTCACCCTCCAGCTGCCTCGTCCAATCACGCTGTGCCACGTCATCGTCTTGCGCGGGCGGCAGCACCGGGATGGACGTGGGGAAGAGGCGAGAAACCGCCCTGCTGCCCCCCTTGCCCCCGCCGCCCTCCCCCCGCCCGTCCTCTAGCCGCGATGAAAGCTGGTCCTGAGGGATGGGAGGAGGACGGCGTCTGAGGGGGAAGCATACAGCCTCTCAACCAAAGAGGCGAGACACCGCCCTGCCGCCCACCTTGCCCCCGCCGCCCTCCAACCGCCCGTCCTCTAGCCGTGAGGAGAGCTGGTCCTGAGGTGAGGGAGGAGTAAGAGGGGCCCTTTTCCAAGATGAACCAGGGAGAGCGCATAAGGGTGGGTCGGAACCGAAGGTGCGCCACAAGACGGGGCCTTTGCAGCTCCTCCCGTCCCGTGGGCAGTGGACGTGGGGCGGGCTGCTATGTGGCATGGGCGTACCAGGAAGGAGAGGTCGAGGAGAGCAGAGAGCTTGTCTGTGGGCTTGGGGGCTGCAATGTGGCATAGCAAGGATGGATCATAGCAGCAAGGACGGGCGGCGCCCTACCAGAAAGGAGGGCCAGGGCCGGGGCGTACCAGGAAGGAGAGGTCGAGGAGAGCAGAGAGCTTGTCCGTGGGCTTAGGGGCTGCTGCCGCTGCTGGCGGCTAGGGGAGCAAGGATGGGCCTACCAGGAAGGAGCGGCGAAGCGGGGCCCTAACAGGAAGGAGAGGTCGAGGAGAGCAGAGAGCTTGTCTGTGGGCTTGGGGGCTGCAATGTGGCATAACAAGGATGGATCATAGCAGCAAGGACGGGCGGCGCCCTACCAGAAAGGAGGGCCAGGGCGGGGGCGTACCAGGAAGGAGAGGTCGAGGAGGGCAGAGAGCTTGTCCGTGGCCTTGGGGGCTGCTGCCGCTGCTGGCGCCTGGAGGGGGTGGAAGAGCACAGCACAGCGAGGGGAGGTGGTGGGATGGGAGGAAGGAATGCAGGGAGGAGAGTAAGTAAAGCAGAGTCGCTTTGAGTAAATTTGAAAGGCTTGGAGGGAGCTCCGCGGATAGAACAGAGCGAGGAGAAGCTTTGGGAGACAGGGCGAGGTGAAGGTTGAGTGAGGCGACGGGCAAGCAGGGTGGAGTGCGCAGATAAGGATGGTGCTGAGGCGAGGGGTGAAGGAACAAGAGGTGCTGGTCTGGTGGGAAGCATGCGGCTGTTGCACGCACACCACATGCCCTTGCCATTCGCCATGTCAGGCCGCGTAATGCATGCCTGCCCACCATGACATTCCATGCGCCATGTCATGTCACATCATCATGCATGGCTGCTGTGTCATGCCATGCATGGCTGCCACCCACCTTGTCCTTTTTGGGCGGCACTGTGTGAGAGCCAATCACCACCAGCCGCAGCGGCTCACTCTTCTCCTTCACCTCCTTCCCCTTCTCCCCCTTCTCCCCCTTCTCCCCTTTCTCCGCAACTCTCTCCCCAACAACACCCAAGCGCTCCATGCGCTCCAGCCTAACAAGCCTCTCGTAATGCGCCGCTGCGATTCTGTCTGCGCCCGGGATGAACACAATGAGCGGGGTTGTGGCCGCTACGGTTGCTGCCACCTGGCAGTACAACGCATCGGTTGAAAACGGGAGGAGGGAGGAGAAGGGGAAGGAGAAAACACACAGAATAAAAGGGGATTCTTGTAATGAGCAAAATAAGCGGAGGTATAGCTTTCAAATTAAGCGCAAGGCCGCAGCCTCTCTGTCTGCGCCAGGTCTGAGCGTGGTTGATGCTGATATGGTTGGGCCACCTGGCAGTACAAGGCATGGGAGGAAAGGCAGGGAGAGAGGGAGGGGGGGAGGGGGGGAGGAGAAGAGACATAAGACAAAGGGGGCTCTCGTGGTGAGTCCCTGCCACTGTGTGGAATAAACTTGCTGAGACGATTCATATCAATGTCATCATGCTCACGCCCACTCATCGCCATGCAGTGGTCTACCAGCTGCTTCTCCACGTCATCTGCTTGTGAACCCACTCACCCCCGTGCTCCCACTCACCCCCACTGACCGCCACTCACCGCCATGCAGTGGTCTACCAGCTGCTTCTCCGCGTCGTCTGCTGCCGCCCCCTCCAGCCGCAGCTCCGACACTACCCAAGGGCATGGGGGGGAGGGAGGTGGGGGAGGCGGAGAGAAGGGGAGAGAGAGTGTTGGGTGCTTCGCAAGAGACTCATGAGTCGCCTCATTGGACCCCCCCTCCAGCCGCAGCTCCGACACTGCCACGTGGCGCAGGGAATGGAAGGCAACGAGGGAGTGGGGGTTGGCGTGCAGAGAGAGGTGACTCCTAAGTCGCTTCAAAGCCGCCTCCTCCATCCCCAGCTTCAACACTCACACAGAGCTTGAGCTCACATTGTTACACTCAAAAGGCCAGACTACCTACCGTGACACCACGCGCCATGCCCCTCATCACACACGTCCACCAGAATGGACTTGTTGAACCTACCGTGGCACCATGCCCCATGCACTGCGCTTCAACAGCCAAGCCAGCATGGCACGGACTCGGGTCCTCCGAACCCGCATACCTACCGTGGCACCACGCGCCGTGCCCCTCGTCACACACGTCCACCAGACTGCTGCCGCCCGGGATGGGGTTGTCAAATCCACCATAGAATGGCACCATGACCCATCATGCACCTGCTACCTACCGTGGCACCATGACCCATCATGCACCTGCTACCTACTGTGGCACCATGACCCATCATGCACCTGCTACCTACCGTGGCACCATGACCCATCATGCACCTGCTACCTACCGTGGCACCATGACCCATCATGCACCTGCTACCTACCGTGGCACCATGACCCATCATGCACCTGCTACCTACCGTGGCACCATGACCCATCATGCACCTGCTACCTACCGTGGCACCATGACCCATCATGCACCTGCTACCTACCGTGGCACCATGACCCATCATGCACCTGCTACCTACCGTGGCACCATGACCCATCATGCACCTGCTACCTACCGTGGCACCATGACCCATCATGCACCTGCTACCTACCGTGGCACCATGACCCATCATGCACCTGCTACCTACCGTGGCACCATGACCCATCATGCACCTGCTACCTACCGTGGCACCATGACCCATCATGCACCTGCTACCTACCGTGGCACCATGACCCATCATGCACCTGCTACCTACCGTGGCACCATGACCCATCATGCACCTGCTACCTACCGTGGCACCATGACCCATCATGCACCTGCTACCTACCGTGGCACCATGACCCATCATGCACCTGCTACCTACCGTGGCACCATGACCCATCATGCACCTGCTACCTACCGTGGCACCATGACCCATCATGCACCTGCTACCTACCGTGGCACCATGACCCATCATGCACCTGCTACCTACCGTGGCACCATGACCCATCATGCACCTGCTACCTACCGTGGCACCATGACCCATCATGCACCTGCTACCTACCGTGGCACCATGACCCATCATGCACCTGCTACCTACCGTGGCACCATGACCCATCATGCACCTGCTACCTACCGTGGCACCATGACCCATCATGCACCTGCTACCTACCGTGGCACCATGACCCATCATGCACCTGCTACCTACCGTGGCACCATGACCCATCATGCACCTGCTACCTACCGTGGCACCATGACCCATCATGCACCTGCTACCTACCGTGGCACCATGACCCATCATGCACCTGCTACCTACCGTGGCACCATGACCCATCATGCACCTGCTACCTACCGTGGCACCATGACCCATCATGCACCTGCTACCTACCGTGGCACCATGACCCATCATGCACCTGCTACCTACCGTGGCACCATGACCCATCATGCACCTGCTACCTACCGTGGCACCATGACCCATCATGCACCTGCTACCTACCGTGGCACCATGACCCATCATGCACCTGCTACCTACCGTGGCACCATGACCCATCATGCACCTGCTACCTACCGTGGCACCATGACCCATCATGCACCTGCTACCTACCGTGGCACCATGACCCATCATGCACCTGCTACCTACCGTGGCACCATGACCCATCATGCACCTGCTACCTACCGTGGCACCATGACCCATCATGCACCTGCTACCTACCGTGGCACCATGACCCATCATGCACCTGCTACCTACCGTGGCACCATGACCCATCATGCACCTGCTACCTACCGTAGCACCATGACCCATCATGCACCTGCTACCTACCGTGGCACCATGACCCATCATGCACCTGCTACCTACCGTGGCACCATGACCCATCATGCACCTGCTACCTACCGTGGCACCATGACCCATCATGCACCTGCTACCTACCGTGGCACCATGACCCATCATGCACCTGCTACCTACCGTGGCACCATGACCCATCATGCACCTGCTACCTACCGTGGCACCATGACCCATCATGCACCTGCTACCTACCGTGGCACCATGACCCATCATGCACCTGCTACCTACCGTGGCACCATGACCCATCATGCACCTGCTACCTACCGTGGCACCATGACCCATCATGCACCTGCTACCTACCGTGGCACCATGACCCATCATGCACCTGCTACCTACCGTGGCACCATGACCCATCATGCACCTGCTACCTACCGTGGCACCATGACCCATCATGCACCTGCTACCTACCGTAGCACCATGACCCATCATGCACCTGCTACCTACCGTGGCACCATGACCCATCATGCACCTGCTACCTACCGTGGCACCATGACCCATCATGCACCTGCTACCTACCGTGGCACCATGACCCATCATGCACCTGCTACCTACCGTGGCACCATGACCCATCATGCACCTGCTACCTACCGTGGCACCATGACCCATCATGCACCTGCTACCTACCGTAGCACCATGACCCATCATGCACCTGCTACCTACCGTGGCACCATGACCCATCATGCACCTGCTACCTACCGTGGCACCATGACCCATCATGCACCTGCTACCTACCGTGGCACCATGACCCATCATGCACCTGCTACCTACCGTGGCACCATGACCCATCATGCACCTGCTACCTACCGTGGCACCATGACCCATCATGCACCTGCTACCTACCGTGGCACCATGACCCATCATGCACCTGCTACCTACCGTGGCACCATGACCCATCATGCACCTGCTACCTACCGTGGCACCATGACCCATCATGCACCTGCTACCTACCGTGGCACCATGACCCATCATGCACCTGCTACCTACCGTGGCACCATGACCCATCATGCACCTGCTACCTACCGTGGCACCATGACCCATCATGCACCTGCTACCTACCGTGGCACCATGACCCATCATGCACCTGCTACCTACCGTGGCACCATGACCCATCATGCACCTGCTACCTACCGTGGCACCATGACCCATCATGCACCTGCTACCTACCGTGGCACCATGACCCATCATGCACCTGCTACCTACCGTGGCACCATGACCCATCATGCACCTGCTACCTACCGTGGCACCATGACCCATCATGCACCTGCTACCTACCGTGGCACCATGACCCATCATGCACCTGCTACCTACCGTGGCACCATGACCCATCATGCACCTGCTACCTACCGTGGCACCATGACCCATCATGCACCTGCTACCTACCGTGGCACCATGACCCATCATGCACCTGCTACCTACCGTGGCACCATGACCCATCATGCACCTGCTACCTACCGTGGCACCATGACCCATCATGCACCTGCTACCTACCGTGGCACCATGACCCATCATGCACCTGCTACCTACCGTGGCACCATGACCCGTGCACCTGCTACCTACCGTGGCACCATGACCCGTGCACCTGCTACCTACCGTGGCACCATGACCCGTGCACCTGCTACCTACCGTGGCACCATGACCCGTGCACCTGCTTGCTACCTACCGTGGCACCATGACCCATGCACCTGCTACCTACCGTGGCACCATGACCCATGCACCTGCTACCTACCGTGGCACCATGCGCCATGCCCGTCGTCGCATACATCCACGAGACTGTTGCCGCCCGGGATGGGCTTGTCAAAACGCACGCCCACGCGGTGCGGGTTTTCTTCCAGCACCACCACCACCCGCCCCTTGAGACCCACTGGGGGGCCGCGCCTGGAGTGAGGGCGCACAACAGGGAAAGGGAAAGAATCAGGGAAAGTGGGGTTGCAGAGAGGCAGAGGGATGGGCTTGTCAAGCCGTACACCCGCTCGGTGGGGTTTTCCTCCAACACCACCACCACACGCCCCTTCAACCCCACTGGTGGACCACGCCTGCGAAGAGGAGGACGCACAACGAGGTAAAGGAATGCATTCAGTGGGGAGGGGGGTAGCAAGCAGGCAGAGGGAATGGGCTTGTCAAAGCGCTCGGCTGGGTGTTCTCCTCGAATGGGCAGACACGGTGGGTGTTCTCCTCCAACACCATCACCACACGGCCCTTTAAACCCACTGGTGGGCCACGCCTGGAATGAGTTAAGGGAAGGGAGTGTATTGGGAGGGGGTTTGGAGAGACGCACAGGGATGGGCTTGCCAAAGCGCTCGGCTGCTCGGTGTGGGGGATCATAGGGGCAGCGGTGGGAGAACAGGAGAGGAGGGGTTGGCTGAATGGCGCAGCGCAAACAGAAGAGCAAGCATGTGAGCATGAGCATGGGAGTCAGATGTGCGAGAGGGAGGAGGAACTGGTGACTGATGAAGCAGAGGGAGTGAGAGGAGCAACGGGGAGAGCGAGGGGCAGTGTGCAAGAGGCTCGAATACTGACATGGAGGGTGGCAGAAGCGAGGCAGAGGACTGTGGGGGTGCAGAAGTGCAGAGTGCGGTGGGAGAGACGGGGGAGAGGAGGGACGAGCGAGTGGGGAAGTGGCAGAGGCTCGAATACTGACATGGAGGGTGGCAGAAGCGAGGCCGATGGCGGTGGGGGTGCAGCAGAGGAGAGCGAGGGCGGGCCCATGTAGCGCACTCTGTCGCCTGGGGGCGGGGAGGGCGAAGGCGAGGGCGAAACGTGAGGCAGGGAGGGTTGAACAGGCAGGGGAGAGCGAGGGCGGACCATGCAGCGCACTCTGTCGCCTGGATGAGGGTTGGGCGAGGGCGAGGAAAGAACGGGCAGGTTCACAAGGAGGATGGGGCCATGCCATGTACCTGACTCTGTCCCTTGAGAGAGTGGGCAGCAATGGCAGATATTCTTTTGGCTAAGTGGAGCAGAGATTGCTCGAAAATGACAAACAAACAGGGAACATATATATAATTATACACACACACACACACACAGACACACACACACACACACATACACACACTCACACACCCACACACACAAACACACACACACACACACGGGAAGGGCAAGTATGCAAGGACACTACCACGTTGCCAGTCCATAGGGGGCTCTTCCAGAATACCTTTCTTAAAACCCTTCTTCGACCCCTCCACACTCTCGCTGCTCTTCTTCCCATCGCTTCCTGCACCCTCCTTCTCCTTCTCCCCCTTGCTCTTCACCTTGTGCCCTGTACCTGCCACCGCTGCCCCACTCCCCGCCTCATCCCTGCTCCCACCCTTCCCTGCACCATCCCCCTCACCCGCTCCCTCCTTCGCTGCGCTCTTCGATCCCTTGCTGCTACCCTTCTTCTTATGGTGGGAGGAGGACGACGAGGAGGAAGAGGAGGATTTGGAGTGGTGGGAGTGGGAGCAGGGGATAAGCGAGGAGGAGAGCTCCTTCAGCTTCACTGCTCGCAGATCCACACCACCTTTCCCTCCTCCCGCACCCCCACTGCTGCGTTTACTCGACGTGCTGCCCCGCTGCCCCTCCTCCTCCTGCTCTGCCCTATTGGGCTTGGCACCGTCACCAGCAGCGGCAGTGCTGGTGTGGGTACTGCCAGTGTGTGCAGTGCTGGGGGGCGGTATGCTGTCCGGCTGGGTGCTGGCAGAAGGACCAGCAGCAGCAGTGCTCTGCTCCGCCTCCTCACACATGCCAGCTGCGGCAGTGGAAGCAGACGAAGCAGCACCAGCAGGACAGGAGGCAGAAGTTGCAGTGACGGCACCGGCAACGATGTTGCTGCTGCTGCAACCATAAGCAGGCAGAGTACCAGCCCCCTGCACACAAGGCACACTGTGCGCCTCTTCTGCTTCCCCCCCTGCTCCTCCCCCCTCCCTCTCCCCACTTTCCCTCTCCGCCCCCTCCCTCTCCGCCCTCTCTGTCTCCGCCCTCACCCGCTCCCCTTCCCCCTCCACCCTGTCCCCCCCTTGCCCTTCATCCATTCCACCTGCCAGCTCCAGCTCCCCTGACGCCACGTCAGCAGGGCCATCGCTCTCCACATCAGCAGCCACGGCGGATTCCCCCTCTCCCCCATCACCCCCTTCCCCGTCACCACCTCCCCCATCCCCCCCCCCGGATACTTGTTCCCCCCCTGCAGCCTCACTCGTGGGACCAGCACCTTGTGCCTCCCCTGGTCCCCCTGTCTCTCCCGCCCCCTCCCCACTCACTGCACCGCCTTCTCTTTGCCTCCCCTCCTCGCCCTCCTCCTCTTCCTCCTCCTCCTCCCCATCATGCACCTCTGCTGCATCCCCAGAACTCTCGCCCACACCTCCCTCCGTGCCCGCTCCTCCTCCTTCCCCGCCCTTTCCTCCTACTTCCCCTGCTTCTGCGTGCCCTGTCGCAGCACTCACACCCGGCCCTGCCACCGTATCAGGTGACTCTTCCCCCCCAGCTGCTGTTGCTGCCACTCCTGCTGCTGATGTTGACGCGGGTGCCGATGCTGATTCTGATGCTTGAGATGACGCCGATTCTAATGCCAATGTTGCTTCACTGGTGCTGGCTTGAGGAAAAGCACCGCCAGCCTTGGTTGCCAGAGCCACCTGTAATGTAGAGAGTATCGAACGGAAGCCAGTTATTTAGGCGCCTCACAGCCAACCGTGGTTGCTAAAACCACCTGCGTTGCACAGAGTATGGGACACAAGCTGCTACATTAGGCGCCTGTAAAAGCAGAACCTTCACCAGCCATACCTGCACCAGCCATACCTGCACCAGCCATACCTGCACCAGCCATACCTGCACCAGCCATACCTGCACCAGCCATACCTGCACCAGCCATACCTGCACCAGCCATACCTGCACCAGCCATACCTGCACCAGCCATACCTGCACCAGCCATACCTGCACCAGCCATACCTGCACCAGCCATACCTGCACCAGCAATACCTGCACCAGCCGTACCTGCACCAGCCGTACCTGCACCAGCCATACCTGCAGCAGCCGTACCTGCCTGCGGCAGCCGTACCTGTACCAGCCGCCGTACTTGCGGCAGCCATACCTGCACCAGCCGTACCTGCAGCAGCCATAGCTGCACCAGCAGTACCTGCAGCAGCCATAGCTGCACCAGCCGTACCTACACCAGCCATACCATACCTGCAGCAACCGTATCTGCAGCAGCCGTACCCACAGAGCAACGCAAGCATCTCATACCTTCACCAGCCGTACCTGCAGCAGCATGTTGGGAAGATCAAATATCAAAAGCTTTGCATCCAGGTGCCGAGCCAACGCCCGAACCAACTGCTCCTGGTACCGCTCCGAGCCTGCAGGTTCGGAGTGGAAGCAAGGAAACAAACAAGGCAGGTACGGTGTTGTGTGAGTGACTCGAGCCATGCAGCTTTGAGAATTCTTGAAAGTGCATTGCACGCAGGCACACATGGTAACAGCCAGATACACCAACTCATAAGAATACTAAATTAGGAGACTGATGGACCCATAGGCTCACACAGCTTGTCTCCTCGCTAAACAGATTACATGCAGGACAAATACGAAGTGTGAGACCGGGAGGGAAGGGGGGGAAGATAGAGGCACTTGACTTGAGCTAGGCGAGAGGAGAGGGAGAGGGGCACGGGAACCTGGGAAGCGGAGAAGAGGGGGGAGAGAGAGGAGGGACCTGGGGGGGCGGAGAGCAGAATGCGCGCGGAGAGCGCGGGGAGGTCAGCGGTGAAGCGCAGGAACTCGGGGCGACCTGTGAGGAGACCTATGGGAAGACCTAACAGGAGGGAAAGGGGTCACCTGGGGGGCCGGAGAGCAGGATGCGAGCAGAGAGCGAGGGGAGGTCGGCGGTGAAGCGCAGGAACTTGGGGCGGCGCAGGCGGATGAAACACGCGTCCACCAGCACGTTGCGCGTGGTGTCGCTGCCACGGGGAACGAGGGAGGGGGGGCGGGTGAATAGGGGAAAGGGGGCATGAGCAGGGAGGGGAGGGCGTAAGGGAGGCGGAAGGGCGTAGGGGCGGTGCAGGCACGCGTTCACCAGCGCGTTGCGCATGGCGTCGCTGCCACAGGGGGGTATGGGGAAGGGGAACGGGGGGGGAAGGAGGACGGGGAGGTTGGGCGGGGAGGGAAGGGGGAAGGGGAGGAAGGCGGATGAAGGGAACAGCGCGAACGCAAACTGACAGAATTCAGCCAGAAAAGCACCTCCGTAGGCGAGAGGCGAGTCCTGCTACTGGCAGTCTGACCACGCTGCAACAACCAGGAACGACCTGCGAGGGGACCAGCGACTGCACGGGCAATAATAAAATAAGGGTCATTACTGTCCGTTGCAGACAGCACGGACAGCGCGGTGGGTGAAAAATAACCTGAATTCCCTCCCCTCCCTCGCTTGCGCGGGCCTGCGAGCAGACCTGAGATAATACGGAAACGAGTCGAAGGAGACTTGTAACGCAGACGATTCGATAAGAGCGCTCATGACCACGTCTCGATGCAGCTGCCCTTCCTTAGTCAGCGGCCCCACGCCGTACCCGCCGCTCGCGGTGATATTTCCGCCGCCGCTGATGATGCTACTGCTGCTCGTACCCGCCTTTCTTAACGTCTTCTCCTTAGTCTTAGTAGTCTTAGCGTCTTTCTTTGTGTCATTGGTCCGCAGCATGCCGATCAGTAGCCCTAGGGAATAGGGAAACACCGTCGCCGTCACCGCTGCCGTCGCGCCGGCCGCGACGCCGGCGGAGACGGCGGCGACGAAGAGGAGGATCGAACGGCGGTCGATCCATGCGACGTAGGACGAATCCTGATTCATGCTGGCTGTGAGTGAAAGCTCATCCGTAAGCTTAACCGATATTCTGGATCATGAGCACCATCAGTCCTTTCCTACACGCGCGATTGACAAGCAGTTCGGTCTGAGTTCAATTCTCTACGCAACGTTGTCTTTCTGAAGGTGCTCGCACGGTGAACGAACGCTGCGCAAATCCATGGCTCTGCTGCTTGTCTGGGCTGGAGTGTTGCTTTTGGCGAAGTGCAGACTGCTTGTGGCTGTTGTTGTGTCAGAACATCCGATACAGACACAGTCCGTTACGGTTTTACGAGTCAAAACTGGTTCTTTGAGGGGCAGTGATTTCAAAAACCGACAACCTGATATATGATACAAACCTCTATATTGCACCCTGCATTAAACCCCCACAAACGCTGAAGGGACATGAATATCTGTTTACAGCAAAAACTAAAATGCAAAATTCAGCTAATTGCAATGAAAAACAGTCTCAGCTCTTCCCTTCCAAGGTAATTGTGATTGTAACTTCGTTGTCTCCCCTCAGCACTCTTGCCTCCACCTGCACCCACAGCAAAAGCAACCGCATCATGTCAAACATTAGAAACATTATTTGTTAGATAATGTACATATAAAAAAAATAGCCTTGCAACAGGTTTGAACTCGATGCAGAGTTTCCTGGAAGCTCACCTTCTGGCCAACTTTGCAGCGGTCGAGGATGCGGTAGAGGTCGGAGCCATTCCGCACGGTGTTGCCATCAATGCCTGTGATGATATCCCCCAGCACTAGCTGCATTGCCTATGAGGTGTTCCCTAAGTGCCCTCTCAGCTCACCTTCTGGCCAACCTTGCAGCGGTCGAGGATGCGGTAGAGGTCAGAGCCGTTGCGCACAGTGTTGCCATCAATGCCCGTGATGATGTCCCCCAACACCAGCCGCCCGTAGCTGTCCCGAGTCGTCGGCCGGATGCCCTGCACACACCACCGCACACACACACACACCCCAGAAGGCCCTCCATCAGTTGAGCTTAGGACACTTCGCAGTGGCAATGCTGCCAGTACCAGCCACAACCACTCTGGCGTTGTGTATTTTCTTGAAGCACGAGGCCCTCAGGGGCGACGGAGATGCACAGCACTCACCACGTGACTCAGGTGCCTAGAGAAACTCAATGTGCGCTGATTGGTGTAATGTACTCACCGCTTTCCCTGCGGGGCCGGAGGGGGGAGCGTCAAGCACAAGCACGCCAGCCACGCCCAGCTGCTCGAGAGACTGCTCGGGGGCGAAAGAAATCCCCAGCACTGGCCGCGTGACCTGCCCGTACCTGATTATCTGCTCCACTATGCCTGCTACCTGGCGTGCAGGAAAACAGGGGACGAGGAGGAAGAGGAAAAGGACACAGAAGGATACTTTCAGAGATGTCCCACCAAGGTTGCGCCTTGAGTATTAGGAAGGGCAGAGGAACGAGAAGAAGAGATCCAGGAACTACAGAAAGCCTGCCAAATCCAGCCATTTGCGTGGAAAGGGAGTGCGCACGGCGCAACACAGGGCCCTCAGAGCACTGACGGCACTGACCGTGTCAGCGGGAATTGAAAACCCAACCCCAGAGGAGGCCCCAGAAGGAGAGTAGATGGCGGTGTTGATGCCGATGAGGTTGCTGAGAATGCCTACTGAGTCAAGAGCCTACTACAAAAATAACCTCACAAGGCACAGAGGGCAGTGACTGACCGTATCAGCAGGAATTGAAAACCCAACCCCAGAGGAGGCCCCAGAGGGCGAGTATATGGCAGTGTTGATGCCGATGAGATTGCCGTTGGAGTCCAGCAGCGGACCCCCGCTGTTACCCGGGTTGATGGCCACTGGGGAACACATGCCTCACAGGCCTCACAGGGGCACACAAAACACTGCCAGCACTGACCGTGTCAGCAGGGATAGAGAAGCCGACACCGGATGAAGCACCCGAGGGCGAGTAGATGGCGGTGTTGATGCCGATGAGGTTGCCGTTGGAGTCCAGCAGCGGACCCCCGCTGTTACCCGGGTTGATGGCCGCATCCGTCTGTATCACGTCCTGGATGGGCCGCCCCGTTGCTGCACTGCTGATCTCCCTCCGTAACCCACTGCAGGGAGAGGAGCGGGAGTGGGGACCGGGAGGAACGGAAGTGGTTGTTGCATCCATCAGAGTCGCATTCTTCACGCTTATTTTCCTTTACTTTTTTATGCCAAAAGGCACAGACTCGCAATGAACATGAACACACCAATTAACAATGAAACAGGGAATCAAACAGAAAGGCAGAGAGAGGACCGAGAGCACAGCCGCATCAGGGAATGAAGTGTACCTGATAACGCCTGTGGTGAGGGTGTGGTCCAACCCGAACTGCATAAGTGAACCACGTGTTGGGAGGGGCAAAGGGAGGATGCAGAGGGGAGTGGTGATGATGAGAAAATGACGGCATGCAAGATGCCCCCACCATGCCATGGCATGTGGTACAGGCACAGAGAAAGGGGGACGGCGGGGAAGAAAGTCCATGAGAATTCCCACGCCACAAGCCCATCTGACAAGGCACAGTACCGTGCCAAACTGGCCACCGTACCATTGGCACCTGGTTACCACACACTGCACTCTGACTGGGTTAGCACTCGCTGCACACTCACAAGGTTATCTGGCTACCACACAATGCACACTAGCCAGCGCTTATGGTTACCACACACTCCACCCTGTCAGATTAGCACTCACTGCACGCTCTCAAGGTTACCGGTTACCACGCTCTCAAGGTTACCGGTTACCACACGCACTGCACACTCACGGGGTTCCCAATGGCGTAGACGCGCTGCCCCACTTGCAGGTCGAAGGAGCTGCCCACTCGCAGCGGGCGCAGCTTGCTCCTGGGCGCATCAATGTGCAGCACTGCCACGTCCTTGTCACGGTCGTATCCCACCACGTCAGCCGCGTACACTGATTGGTCCGCCAGTGTTACTCTGTTGGCAATGGTGGAAGCAGCAGGCGGGAGCAGTGAAGGTGAAGGACACAATGTGGCACCAGTGCTGGGCATGGCATACATCGCATGATGGCATGCTGGCGCTGTGCCTGGGAGGGGACGTTACACTAGCAGTTGACGTTCGAGGTCACACAAGTGGTTGTATGTTCAAGGTCTCTCTCGTAATTACCTTTCAAAGTCACACTGGTGAATGACGTTCATGGCCGCATTAGTGGTTGACGTGTAAGGTCAAACTAGTGGTTGACGTTCAAGTTCACACTAGTCGTACTTCAAACTTTCCTCTTCTGTTCAGCGTTCCAAGAACCAGTGTAGACACACACAAACGGGCCCTCCCTCACCTGACTCCTTCAACTTAACTTGACTTGAATTGACTTGACTCACCGCAGGTCGCTGGAGTTGCGAATCACGTGGTAATTCGTCACCACGTGGCCTTCGCGGTCCCAGATGAACCCCGACCCGGACCCCTGCGGCACCTCCATTACGTCAAGTGTAAACACGTCCCTCCGCACGGCCAGATTCGTGATATACACGACACTCGGGGTCGTTTCGTTGAATAGTTGCACCGTCGCCTGCTCGTCCGGCATCAGCTTGCGCGGCGGTGCCTGCACGATGGCCGTCGCCGGCGCGCTGACGGACGACAGCAGCACGGCGCTGACGGCCAGCGACACGAACAGCCGGCCGGCTTCTCTGAGGATGTCGGATGGTTCCGGGAGGTTGAATTGACGGCTCAGATGCGACCGCCAGAGGGCGAGACGGTGAACCAGGACCGTCCATGGGGCTTCTGATGGTGACGTTGACAAGAGATTCTGGTTGAGCTGATCAAACGACTCGCTGAACGGCTTTCGCGAAACAACCGCCTTGTCACGCGCTTCAGCTCCGCCGCCTGAACTCCATCCATTAACGAGTTCATCCCCGTTTGAAGCCTCGCTGCTGCTGGCATTGGGAGAAATGGTAGCAGAGACCGCGACGAGGCGACGTGAAGAAGCAGTGCCGCGGACACCACGGAAGCCTACGCCTCTAGAGGCCGCTAAGCTATTCGTGAAGAATCGCTTCTTGCCGAGAGGCGAAGTGGATGAGCGTTGAATGAGGATAGCACACGAGGAAACTGGAGAGCTGGGCCTGGGTTGCCGTGAGCTAAGAGAATGCTGAACGCACGACTCGGGGGGAGCAGCGCAGAACGCGCCTTGGGATAGGCCAAGTTCCATTGTGCTCACTGACACCGGATACTCGACCAAGCGGGAGAGCTATCGGCCTTGAGTGCTGGTTGCTCCCTAGAGCGTTGCACAGATGCTGCGAGTTGTACGCAAACCTAGGGAATTCCGATGTCAGTGAAGATGTGAGGTGTGATCATTGGAAGTACCTTTTTGAAGCAGCTGCGTGGTGGTGCAGGAAAAGCACCAGCTCGGTGCGCATCCGTGGATCTGTCTGTGTACAGATCAGTTCGGTATGGTTTTTTCTGGTGCGCAATGATCCAAACGGGTGAACAGCGTTCCAGAACGGTGAACATCAAGGACCGCTCCCACACGCCAGAGCACCAAGCACCCAGCAGAAATTCGGGAAATTTCAGGATGCGTGAGGTTCAAGAAATCGTGTGGAGATTTCGTCCATGTCAGACGAGGCTTGTATACGTGGACTGTACACGTGTATTCGTCTGGTTATTACATGCTGTACAGGGTCTCCAGAAGGCATCAGATTTTCAGTTCACTGCGGTTTTGTGGGATGCGCTACTCGGCAAACCGGCTCGCCTACTTTCTTCCACGATTTTCGAGCTACTGGTAAGTGGAATCTTGTCACAGGTCCTCATGTGGGAAAAACTACCGCCTAGTTTATTTTCATGGATGTGAGTTGATCCTCCTTACGGTATATCTGACAAAGGATTAATGGCCAGAGCGTTATCAGACTCAAATCATATGTGATGGCCCAAATCATCTGACAAAGGATGACATGGTAATCACAGCCGAAGGAACTTCAGGCCAAGCTTCATGAATGGAAGACAAGACATAAACAAACTTCATGAGCTAGTTCTAGAATGCGAAAAAAAATCAACAATAAATCGGTACATTATACTTTATATATGAACATGTTGGGATCCAGGTCTAAGCAGCAAACGATTTGCCACATCCACAGGTAGCGGAAGCGTTAGGGTTGCTGAATGAGAAGCCACCACCGATAAGAGCGTCGCTGTAGTCTAGCCGCATGCCGAACAGAAAGAGAAGGCTCTTGGGATCACACACTGCGAAAATGAAAGCGAATACGAGAAGAATGTTGAGAAACCGGTAATCATAGAGTACTCTAAGAAACCGGGAAACATCAAGCGACAATCAACAGAGGCGTCAAACGGGCCTCTATAAAGAAGTACGCACCCATAGAGAAGCCTTGGTAGTCGACAATCGAGTCGCCTTCCTGGATGTTGCCTCGCTCCTCGAAGTCCATGACGTACGAGAAGCCTGAGCAGCCACCCTGTCTGACACCAATGCGCAGCAGCAGATCCTTGTTCAGCTCGGAGCGCATCTTGGTCAGATGCGCCAGAGCCTTCTCAGACAGCGTAATGGCTGGAGTCACGGACGGAGCCGCCGGTGCTGCCGTCGCTCCTGCAACGTAACAATTTAGGAATGATGTCAGTGAATGCTCATAAACTGAATATGGGATGAGGGCACGCGTGTTAATGTGGCAGGAGATGGACTCGTGTGAGATTGAGGATAGAAACGGGGAATTGCCTACCTCCAGCGCTGCATCGAACGGCGGAGAGGCGTTTCTGAGATCGGAAGGCTACGGACTTGCTAACGCTCTTCGCGCTAGCAGAGTGGGCCTTCAAGGTTGCGTGCTGCCGTGGAGCACTGAACAGGGATGCGCTAACGAGGGTCGAGGTCGCAAGAGCAGCCATGGCCAAGGTAGGAAATTATAACGAGCTACAAAGGTCTGAATAGAATAGGAGCAGGCAGAACCGTCACAGCGATTGCTAATACACTATGTGTTTCAGTCAAAAGTGCAAGGTTAGGGCACTGCGCACAGCAATAGCGACTGACGATAGCACTAGAAGTGAGGCGGAAGCTGAGATGTACTAGATTGTTCGGACGTGTGTCCTGTAATTCTTGAAGCCAAAATGAACATCTATGGCTGGGAGGAAGAGGTGGTCAGTTCAGTGCATGTGTGAGTGCCAGCAAATGGGAGAGCAGGGAGCAGATTCCATTCATGAACGAGACTTGACGACAGGGCAAGGTGAACCGTGCTTGCGAAATGAATCTCTCGCAGAGAAAAATATCTGCCCTGGAAGGGTAACCAATATGGCAGTTGGCGAAACAGGTGTCCACGACACAAAATGGTCGGTGAGGAAACACTCTCATGATATCTATCTTTGCCCCGAAAAGGCATCAGCGATTCCTGTTTTTCCACGTGGACTAACATATGTACGCGCTTTTGTGCTCGTCTTCGAATCAAACCACAGGTTTTTAGGACAATATGTCAAGAAGGCTTTACAATTAGGGTAAACATCCCATTATGACTCAAAGGTGCAATGACAGATCAATTTCCTGCATTGCAATGGCCTTGCATGAGGATTTGACTAGGTGCGCCTTTTGTTGTATGGCTGGCCGGCTACACGCACGCTCAAGCGAAACACAAGAAACAATCAATGAGGCTTGCTTGGCAAGAGCAAGCTTGGTAGACCCAACTTGTGTGGAAACTAGTTGGGGCAACACTACTGGGTTACACAGCACTCGTGCACGCCTCTTACACCCCTCTCTGGCTGCTTCCTCCCTCTCCTCCATCTGCTTATTCACATCAATCCATCGCATCGCATCGGAATAAGACCGCTTGCGCTGCGCTGCATGCACTTGGCTCAGCATGGCACTCACCACCCGCTGAGGCTGCTGCGGTTGCTGCTGCTTCTGGAGCTGCTGTTGCTGCTGCTGCTGCAATTTGCATGCAACGTCAGCACGAATCAATGAAAGGCCCCTCGCCAGCACAAGGGAAGGTCTGCGGGAAAGTGAGACAGCAGGAACGGCACTGGAACCCATCTCCCGAGCGAGCTTACCCATGCAGTCCACATCTGAACTCTGAGGTGCCTCGCAAATCTCCTGAGGAAGCATGGCCATACGATCGGCGTCGGCACTGCGCTGCTGCAGCAGCAGCCGGTTTCTGCGAGGCACTGGTGCCACATTCACTGCACCTGCACCCCCAGCTGCTCCCGCCATGCCACCCCACTCACATCCCACCTGCTGCTGCTGCTCCCTCCCGCCCACACTAGACCTCCCTCCTGCCCGTTCTGCCCCTCCTGCCATTCCTGCCCCAGCATGTGGATGTTTGTCCCAGCCTACTGACTCATCCACCCATCTTCCCCCGTCCCCCCTCCCCCCTGCCTCGAACCCCCCACTCAGGTGCCTCCTCATGTGCCCCCCTAGGGCAGGCCCTGAGGCAAAGAGGGCTCCGCACACGCGGCAGGGGTAGCCAGAGGGAGGGGGTAGCGGGGAGAGGGGAGCGAGAGGAGTGGTATGGGGGGAGAGGCGAGCAGGGGGGGGAGAGAGAGGAGCAGGAGGGGGGGAATGGGAAGCGGGACCGGGCAAGGAGAGAGGGGAGACAGGAGAGTGGTTGGGGGAAGGCGAGGGGAGCGGAGAGAGGGTGGGAGCGGCGGGGGATAGAGAGGAACGCATGGGAGGCAGGAGGGGAGCAGAGGGAACGGTGGAAGCAGAAGCCGGAGGAGCAGGACGTGCAGGGCGAGAAGGGCGGGAGAAGGAATGAACGACATCCTTCTGTGGAGACTCATGGCTGCTTCTGTGGGTCCTGATGCGTGCATCCCCTCTCCCATCACCATAGTTGCTGCCTCTGTCTGTGCTGGCCCGCATCGGTGAAAACGTAGGGGCTGATGGGGAGGGCGTTGGGAGCAGAGCCAGGCTGATCTCCGTGCACACTGCAACTGCAGGGGAAGCTGTGACAGCAGCTGTAGCAGGAGCTTTACCGGCTGTGGCAGGAGTTGGAGCTGTGGCAGAAGCCTCAGCTGTAGCAGGAACTGGGGCTGCAGCTGCAGCGCATTCAGGGTTGGGACTGACTGCACATAACTGTTTCAACTCGTTAACAGAACCCTCGTTAGCAGCACAGGGTTCCGAGGGTGACTGTGAGCACTTCACGGCCGAGTGATGATGCTGGGACAGGTGCTTCAGAGGCGAGAGTTTCAAGGGAGACCGATTCACAACGGGGGGAGGTTGCAGCGCCAAGTGAGTCACGGCCGAACACGTCAAGGCCGGACCCACCACGACTGAGCGTTCACTAATGATAGATGTGGGACCACAAGGGCGAGCATCCTTCCCACCCTCCAGCTCATAGCAGCAGCCCTGGCCACTCGCACACGGCTGTTGCACCGCATCGCCTGCCTCCTGCCCTCCTCGCGCGCCTGCAGGCCCCAGCAGCCACAGCAGAGCTGCTGTCTTCTCACTCTCGCCACCAGAGGCGTCGTGGGTGCCATGGGCGCGGCTCCCGCCAGGGCAGCTGCTCTCCCTGCCTCCCCCGGCGCTGCTGCGGCTGCAGCAGTGCTGCTGTTGGGGTTGCTGCTGCTGTGAGTGATGCTGCTGGGGTTGCTGCTGCTGCGGGTGTTGACTGTAGTGGCGCCCAAACATTATCCTGGGGCGGTGAACACCCTGCAGCGCAGGGGTGGTAGCTACAGCCATGCCGTGGCAGCTCTTGCCTCTGTAACTCTGCTGCTGCTGCTGCTGCTGCTGCTGGGAGTGGTGCTGCTGGGTGGGGCGGCTGTGGTACTTGTCCCGGTTTGCGAGGCCGTGTTGACTCACTTGACTCTGTTGACCGAGGCGAGTTCCAAAGAGTAGCATGCTGGCAGCCTTGCTGGCAAAACACGTGAACTCGTACGTCCACACCTTGCGGGATAAGAAGGTTTTTAGAAGGAGGGTACCGCGTAATGGGTGAGTTGGCGCTGCTGCTGGCGGCCTTGCTGGAAGACGACGGAAACGCGTGCGTCCGCGCCTAAAAGGTTAAAGGGCTTTTAAGTAACAGGCTACCGAGGTGAGAGGGTTGGGGCTGCTGCTGCTGCTGCTGCTGCTGCAGCTGGAGAAGGTAAGGAGCGAGGTAAGCACTGGCAGGGGGGGAAACAGGTGCAGTTGCTAACTATCGCTAAGAAAAGCGGGTTCAGTATATGAATTAATGAGTACACTCGCCACTTCGGCTCGTCGTGTCCCACCTTTATCCTTCCCAACTTCGCTCCTCCCTGTCCCCAAACTCGCCCCTTTGCTTCTTCTCTCCTCTTGCTTCCTGTCTCCCACCTCGCCTGTCCCTCGCGGCCCTTGTTCAAGACCCCGACTCGATCCACAGCACCTGCTGCCGTGCCTTGTGAATCACAAATCTCAGTCGGCTGTAGCAACGGCTAGCTGCTAGAGGTTAGCAGCTAGCGGACTGGTACCCGTGAATCCCTAGGGACGGGCACTTCTGGAAGAACGATCTGCTTCTGTAAAAAACACGGGCAGATACAAAAAAGAGGTCAGATTCGCGAACCACAGAATGTTGTTTCCGCGAGCCTGCAAATGTCAGCCAATTCCCGACGCCTCAAAAGTAGACTGAAGGGGTGTGCACCTGTCAACCACGCAGCTGCTGCTACCTTTCGTCTGCTGTCTGCCTCCGCTGACTCAAAAGCAGACCGAGGGGTTCACACCTGTCGCCTGTTTCGCCCGTCCCTTGCCCCTCACGCAATATTCCTTCCCCCTGTGTCTCCCACCGCGTTTGCAACCCGCACAGCAGTCGACAACTCGACACGGCGTGTGACGCGAGCCGCGTGAGCGGGAGAGGAAGCTGACACGCACACGGCGTACGCCGAGGTAGCAATAATGGAGTATATCGGAGCACGGGGAACTCCCAAGGGATAATGGCGCTCGCGACTTGCAACCGCGAGACGCGTCGTACAGACTCGGCTTTTGAGGCGCTTCAAAACACACACGGGATCGTCAATCCCGAGAGTCGCACGTCTGACTGCAACGCGACGAAACGACGGACAGCGCGTCTGTCAGCATCCAATCAGACGCGAATCAGTTGACGGCCGACGGTTGACCGGCTTGATTGGTTTATATGTGCGACTGTTGGGTCGACCTTGGGATTTACGAGCCAAGCGTCGCGAGGGAGCGACAGTGCGCGAGGAGCGGCTTTCGGGCAACGGGGAAAGACTCCGGACAGTCTAAGCGGACATCTGACCTGCGCGTTCAGCTGGGGTTGAGACAGTACGGACAAGGTGTCGCAGCGATACTTCGAAGTCTAAGCGGATATTCGACCCGGGTGTCTAGCTCGTTGAGACAGTACGGACGGGATGTCACAACGCCAGCGTCGCAAGTACTGACAGCACAGAGGCCGTTGACAGATGGACTGGCGTGCAGCTTATGCAGACAGCAGATACTTAAGCCAGCTCACAACCGTGCTGAACGGCGTAAACCGGTGCGCTGGACTGTGGTTGATCCTGATGCTCTGTCGATGACGTCTTAGCTCTTGACTACTTCGGCAAAATATCAGTACCAGCTAAGCAGAAATCGGCACAGCTCGGCACAGTACGGTCCAGCTCAGCACCGTACTGACCGCTGGTGGTCCACGTGGACGGGTCGGTACACCCTTCTCCTCGCACCGACGACCTTGGGATCTCCTCTCGACGCGCATCGACATCGCGACTGGTAGCTTTTGAAAGCTTAAGGAATCTGTGAAGGCAGGATTCGCGGTTCGGGTGGATGCCTCTTTTAGTATACCTTTCCTTGAACGAAAGCCGTTTCGAGCCTGTCAGGTCTGAGGTCACTCGCAACGAGCCGTGCGATCTGTGCGAACAGTGAGATCTGTGGGATCTGTGCGACCTGTGCGATCCGCGTCCGACGCGGTGACTGACACATCGCTAAGCGACTCTTAGTCGCCACTGAGCTCATGATACGGCGACAGGATGAGCGACAGCAGGATGTGCGACAGCTCGACGACGGAAAACAGGCGGATGCGAGGAAGAGCGGTATGACGTGCGATCCTGCAATAGACACCAGCGATCGCAACCAGACCGCTCTGCGACGCACGAGGACAGCTGCGAGACATTATGCGACAAGCGTCCTCCCAGCAGATGCTCGTGCGACGAAAACGAGTGTGCGACCTGGCTGACAGCCATTACTAGGCTGATAGATGAGAAGAAACATGAGTGACAAAATGACAGCCAGCAGTCCTGAAGAAGAGACTGGGTGGAGAACTGAGGGATGAAATACGGTTCCAAGTGGTGAATGCAGGTCGAGATTCGAGAAGAGCTTTAGAGCGGATAACATAGTACAGTGCATGCTAAATTGGCAAGGATTACCTATACGATTAACGAAGATAGGCTTGCGGGCTTTCCTCCCCCCCTGCTGCTGCCACCCCCAACTCCTCCCTTCTCCTCCCTGCTTACCGTTTGAGATAAATTAAGGCGAGGGTGATTGCAGCGAATGTAAGTTTACCCTTCTTCATCAACTTGCTGTCAGAATAGCAAGCAGAAAGTTAGAACAGAAAAGAGGGTTTGCACTAGCAGGCAGTTGAGTACATATAGGAAACCCTAATTTGGGCTATACTCGCTATAGAGTACCCCACTGCAGGCTAGACAAATATCACATTCTGACACACCCCCATAGTCAAAGTGGGGTATAATCAGCACAGCAAGCAGTCATAGAGCAAGTTCACAAGTACAAGCAAAGCTAGAGGCATTCACAAAGGGCAAGTGAGGAGGAGGAGGCGGGACTGTGAGAGGAGAGGAGATAGGAGGCGACGGCTGAAGCTGCAGACACACGGGCAACAGGAGCGGCTGGCACAGCGGCTACCGGAGCAGCGCCCCGGACTACTGGAGTAACTGGCTCCGCGGCTAAGACGAGCGGCAGGAGCAACGGACCCACGGGCGACTGGCGCAGCAGGCTCGCTGGGCTACCGGAGCAGAGCCCCGGACTACTGGCGCTGCTGACGACACGACGGCTGCCTCCGCTCAACCTCCCCCAACTGTCCCACCCCCCTTTCACACACCCCTTGCTGCACCCCTAGCTCCACTCCCACGTCACCCCCCTAGCGCCACTCCCTCGGCTCCCACACACCCACCCCCCTCAGCGGCAGCTGCAGCAGTGGGAGACGGAGGAGGAGGAGGAGCAGGGGACGGCTCACACACCCGCCACCCCCATACCCGCCACCCCCATACCCCCAACGCAGGGCAGATACGCGGGCAGCAGCTGGGGCGCTGCGACGGGCGACGGGCAGGGCGGCGCGCGGGCCCCCAGGGCGCCGCGACGGGCGACGGGAGGGGGCGACGCGCGGGCCCCCAGGGCGCCGCGACGGGCGACGGGCAGGGCGGCGCGCGGGCCCCCAGGGCGCCGCGACGGGCGACGGTATGGCGGGAGCCGCGCGCGGGCCCCCAGGGCGACGCGACGGGATCGCGGGGGGCGCGCGCGGGTCCCCAGGGGCGACGCGACGGTCGACGGGGGGGACGCGCGGGTCCCCAAGGTGACGCGCGAGGCAGTAAACCGACGCGCGCCTCGGGGCGCACGGCGGGCAGCGCGCGGCGGGCAGAAAACCGCCATGCGCCCCGAGCGCGTGGCGGGAAGAAAAAACGCCGCGCGCCACGGGGCGCGCGACAGACAGGACAGCAGCGGAAGCAGGTGGGCCCACAGGCCAGGAGCGTACTCGCTCTGATACCATGTTAGAATAAGCAGGAATGAATGAGTGAACTAGGCAAGAGGTGAGTACAAGTAGGGGAAACCTAACCCTAAAGTGTTGTACTCACTAAGGAGTGACCCTACTGTAGCCTAGAGATACAATTGTAATTTGACACTTGCTGTCAGAAACACAATACCAGGAACTCTGAATGGACGAGTTGAAATTCTTATGCATGGGGAAAGCATTTCCTTACACCTATCCATTATTTCCCATCTCATAGTTTGTACAACACATGGTTCTCCCTACACTACATATCTCTTATCTACCAACTCGTTGTCAAAAAACACATTGAAGAAGTTGAAGATTTATGCCAACACAATCAGTGCACTTTCAATCCCTTGCTGCACCTTCGTGCCCACGAGCACTATCAGCATCCAGCATCTCAAGGCATTTCTCCGTTGTCGACAGGCTAGCGCACCGCTCAAGTGCCATTCCCGTTGTCGGCAAAGGCGGTGCCATACATTGCAGAGGCTGCTGGTGCAAACCTGCAAGCACACTCAACCCAAAAAGTTAGGAAACCCAACGGGCATGGGTAGGGATGGGTTGAGTGCACGTGAAAATGCGAACAGGCCAAATGCAAGCTCAATTCGAAACCAAGATCCTTCTCACCCAATGCCTCCTCCGCTTCTGCATCTTCCATGAGCGCATCCAGATGATTCCCCATGTGTGCAGGCCGGTCTGCTTCCGTCTCGCCCAACCCAGCACCCATCACTGCAAAACCCTCCTCTTCCATTGCCCTCCCGCCTCTCTCCATTCCCTTCTCGTCCCCCCTCGCCATCCCCCCCACCAAATCCCCGTAATACTGCAACTGGCCAACAATAGAATTCTCCTGATCCTGCACATTGCGGCCGCTCGGCACGTGATAGCTGTGGCTAGGGTCTTCAAAGCCACCGCTTGGCTGCCCGAAACCGCGAGAAGGCTCCTCGTATCCACGATCACCGGGAAGAAGAGCCATTGCAACAGCAGTCTGCCAGCTCCCTTCGAAACCCTCCTTCAAATCCACGTTCGCAACTCCACTCAAACTTGCCTCTGCTCCTCCTCCTGTTTCCTTCTGTGCCTGCTCCTGCGCCCCTCCCATACCTCCTCCTTTTTCACCCACCGATTTCAGCACCGAATCAGGCCTGAAACCCTCCTGTATACCTCCATTCCTACCAGCACCAACGTCATCACCAGCAGCAGCGGGAGCAGAGGCGGTGGTAGCAGCGGCAACGGCGGCGGTGGCAGCAGCAGCAGCAGTAGCAGTTGCGGACCCAGCAGCAGCAGACGTCCCGTCAGTATCAGGTGGGAGTGTGGGGGTCCTAGGCAGGGAAGGCACGGAGAGCAGCCCGAGAGGGCGGGGCGTGCGCCTCTCGGAGGAGGGTTGCTGGGAATCCATCTGCAGAGGGCCTTGGGTAGGAAGGAGGACGCTTTCTATCTGCTGCTGCTCATTTCCCTCATTTCCCAGCATGACACTCCCCTGAAAGCGATTGATGGAGCGAGTGAGAGGAAGTGAGTGCTGGAGGAGGAGGGACTGCGGGGGAGGGAGGGAGTGGGGCTGAGGACGCACGTCTGGTCTGTGCTGGAGGAAGCCAAAGGTGGAGGTGGTGTGGGGAGGTGGGAACTGGGGTAGGATGTCTTGTGTTATGCTGGAGACAGTAGGAAGAGCAGAGAGAGGGGCTCGCGAAAGGGTGATAGGTACGGTGGCAGAGAGTGTGTTTCGAGGGGTGATGGGGACGGCAGAGAGAGGGACAGGGTGCGTGGAGAGGGCGAGGACGGGTGCGGGAGTGGTGGGAGCGGCAAGGATTGATGGGCTGGCAACGGTGGGAGGGGCGGCGAGCACTGCTGGTGGCGCTTTCTGCTCCTTCAGCATCTGCTCGATCAAGTGGTTGTGCAGATAAGGCAATGAAAGAGAAAGGGGATGATAAGAGGTGAGTTGATCACGAGATCAATAGTGTCGGTAATGTTTTCCATTCGGAAGGGAAAGGAAGGATAGGTGGAGGGAAGGTGGTGAGAGGAAGGTGGTGAGAGGAGGCCATAATGCCAATCTGTAAAAAGGACTACCAGTCTCACCAGGTGGCCAAATTCGGAGCGGAGAAAGCTGATGGTGTCGCCAGCTGTAAGACCGTACTTGCGAATATAATCTCCTGCGCATGGCAAGAGCAATGCAGCATACAAGTTGTGCATACTGCGTGCACCCAAGTTTTGCTAGGTAAACAGCAATGAGTCCCAGCAGTCGCGCTCACCTGCATGCTCCAGCACGTACATCCCGCTCCGGTTGTGAGACCGGAGCAGCAATACGACACATAAGAGATAGTTTTCACATGTGTACCCAACTTCTCACATGTAAGCAAGAATGAGTCCCAGAAGCCGCGCTCACCTGCATGCTCCAGCACATACATCCTGCTCCGATTGTTAGGCCAAAACCTGCCGAGAGAGGCGCACACAGGAATCGAGACACAGTGTCAGTCAGGCCCACACCACCATCCACACATCTGCCAAGAGCACTACCACCACCCACACCAGCACCAGAGGCACCATGCACCATCACCATCGGAGCAATGCACCTGTATCAGAAGCACCACTGGCCGCCAATGGAATCCTAGACGATGATAAGGATTGCCTCCTTGCTCTCCATGTGCGGCAGGAAACACAGAGACCTACATGCCGGTACCAGCAGCACCGTGGAAGCAACACACACCTGTAGCGGAAGCACCACTGGCCGCCCATGGAGTGCTCTCAACAATGATGAGAATGCCCTCCTTGCTCTCCACGTGCGGCAGGACACACAGATACCGCCACCAAGAACACTCATACCACACATATTACCACTATCGGAGCAACATACCGGTATCGGAAGCACCACTGGCCGCCAATAGAGTCCTCTACGATGATGAGAATGCCCTCCTTGCTCTCCACGTGCGGTAGGAAGCGCTCTGCCGGCACCTTGGGCAGCACGACCCGGCCCAGGTGGCCCGTGTCACTTGCGGTCAGCAGCTTCTCAAGCAGCACGCCTATTGACTTGCTCTGAGAGTGGGGCGATCGGGTGGTGTGGGGGGACAGTGGGAGCGGAGCAAAAGAAGAGGCGTATCAATAACATGCTGGCACCTTGGGCAGCATGACCCGGCCCAGGTGGCTCGTGTCGCTCGCAGTAAGCAGCTTCTCGAACAGCACGCCTACTGACTTGCTCTGGCCGTGGGGCGATGGGGGAGAGGGAAGTGCAATGGAGGAAAACGGGAGAATATGGGGGGAGGGGAAGGAAGAATCCAGCACACTGGGCAGCATTATCCTTCCCTGTAACATGAGAACATTGGAGAAGCATACAGCTGCAATCAGGCAAACCTTAAATTGAAGCCATAGTTTCGAATACCTTGGAGGCTTGGAGCCATATGCCCCCACTACCATGTAGCCAAAACCCTTCCCTACCTTGGAGCCATAGCCACGGAAGCCAGTGCCTGTTGAAGGAGAGAGATCCTGATTGGACACGCCTTGCAGCTGCTTCGGCGTGCTGCCAGCAGAGCCGCCCGACACGTCAGCACCACCATCCACGTCAGCAGGTGTCGAAACAGCAGGCGAAAACGAGAAACAAGAAAGAAGGGTTTTCACTAGCATGCAGTTGAGTACATATAGCAAACCCTAATTCGCGCTGTACTCGCTACAGAGTACCCCACTGCAGGCTAGACAAACATCACATTCTGACACACCCCCATAGTCAAAGTGGGGTATAATCAGCACAGCAAGCACGCAGAGCAGTAGGTTCACAATTACAAGCAAAGTTAGAGGCAGTCACAGAGGGCAAGTGAGGAGTAGGAGAGACTGTGAGAGGAGTGAAGATAGAAGGCGACGGGTGAAGCCGCAGACACACGGGCAACAGGAACGGCGCGCACGATGGCTACCGGAGCACTCAACCTCCGGACTACAGGAGTAACTGGCTCCGCGCTAAGCAGCAGCAGGAGCAACAGACCCACGGGCGACTGGCAGCAGCAGGCTCGCTGGGCTACCGGATTACTCAACCCCCGGACTACTGGCGCTGCTGACGTCACACCGGCAGCCTCCTCTCAGCCTCCCCAAACAGTCCCACCCCCCTTTCACACACCCCCTGCAGAAACCCTAGCTCTACTCCCACGGCACCCCTTAAACCCTAAACCCTCGGCTCCCACACACCCACCCCCCTCAGCGGCCGCTGCAGCAGTGGGAGACGAAGGAGGAGGAGGAGGAGGGGAAGGGAAGCACCCACACAGCACCCCCATACCCGCCACCCCCAAACCCTAACGCAAGCAGGAGCGCAGGATGCAGTAGGGGCGGTCTACGGAGGGGAAGGGAGGCGGCGGGTGGGTCTCCTGGGCGCCACGAAGGAGCAGGGCGCGGCCCCCCCCCGGGGCGCCACGGCTGGCGACGGAACAGGCCGCGCACGGGCCCCCGGGGCGCTGTGACGGGACGGGCAGCGCGCGGGCCGCGCGCGGGCCCCCGGGGCGCCGCGACGGGCGACGGGACGGGGCGCCGCGCGGGCCCCCGGGGCGCCGCGACGAGGCGACGGGAGGGGGCGACGCGCGGGCCCCCAAGGCGCCGCGACGAGGCGACGGGAGGGGGCGGCGCGCGGGCCCCCAAGGCGCCGCGACGAGGCAACGGGAGGGGGGGGCCGCGCGCTGGTCCCCAGGGGCGCCGCGACGGGCGACGGGGGGCAGCGCGCTGGTCCGAGGGCGGCGCGAAGGGCAGGGCAGGGCGGCGCAGGACCAGCAGGGCAGAAAGACGGGCAGAAAACTGCCGCGCGCCCCGAGCGCACGGCGGGATGAAAAAAAAAAAAAACGCCGCGCGCTCCGAGCGCGCGGCAGGAAGGAAACGTCGCGCGCCCGGGGCGCGCGAGAGACAGTAGAGCAGCGGAAGCATCGGGTGGGGCCCACCCACAGGATCGACCCGGGGGGTCGACCTGCTCTGATAGCATGTCGAAACAGCAGGCGAAAACGAGAAACAAGAAAGAAGGGTTTTCACTAGCATGCAGTTGAGTACATATAGCAAACCCTAATTCGGGCTGTACTCGCTACAGAGTACCCCACTGCAGGCTAGACAAACATCACATTCTGACAGCAGGCCCTGCCACGTCACCAGTGGCCTCCATGCTGGCAATCCTACGTGGCAGTGCCAGTGCCGTGCCCCTGCTGCCGCCACTGCCTCCGCTGCCCTCCCCTTCTGACCGGGTCAGAGACCCCCTGCGCGTTAGCGGCTCCAAACACAAAGCCTTCACTTCCCTGCATGTCAGGGGCATAGGCAGCCCACATAGAAAACACATAACAAGCACAACACAAAGAATGGAAAGACAGTGGGGTCCGAGACAGGCAGCATAAAAAAGAGGTGGCTCTATTAGCAGCATTGGTGGGGGAGAAACGACTTCTCAAGAGACTTACCAAGAGGTTGGTACCAGGCATACCAGGCACAAACCAGGCACGGCAGACGGTCTCGGAACTATCGGAAATTCTGAGCACAGCAGGCAGCTATCTGGCATGGCTGCATGCAGGCAATTCAGGATACGCAAGCAGCCATACCTGCCTTCAGACTCGGTGAGTGAAGCCTCCGATCGCAGCCTACTCCCACCGATGACTGCCCCGCCACTGCTGCTGCCACTCACATTCCCATGCACCGCCACCTGCCCCGGACTCATCTGCTGCCCCGCACCCACCGCCCCCTGCTCGTGCCCCATCCCTCCCATCCCTTCTCCTCCCACATTCAAACCCCCAGACATCCCCTGCACCCTCATCCTCTGCTGCCCCATCCGCCCACTGCCCCTCGGGGACCCCAGGGATCCCCCATGCCCGGCGCCTCTTCCCCCTGTGTGTCGCCCCCTACCGGGGATATGTGCCCCTGTGTGGTGGGCGCGAAGGGCGAGCCTCCTCTTGCTGCGGTTGCTTGCAGCTACACTGGGGGAGAGTTTGGCCAGGGACGGGGCGTTGGGGCTGGCGGAAGGAAATCCTCCAGCGAGGGGGGAGTGCGTAGGGAAGGGGAAGGAGCCAGGGGTTCTGGAAGAGGGGGAGGGTGCGCCCATGGGGGTGTACGCGCCCATGGGGGAGTGTGCGCCGAAGGGGGGAGGGCTGGGGGGGATGGAGATGGAGAGGCGCTGGAATCCAGCCAGGCGGGGGGAGGGGAGGTGGGAGAAGCAAGGGGAGGAGAACGGAGACTGTTGACCGGGTGAGAAGAGGGGAGATGGAAGGTGAGGAGAAGAGAGAGGGGAGGAGAATTGCGACGAGAGATGGGGAGAGGAGGCGATTCGAGGGGATGACACGCGGAAAGGGTCGCCCCCGAGGGCTCTTCCTGACTGCTGAAGCTGCTTCCTCGCCCAAGGAGGCAGCCGCGACGACCTCTGCAGTCCTGCATCTCCTCCCTCCCCCTCTGCTGCTCCTCCGGCACCCTTCCCCTCGCCGCCCCCCTCCACTCCACCCTGTGTCCCCCCACCAACCCCCCCTGCACCACTCCCCTGTGCCCCATCCACACCAGCGCCCAGTGCCCCACTCGCTCCCTCAGCAGTTTTCTCATGACCACCTGCACCTCCCACGCTCCGCTCGCCCTGACGCTGTTGCTGCTCCAGACCCCCCTCGTGCTGCTGCTGTGCCTGAACCCCAGCAGCCAGAGAGTCACCAGAACCCATTCTGGCTGCTCCTCCCAGCCTGCCTGCTGCTCGCAGATCCCTTTGCAGACTAGCAGACCAGACCATGGCGTCAGTCAGGCCCGCGCTGGACGCACCACCGCCACCGCCACCACCACCAAAAGGCGGGCCGGCATCAAAGGCTAGACCCCTTTCAGGCCAGCCGGTTAGACCTCTCTCCTCCGGAGCAGTGAGCAGGCTCTGGAACGAGGTACCGGCCGGCTGCTGCAGGTACGCTCTGTCCGACATGCTGACGTGGCCCGACGGAATGATGACGTGGCCTGACGGTGTGCGGGTTAGCGGTGACGGGTCCAGGCTATGGTGGTACTGTAAGAATCCGCTCATGCCAGAGCCGCTTGCAATTCCTTCCACGCCAGCCTCTCCTTGACCCATGAGCATTCTACCTTCATCCATCGTCAGCATATGAGAAAGCCCCCCAGATGCTCCCAGCATACCGGGTAAATCATCAGCCCGTGTTATTCCCTGCCCCTGTGACCTCCCTGAAAACTGCTGGCCGTTAAGAAAATCCAGTCCTTGCATCATTGTACCCCCGGTTACTCCTGACCCCATACCCATCCCCATTGCGGACAGGCGAGATGAGTAATCAAGCGCCGATGCCCCATATCCGGCAGCAGCTCTGTGCCCCAAGGAGGACCATGAAAACTGATTGGATTCGCCAGGAGCAGCCAGTGGGTCTTCCCTCATTGCAGCCTGCATTGCCTGCATCATGCTGCCGCCTTGTTGCTGCCCCCCTGCTACAGCCACTCCTGCGTCAAATTCACCCAGCGCACTGAACGCCCTCCCTCCAGGATCCGATGCTGAGAGCCCGCCTTCCAGCATCCCTGTGTAGGCCGCTCCTGAGGAAACCCCTGGCGCTCCTCTTGGTGCTAGTCCGTGGGAGAATCCAGGCATGTGTGCTGCTGCGCTTCCGCTCTCTGACCGGAAGGGACCCAGTGCTGGGAGAGGTTGTGAGGAGTGCAGAGCGGTGAAGCGGTCATTGAATCCAACAGCAGGGGGTGTTGCGTGCCGTCGGATGTCCCACAGGTGCCTCCCATGTTGAGCGGCGGGGATGTCCTGAGGAGTAAACTTAAGAAAGATCAGAAATTGATTTTCCCCAAAACTATCAACCACCACCTTCCAGGACAACAAAAAGGGCAAAAACGAACGACCATTGTAGCCTCCATAACAAGAGATATGGGTACAAGACACCAAAGAGGAACGCATCGCCCTGAAATTATGATGCAAAACGCGCACAATATATTTCCAAGCAAAACTTACTGTTTGTGGCCTGTTTGTTGTAAGCCACTTCTTAAGAAACCGCATGTCCGATCCAAGGTCTAAGCACAGTTCATGCGCTGCTCCAGAGGTCTCTATGCCCTCCAGCCGCCACTGAATGGCTTCTCCAAATGCTCTCATACGCTCCTGAATGAAGAAAATGCACAAAAAGAGGGGTGGTGAGGCATTAGGGGGTGAAACACTGGGATGAGATGCATGTGGAGGTGACTGGAGACATAGATGGCATGGGCGAATTCCAACTGATGATGTAAAGCATGAGAGCAGTTGCATACCTCTTCGCTGGGCAACAATCTCTTCCTTCTCCCGGCCTGCCGCCTTGTAACCTCTGCTGGTCCTCCTTCTGCTCCTCCTCCTCCTCCTCCACCCCCTGTATCATCACCATGAGAAAACAACAAGAGTGGTCCCTCGGTCAGCTATGTGTCACTTCAGATCATGCATAATATCGTTGCGCAATTAAGCTATTTACGGAATCATGGATGATGCAGCCAATCAAGAATGCATGATAAAGCCAAGAAGGCACGTATGATCAAGTCATTCGATCATGCATGATCTGCTTGAACAGTCGAACCAACAGTCGAACATGCTTGAACTATTAAGCCATGCACGAAGGAACTAACCATCACTCATGTATGTCAGTCAAAGATTTTTCATAGCAATCCCACTTTGATTATTACCGGAGGGTGGGGAGAGCACACGGTGGCGAGGGCCTCGAGGGCTGCCGAGGGAGTCAACGAACAGCCTTCTCCGCACGTTCAGATTATCCGCTCCTGAAATCGTCACCTCTTGCAGCCCTGTCAGGTTCACATCCCTCAGGCCTTCCGAGGCTGCAGGAGCGGATCCATCATTAAGACCCCTACTAACATCAGTAGGAGGTGTCACAGCAGGTTGTGCAGCAGGCTCCTCTGTTCCTGCCCTTTGAGCGTCTGCGCCGTCTCCGTGATTCCGAAAAGGTGGATTCTGTACATCAGCTGCCTGGATTAGAGCCAAGAACGAGGATGGTTCCGGGTTGGCATTGGTTTGCCCTGTGGATCCAGATCTGTCATCCGTTGCAAATAATGGCACATTTCGCGGAGAGGGAGAGCTGGGATTTCGTGGAATGTCACTTCTAACGCAACTGAGTGGCATCTCGAGTTTATGCCGCTCAGGAGTGGTAAAGCCAAGCGCTTTAGCGCCATGGTCAGCCTCATCAGAACGAGGCGATGGAAGAGTACAGATAACGGTGTCATTGTTAACACGAGCAACCTGCAAGCAAACGAAAAGCCAGTATTAGTATGCACGATTTGATCCCATATGTTAGACCCCTGATGAATGCAAAATAGTGATAGAACTACCTCGTTCACGCCATCCTTGGAACCTCCAGAAGAATCTGGCATGTATTCCCTCAGAGGCCCACCAGAATTAGCATCGGTTGCTATCCTGCAAACAACCACACGCAAAATATTAGTCGATACTGGAAAATGTTAATTTTCATAACGGAAAATATATACTCTTTATCTGCATTTAAATCTGGAAACCCGTAATCAGCGGTGAAACGTGCGGTTCTGCTGATAAAAATGGTCATAATCTAAACATTCGTGCAATCTAGAATAAGACAACAAGGATAAGCCGAAGAATAGAGGCCATTGAGCTACATAAAATCTGAAATGTATCGTTCCCATGATCGGTGCTAGCTTTAAACCGGGGTGCACATTCAGCTGAATGTGCATCAAAGGTTATCCCTTGACTGAGTGGGTTACGAGGTGTGCTTTCAACCCCTTCAAGTCGAAATTCGTTTCCCCCCTCCCCCGCAATTTCGTTTCCCCACGCCCCCGCAATTTCATTTCCCCCTCCCCGTCGAAATTCGTTTCCCCCCTCCCCCGCAATTTTGTTTCCCCCCTCCCCCGCAATTTCGTTTCCCCCCCCTCCCGCCAATCTGTTTCATCCCTCCCGCCATTCGGTTTCACCCACTCCCGCCATTTCACCCCCTCCCGCCACCTACGAAATGCCCGAAGCTCTAGCGGAATCATTTTTTTGTCGCCCCTCGTGAGCCAATCACTGTTTTTCTCCAAACCCCCTTCCCAACATCTCAAGCCGAACCGCATTGAATGTGCACCCTGGTTTTTAGTTAGTGTTAGCTCTGATACCTGCCATGCACGTTTCTCCTGAAAGCCAGCTTTAGCTCCGAACGATGTTCAAAGACGTGGCTGGGAGAACAAACGCGAAGCTGACTCGAAAGGCGTGCATGGACACACGAGCAGCTGCAAGGAACCCACAATGCAAGGGTTTCTAGGCGATTGCAGGACAGGAAGAATTTGGAGATGAGAGATAAGAGGAGCATGAGGGAAGCTTGTAAGCTCAGAAATTGGATTTCCTGCTGGCTTTGAGAGGCAGGAGATTGTGGATTGCTACCTGAAGCAGGAGGTGGCGTGCATTGAACAGATGAGGTTTCCAACCTTGGCATGCTCGAACTCCTCGAACCGCGAGGAGATCCTGGCCGTTCAAGGCTCAATGCAATGCGCGATGGCCAATGTACATGGATTTTGGATGACGCGATAAAAAGATAAAGAGTCTACACTTGTGTCCCTGAGCATCCAGCATACGTATGCACCTCGCCATCATACAATATGCTTTACTAAAAAGCATGGAAGTATGGATATATGATCCTGCCTTACAAGTACGTAATATCGTGCAATAGATTTTGGATGCCTGAGATCAAGGACATCCGTGCAAGTACCATCAGCAGCTATTTTCAATTAATAGATGCATATAGCATTCCAAATTATAAGATCCCAAAACCGATACGGTAGTATGAAGTTAAAGCCCGAGTACCGCATGGTATTTTTCAAGTTCAAGATTCTTGAATTTGAAATCGCAAAAAACAGGGTAACCCTCTTTGGTTTGAAACACAACGCGACCCAGGGAAAACCTCTTGCGACCCTCACTCCTGATTGGTTTCTGTACCCAGTCGCACAACAGATCCGACCATCGCCCACAGTGTTCCCGTGATCACCTCTCACATATCTTGAAGACCAAGTACACTAGACTACTCACGTAACTAGGAAACGCGCGGCAGGGCGATAAAGGCTAGCTCTGGTAAAGACGTTTTTTTCCATCCAACTCTAGTCACTCACGCTGTCTTGCCCACAGCTGAGCAGCACAACTTCATGCCAAACACGCTATTACCGTACCATTTTCGCATGCCATACACGGATCCGTTCTAGCGCACGACACGCGCAATGCTCGTAAATGGCATTCCCGAGTCGCGAGTCGCTATCCCGCTTACATTCCCTCCCGTCGTTCGATCCCTACCATCACTGATCACTCGTCCCTCCTTACGTGCCGCCCTCGCTTCCTCTCTTGTCGTCGCTTTCGTTGCCCGTCGTCCCTCTCCATCACCCTCGCGTCTCCTTCCTTTGAGTCACGCTAGGTCCATACTTTGCCTTTCCCGTCACCCTCGTCACCCCTGGCCGTCGCCCTATTTCGCCTCGTCGACCGTAACTCCCCTTAAAAAAACGTTCTTTTTCACATCAATCTTGGATTGTTTTATTCATATATACATATATATTTTAGTCGCCCGTAATTCCCCTATCCCCCTCGTCTCCCTCGCTTCCGTTCGTCGCCCGCAATTCCCCACGCCGCCGCGATTCCCCACGCCGCCGCGATTCCCCACGCCGCCCGCGATTCCCCACGCCGCCGCGATTCCCCACGCCGCCCGCGATTCCCCACGCCGCCCGCGATTCCCCACGTTGCCGTCGCTCTCGTTTCCCCCCGACGCCCGGCTTTCCCACCACGCACCACACGCCTTCCCCCCCACATACACCACCCACCTTCCTCTCCCCACACCACCTGCCTTCCCCCACACACAGCACCGACCTTCCTCCCCCCGCACCACCCGCCTTCGCCCAACACCACACGCCCTCGTGTTCCTCCTCATACCCGCCCTCCTCCCCCCCACATACCCGCCCTCCTCCCCCCCACGTACTCGCCATCCTTCCCCCCCACATACCCGGGACACAGGAGGAGGGTGAGAGGGGGAGGGGGAGAGGGGGAGGGAGAGAGTGGGAGGGACAGAGGGGGAGGGACAGAGGGGGAGGGACAGAGGGGGAAGGACAGAGGGGGAGGGACAGAGGGGAAATGACAAAGGGGGAGGGACAGAGGGGGGAGGACAGAGGGACAGAAACAGTGGGGGAGGGAACGAGGGGGAGGGACGGAAGGGGAGGGAGAGAGAGGGAGGGAGAGAGGAGGAGGGAGAGAGGGGGAGGGAGCGAGGGGGAGGGAGAGAGGAGGAGGGAGAGAGAGGGATGGACAGATGGGGAGGGACAGAGGGGGAGGGACAGAGGGGGTTTAAAATATGGTGTTGGACGGGAGGGGGTTGGATGGATTGTGTGAGACAGGGGGGTGATTTGAAATTGGGGAATGGTGTGAGATGGAGGGATTGTGTGCGATGGAGTGATGGCGCATGGAATGAGATGGCGTAGTCTGCACATTGCTCACTCCCGTCCTCTCTTCCTCGGCTCCCTGCTTGCCCCCATCCCCTTCCATGCTTCCCCCCATCCCCTTCCCTGCTTCCCCCCATCGCCTAACCTGCTTCCTCCCATCCCCTTCCCTGCTTCCCCCCATCCCCTTCCCTGCTTCCGCCCATCCCCTTCCCTGCTTCCCCCCATCCCCTTCCCTGCTTCCCCCCATCCCCTTTCCTGCTTCCCCCCGATCCCCTTTCCTGCTTCCCCCCGATCCCCTTCCCTACTTCCCCCCATCCCCTTCCCTGCTTCCCCCCATCCCCTTCCCTGCTTCCCCCCGATCCCCTTCCCTGCTTCCCCCCATCCCCTTCCCTGCTTCCCCCCATCCCCTTCCCTGCTTCCCCCCGATCCCCTTCCCTGCTTCCCCCCATCCCCTTCCCTGCTTCCCCCCATCCCCTTCCCTGCTTCCCCCCGATCCCCTTTCCTGCTTCCCCCCGATCCCCTTCCCTACTTCCCCCCATCCCCTTCCCTGCTTCCCCCCATCCCCTTCCCTGCTTCCCCCCGATCCCCTTCCCTGCTTCCCCCCATCCCCTTCCCTGCTTCCCCCCGATCCCCTTCCCTGCTTCCCCCCATCCCCTTCCCTGCTTCCCCCCATCCCCTTCCCTGCTTCCCCCCGATCCCCTTCCCTGCTTCCCCCCGATCCCCTTCCCTGCTTCCCCCCATCCCCTTCCCTGCTTCCCCCCATCCCCTTCCCTGCTTCCCCCCGATCCCCTTCCCTGCTTCCCCCCATCCCCTTCCCTGCTTCCCCCCATCCCCTTCCCTGCTTCCCCCCATCCCCTTCCCTGCTTCCCCCCGGTCCCCTTCCCTGCTTCCCCCCATCCCCTTCCCTGCTTCCCCCCATCCCCTTCCCTGCTTCCCCCCATCCCGTTCCCTGCTTCCCCCCATCCCGTTCCCTGCTTCCCCCCGATCCCTTCCCTGCTTCCCCCCATCCCCTTCCCTGCTTCCCCCCATCCCCTTCCCTGCTTTCCCCCGATCCCCTTCCCTGCTTCCCCCCATCCCCTTCCCTGCTTCCCCCCATCCCCTTCCCTGCTTCCCCCCATAATCTCCCTCTCCATGTGTCCTTCCTCTCCCTATCGCTGGCAGTTCCCCCCGTCGCTCGCTCGTATTTCCGATGCTCGTCACCCTCACTCGTTGGGAAAATGCCCGTCGCAAGTGCGGGCGCTGCGCGTCGGCCAGCCTTTCTCATTCTGTTCCGCCCACCCTCTCCCATTCTGTTCTGCCGCCATCTCTCATTCCTTCCCACCCTCTCTCATTCCCTCCCACCCTCTCTTATTCCTTCCCTCATTCTCTCATTCCTTACCACCCTGACCCATTCCTTCCCACCTTCTCACATTCCTTCCCACCCTCACGCTCCCATACCTCTCTCTCCCTTCTCCCACACTCTCTCTCTCCTTCCTCCCGCACTCTCACTCTCCTTCCCACCACCCTCAGCCCTCCTTCCCCCCACCCTCTGCCCTGTTCCCATCTGCCCTCCCAATCCCTGCCTTTCCCTCCCTGCCCTGCCCTTCCCTTCCCCATCCCTTCTCAACCCTTCCCTTCCTTTTCATGCGCTCCCCTTCCCCCTCACTCTTCACCTTCCGCCCTGGAGTTCCCATGCATGTGCACCCATCACTGTCTCCACATACATGCTTTCATCATGTGCGCTTGCTTGTGTTCCCTTGCAGTTGTTCCCTTGGCACCTCACACCACCTCCCCCATGTTCCTTCACACAATTCTTTCTGCCTACTCAACTCCCCTAATGTTCAGTGGTGAAGCAGAGGAGCAAGCTGAGGCGCAGCTAGAGCTGGTAGTCCATGCTTTACACCGTAGCACCACCTGTTTCTTGTGTGTTGTATGTAAGCATGATATTGTATCACTGTTGGATATATCCATCTCAAAGGCAGAATATGTACCGTACTTTTGTTTATGCAGTGTAAGACATTCTTCCAAGATGCATGGACACTAAGAGTGTCAGAAAGGTAGATAGAGGTGTCAAATTATATATACATATATGTTTAGGTTATCTAGGCTGCATGGTGGTTAGCACTAGGGGGTACAGAAACTCTCTCGACACTTCACTCTTGTACCCCATCCTTGACCTAATCTGACCATTCCCCTTGCCTTAGTCTTAACATGGTATCTAGAGCAGGAGGTCTCTAGGACCTAAGAATCGGGCCCACCTAACTGTTTTACCACGTGCCTGCCTTGCCTACTGCCCGCGCGCGCCTCGGCTGCAGCGCGCGTCACTTTTTTATTCCGCGCGCGCCTCGGTTTCTAGCGCGCGCGTCACTGATTTAGCGTGCGCGTCACTGCTTTTCGCGCGCGTAGAGCCCGCGCAGCCCGAGTAGAGCCCGCGCAGCCTGCCGCCGCACGCAGCCCGCAGCCGCGCGTGCAGCCCGTCGCCACGCGCAGCCACGAACAGCGCGCAGCCCGTCGCCGCGCGCAACTAGGGGCCGCGCGCAGCTCGTCGCCACGCGCAGCCAGCAGCCGCGCGCAGCCCTCACTCGCACGCAGCCAGCAGCCGCGCGTGCCCTGCCCGTGTGCCTGAATGCGCGGCCCGCTGCTGCCAAGCCCGCTGCCTTAGAAAACGTGCGGCCTGCTGCTGTCTAGTGCGCCTCCTTCGGAGCTTGAGCTACTGCCTGTGTAGACTGCTGCCTACTGCCTCCTGTCTACTGCCTACAGTCTCTGGCCTTGCCTGCGGCCTGCTGTCTACTGCCTACTGCCTGCTGCCTTTGCCTGCTGCCGTTATGACGACGCCTAATGTTCTCGCGTTCGAGCCTGACGGTCGCCCCATAGAGTTCGCTGTGTGGCTTGACGACCTGCAACTGTTCCTTCTGACTGATGCCAAAGAGGGCGTTTCACTGTTCGATTACGTGTCTGGCACTGCCGTTGCTCCTGCTGCCGATGCTCCTGCTCTCGAACGCTCACAGTGGCAGACTCGCGATGCTGCTGCACCCCTAGCTATTAGGAACCATCTGCCGATCACTGAGCGCGCGCATTTCAGCCAGCACAAAACTGCTAAGACGCTGTACGACGCTGTAGTTGCGCGCTACTCCTCCCCGGCCACTGCAGCCATAGGTCGGCTCATGCTACCCTACCTGTTCCCCGACCTTTCCTCGTTCACCACTGCTGAGGACCTCATCTCCCACCTGCGTGCTACTGACACTCGCTTTCGTGCCGCCCTCTCAGCCGAGTTCTGCGCCGCAAACCCCCCCCCCCCCCCCGATGTACTTCACTCTCTATTTCCTCGTTACCCGCCTCCCTGACACTCTTAGCTCGGTCAGGGACCACTTCCTAGCGCTAGACCCCCCCACTCTCACTGTCGACGACTTCGAGAAGCACCTCCTAGCAGCAGAGAAGAACATCCTCGCTGTAGGTGCTGCTCGTGGCACTCCTCGCTCTCCCCTCTTTGAGGGGTGCTGCCCCTCCCCTCTCACCCCCTCCTACGCCTCCGCAGCTGCTGCTCACGACTACCTTGGTGCTGAGGAGGTCGGGGCTGCTTCCGCTCCTAGTGGGAAGCGTCGCAGCAGCAGGGGCGGCAAGGGTGGCAGGGGCGGTGGGGGTGGCGGTGGAGGTGGCGGTGGAGGTGGCGGCGGGGGAGGTGGAGGTGGTGGAGGCGGTCGTGGGGGTGGAGGTGGTGGAGGTGGTGGTGGGGGCAGCGGAGGCACTGGGAGCGGTGGAGGTGGCAGCAGCGGCAGTGGGGGAGGAGGGAGCGGTGGTGGAGGTGGTGGTCAGGGCCAGCAGCAGTCGCAGCAGCAGCAGCAGCGTCAGCGCCAGACCCCCACTTCCCAGCAGCTTCTTGACTGGTATGCCGGGCGTGGGGCTTCTGGGGGTCCTGGTCGCTGCCCCTATATGATTCGCACAGGTCCCCGCACTGGTCGCCAGTGCACAGGGTTTCACACTGAGCAGCGCTGCTTCGCTCGGCTTAGCGACGCCTGGCGCGCCAAGTTTCCTGATGCTACTGAGTTCCCCAACTGGGCAGACCTGCTTAGGCGTGATGTACCTATCTTTGATCTTGACTATGAGGCTATTCTTGCTGCCATGTATGCATTGACTGTTAGTGCTGAGGGTGACTGCTACTTGTGTGTGCCGCCTGACCCAGGTATAGCCCCAGGTATAGCGCCTGTGGCACTAGGTGCTTGTGAGTCTGCTCCCCCTGGTACTGCGTCCGCACAGGCCTTGCACACCTTCACACTTGACTCTGGTGCTTCCCGCTGCTTCTTTCGCGACAGCACCACAGTCATTCCCCTCCCTGCACCTGTTCCTGTCTCGCTGGCTGACCCCTCTAGGGGCCCAGTGCTTGCACGGTCTTCCACTGTGCTTCCGTGTCCGGCGGTCCCGTCTGGTGAGCTGTCTGGTCTCCACCTCCCCTCGTTCTCTACGAACTTGGTGAGCAACGCCATCCTTCAGGATCACTGGGTTGACACCTTTACTCCTGGAGGACACCGTGTGGCGATCTGCACGTGCTCCCGGACCGGCCGTCACCTGGCCACGTTCACACGTGCGCCTGGGTCTAGTCTGTACACCCTCACCACTGCGTCACGCTACACCCCTTTGTCTCCCCAGCTGTACGCGTCTGCTCAGGTAGCTACTCAGTGTGAGTGTCGTCGCCTGTCGCACGACACTCTTCTGTGGCACCACCGCCTTGGTCACCCCTCCCTGCCTCGCCTTCGTAGCATGCACTCTCGCTACCTGGTCTCTGGCCTTCCTGAGTCTCTGCCTGCCCTCCCTCCCTCGCCTGCGTCGCCCTGCATTCCTTGCGTCGAGGGGCGGCAGCGCGCCGCTCCTCACTCCTCCTCGTTTCCTCCCACAGAGGCTCCCCTGCAGACCCTCCACATGGACGTGTGGGGCCCAGCCCGCGTCCGTGGACAGAGCCACGAGCGGTACTTCCTGCTGGTCGTCGACGACTACACGCGTTACACCACGGTCTTCCCCTTGCGCAGCAAGGGGGAGGTCCCTGATGTTTTGATCCCCTGGATCCACGCTGTTCGTCTCCAGCTTCGCGAGCGGTTCCAGTCGGACTTTCCTGTCCTGCGTCTGCACTCTGACAGAGGTGGTGAGTTCTCCTCAGACCTCTTGGCAGCCTTCTGTGCGGAGCACGGTATCCGCCAAACGTTCACGCTTCCGGCCTCTCCGCAGCAGAATGGGGTTGCTGAGCGCCGCATTGGCTTAGTCATGGAGGTCGCTCGTACCTCCATGATCCATGCGGCTGCCCCCCATTTTCTGTGGCCGTTTGCGGTCCGGTACGCCGCGCATCAGCTCAACCTCTGGCCCCGTGTCTCCTTGCCGGAGACCTCGCCCACACTGCTGTGGACGGGGAAGGTTGGCGATGCGTCGCGTTTCCGGGTCTGGGGTGCTTGTGCCTTTGTCCGCGATACCACCGCGGACAAACTCTCCGCTCGCGCCATTCCCTGCGTCTTCCTTGGCTTTGTCCCTGACGCGCCTGGCTGGCAGTTTTACGACCCAGCCTCGCGCCGTGTCTTTCCGTCTCAGGACGTCACCTTTGACGAGTCCGTCCCCTTTTACCGTCTCTTTCCCTACCGCACTGCCCCTCGCCCCCCCCCGCCGCTCTTTCTTGCCCCAGGTCCTCCCCAGGTAGACCCCCTCCCCGCACCAGGTCCTGCTCCTTCAGGTGTTTCTCAGGTAGACCCTCCCGTGCCTGCGCCTGTTGAGGTCACTGGTGACTCAGGTCCTACTGGGGGTGGTGCTGTCTTTGGGGGTGCTGAGCCTGGGGGTGCGGAGCTTGAGGGTGCTGAGACTGGGGGTGCGGAGCTTGGGGGTGCTGGGCCTGGGGGTGCGGAGCTTGAGGGTGCTGAGCCGGGGGGTGCGGAGTCTCGGGGTGCTGAGCCTGAGCGTGAGGAGCCTGGAGGTCCTGAGCCTGGGGGTGCTGAGTCTGGGGGTGCGACGCCTGAGGGTTCTGAGTCTGCTCCTGCGCGGTCTCCTTGGAGTAGCCGCCTTCGCACGCGTGTGCCTCTCACCTCACAGCAGCTGCACGACTGGTACGGTCGCCGTCAGGGTCGTGCTTCTGGAGCTCGGGGCTCTGCCGCTGGAGGTACGTCTTCTGACGCCACTGGAGCTGGGAGTGGTGCTGGTCCCGGAGGTGCTCGCACTGGAGGTGCTGGAGCTGCTGGGGCTGGAGGTCCTGCTGAGCCTGAGGGTGCTACTACTGGAGACCCTGGGTCTGGGGGTGCTGTTGCTGGAGACACGGAGGGTGGAGACCCTGGGACTGGAGGTGCCGGTTCTGGGGGTGCTGCTGAGGGTACTGGAGCTGCTGGAGGTGCTGGAGCTGCTGAGGGTGCTGGAGCTGCTGAGGGTGCTGGAGCTGCTGGAGGTACTAGAGCTGCTGAGGGTGCTGGAGCTGCTGGAGGTGCTGGAGCTGCTGAGGGTGCTGGAGCTGCTGAGGGTACTGGAGCTGCTGGAGGTACTGGAGCTGCTGAGGGTATTGGAGCTGCAGGAGGTGCTGGAGCTGCTGCGGGTACTGGAGCTGCTGGAGGCGCTGGAGCTGCTGCGGGTGCTGGAGCTGCTGAGGGTGCTGGAGCTGCTGGTGCTGGTGGCACTGCACAGCCGCGCCTGTTCTTTGCTCCACCGTCTCCGTCGTCTCTGCCACCGCCTGACTCTGTACTTCGCCAGGTTCTTAGCCTCCCGTCGTCTACTGGTCTTCCGTTACAGCCTGGCTCACCTCTGCCTGCTCCTTCTCCTTACGCTGAGCAGACAGGGGGCTTTACTGAGCGTCGTGAGCCTGCGTCACGTCCTGTCTCACTTGTCCGTTCTGGTCGGTCCAGTCGTCGTGTTCCTCGTCAGCGTCCGCCGGCTGTCCCCGGTCCTTCCCTTGTAGTCCGTCGTCCTTCCTTTCCTCTGCAGCGTGTTCATCTGCCGTCCCCTCCGGAGTCTTCTCTGCCTGTTGTTCCGGACCCTGAGTCTGACCGGTTTCGTGCTGAGCACTCTACTGTCACGCGTCTGCTAGCCACAGTTGTCACTGACCCGTCGTTTGAGTCTGCTGCTGCGTCTGCCTTAGTCGCTGAGCTTGTTGCTTTGCTGCTGCCTGTCGTCTAGACTACGCTGCTAGTCTTGTTGCTGAGTCTGAGTCTGTCTGTCCTCCGTCCGTCGGGGGTGAGTGTGCTCTTGGCACGGACGTCCTTGAGGACAGGCACGAGGACCTTGAGTGTTTTGCAGCCGCTGCGCCTCATCTTGTGTCCATGCTGCTTGCCCCTGAGGGAGACCCGGATGCACCAGACATCCCGACCCCGCGCTCTTACGCTGAGGCGATCGCGGGTGAGTACTCCTCTCAGTGGCAGACAGCCATGGATGCAGAGATGGCATCCTGGAAGTCCACAGGCACCTACGTCGACAAGGTTCCCCCTCCTGGGGCGAACATCGTCAGTGGCATGTGGATTTTCAGGGTGAAGCGGCCGCCAGGTTCTCCGCCTGTCTTCAAGGCTCGTTACGTTACTCGAGGTTTCAGTCAGCGAGAGGGGGTTGACTTCTTCCAGACCTTCTCCCCCACCCCGAAGATGACCACTCTTCGGGTGCTGCTGCACGTTGCCGCCCAGCGTGACTACGAGCTTCACTCTCTTGACTTCAGCACAGCTTTCTTACAGGGCAGCCTGCACGAGGAGATCTGGCTGCGCCGCCCACCTGGCTTCACTGGGTCGTTCCCTCCTGGTACCCAGTGGAGCCTCCGGCGGCCGGTCTACGGTCTCCGCCAGGCGCCGCGTGAGTGGCACGACACACTGAGGACGACACTTGCGGCTCTTGGGTTTTCTCCGTCGACTGCTGACCCGTCGTTGTTTCTGCGCACCGACACTTCACTGCCGCCGTTCTACATCCTAGTGTACGTCGACGACTTGGTCTTTGCCACTGCTGACACTGAGGCTCTCGCCCTGGTGAAGTCGGAGCTGCAGAAGAGACACACGTGCACAGACCTGGGTGAGTTGACAAGCTATCTTGGCTTGCGGATCACCCGGGACAGAGCACGCCGCACCATCACACTGACTCAGTCACACATGGTGCAGCAGGTTCTTCAGCGCTTCGGCTTCACCTGGTCCTCGGCACAGCCCAATCCTCTGGCTACAGGTCACTTGCTCTCAGCTCCACCTTCGGACGAGTCCGTAGAGCCGAGTGGTCCTTACCCAGAGCTAGTGGGCTGCCTCATGTACCTGATGACCTGCACTCGTCCTGACCTTGCGTACCCTCTTGGCCTTCTGGCTCGCTACGTGGCTCCTGGGCGGCACCGAAAGGTGCACATGGATGCTGCTAAGAGGGTACTCCGCTACTTGTGCAGTACATCGGGCATGGGGCTCGTGCTTGGAGGACGGAGCGACGTTGTCCTCACTGGGCACTCAGACGCTTCTTGGGTTGACGACCAGGCTACGCAGCGGTCGTCACAGGGTTACACCTTCAGCCTTGGCTCTGGTTCGGTTTCTTGGCGTTCTACACGCTCGTCTTCAGTTCTCAGCTCCAGTTGTGAGGCTGAGATCTACGCCACAGCCATGGCTGCACAGGAGTTACGCTGGCTCACCTACATGCTGACCGACTTAGGAGAGAGGCCTCGTTCTCCTCCAGTGCTGTACGTTGACAACAAGGCCGTCATTGCCTTGTGTCAGGAGCACAGACTGGAGCACAGAACAAAGTACATCGCTCTGCGTTACTTCCTTGCTCGAGAGCTACAGCAGCGTGGTCAGCTTCGTCTTGCTTACGTGGCCACTCGGGCCAACACTGCTGATATATTCACCAAGGCACTTCCGCCTGGTGATCATCAGCGTTTCTGTACTTTGTTAGGCCTTGTGCCCACGTTTCCTCACTTGCTGTAGGCTTTGTTTGTACTGTGATCTATATATATCTCTGCATGTGAACTGGCCTTGTGGCCTTTTGCTTGTGCTCAGACTGCGTGGTGACGTTGTGATCCACCCTGAGCTGTGTTTTGTTTCTTCTCTTGACTGGTCTTGTGACCGTTGCTTGCTCTGGCTATCCCCCATTTCGCCTATGGGGGTGTGTCAAATTATATATACATATATGTTTAGGTTATCTAGGCTGCATGGTGGTTAGCACTAGGGGGTACAGAAACTCTCTCGACACTTCACTCTTGTACCCCATCCTTGACCTAATCTGACCATTCCCCTTGCCTTAGTCTTAACAAGAGGCATGTTCCTGATACTTTTGATTGTACCTTTTTCAAGGCCTTGAAAAAAACATGAGGGGAACTGGTTTCTCTACGAGTGTGGCATGGGATGATGGGCTTCGGCGAGTTGCTGTGCCAGAAAAATCTTCAGTGGTTTTACTGCAATAGCCAGGGAGAGGGAGAGAATATGAAGGACGGGGAGGGGGAACAAGAAAAAAAGTCAAACAGGGGAGATAGGGAAGAGGGGGCAGAGGGAAGCAGGGGGGAAGGGAAAGGGGGAGATAGGACGATGTGAGAGGGAAAGGGGATAGGAAGAGGGGGTGAGGGAAAGGAAGAGATAGGAAGAGGGATACAGTAGGTATAGGGAGGATAGGGAAGAGGGGAGATAGGAAGAGCGGGAGAGGGAAAGTCGTGAATACCGTAGGAAGAGGGAGGATAGGGAAGAGGGGAAATAGGAAGAGGGGGAGAGGGAAAGCGGGAAATAGGAAGATGAAACGAGGGGAAGAAGAGGAGGAAACGAGGGGAAGCAGGGGGGGAAATGAGGGGAAGCAAGTACACACAGGGAAAGCAGGTAGGGAAAAGAGGTGAAGCAGGGAGGGAAATGAGGGGAAGCAGGGGGGGAAATGAGGATAAGCAGGGAGGGAAATTAGGGGAGGAAGGGGGGGAAATGTGTTAGAATACTAGGAAGTGATGGTGTCATTAGGTCAAGGGGGGGTACAAGAAGAATGTCGAGAGAAATATTGTACCCCCTAGTGCTAACCCCCATACAGCCTAGATAACCTAAACATGCATATATTGTTTGACAAAATGAGGAGAAGCAGGAGGGAAATGAGGGGAAGCAGCGGGGGAAATGAGGGGAAGCAGCAGGGGAAATGAGGAAAAGGAGGGGAAATGAGGGGAAGCAAAGGGGGGAATGAGGGGAAGCGGAGGTGGAAATGAGGGGAAGCACAGGGGGAAATAAGGGGAAGCAGGAGGTTAAAATTAGGGAAATCAGGGGGGGGATAAGGGGAAGCAGGGGGGAAAGCAGGGGAAGCAGAGGGGATAACGAGAGGAAGCAGGGGAGTAAATGAGGGGAAGGAGACGGGGAATGACGGGAAGCAGAGGGAAAATTTTAGGGGAAGATAACAAGACGGAATGGAAGGGCAAGGAAGCGAGGGCAAGGGATGAGCAGGTGGGAGAAGGGCAGCGGGAGTGGAGAGGAGAGGAGGGGCAGCGCGACGAGGGTTCTGGCGCGCTGATGGAAGGGGAGGTGCGGCGAGGTGAGCGGAGGGCGCGGCGAGGCGAGCGGAGGCGCGGCGAGGCGAGCGGAGGCGCGGCGAGGCGAGCGGAGACGCGGCGAGGCGAGCGGAGGCGCGGCGAGGCGAGCGGAGGAGCGGCGAGGCGAGCGGAGACGCGGCGCGGCGCCGGGAGGCGCGACGAGGGGAGGTTCCCAGAAACGAGGGGAGGCGTGACGATGGGACAGGAGGCGCGGCGAGTGGAGGCGCAACGAGTGGAGGCGCGACGACGGGAGGCGAGGCACGAGAGGATGCGCGATGAAAGGATGGGTGGCGCGACGGGGGGTGACTAGACGATGGGTGGGGGAACGCGACAATGGGAAGCGCGGCGAGGGAGCAGCTCGATGAGGGAAGGGGAGGCGGCTTCACTAAGTAGGTTTCTATGTTCTTGTGCTCTCCTCGCTAGACGGATCAGGGATGTCAGGGGATTTTGTTCACGAGAATGAAGGTGTGTGGGGTGAGCGAAGTGTTTCAGTCGCACTCGAGCACATTTTTGGAAATAGCTGTCGCAGAGTTGCGTGACAGCACCATTTTGGTCGCCCCCAAATTTCGCTTTCGCCACGCTCTGATTCTCGAAATTACTGTTTTCAAGGTTTCGCCAAGGCTATTTCAACCTCACATAACTTGAAAAATTACCATGCTGACCTCGGGCTTTAAACCTCCTGCATCATCTCAGAATGTTCACTTTCACGGTACACAGCGGAGGCAGTATATATGACAGAATGGAGCTAGCATTGAAGCTCCAGAATCGTAACAGACAAATCGTCATGCAATTGTCGGCGGTAATCGCCTGCTCGTATTTGAAGGAGTTGTTCAATCGTCATACCTGCAAAAACACAACACATTTGCCAGTCAGACAGGTGACCCAAAACAACCACCACCACAACCCAACTCAGTCATGCACATCGGCAACAAAGCATGGACAAGCTCCGAGCACCCACCTGCTCTTCTTGCAGCTCGATCAAGCGCCTCTTGCACCAGCGCGTGCGAAAGATTCGGCCCACAAGCGCCCTTACACGAACCCCCACAACCACCCTCAGCACTGACGCTGCCAGCACCAGAAGCTTCAGCCGAAGTAGCCAGTGCGCGCGACACAGAGGCTGCAGCGTCGGCAGGGGTCATGTGTTGGTAAAGGCCGTCGGAGGAGAGGACGAGGTAGCGGTGGGAGGAGGAGAGAGTGAGGTGGTGGAGGTGTGGCGAGGATGAGAGGTAGGGCTGAGACCCCACGTACTGCACTCGCAGCATGCCGAGCAGCATGGCGTTGACTCGAGGCTGGTGGAAGGAAGGGAGAGGTAAGCGGAAATAGACACAGATATCGAGAAAAGCTGGTCAGGTTGAAGCACGTGCGGTAGACAATGGGGCAGCGCAAGGCGAGAATGGAGAGAGCATGAGGGCCGGGGGTGGACTAAAAGCAAAGACTGAACGTACATTCTTGAGGTAAGCAGCACCGAACGCCCTGGTGGCCTTGAGCTTGCCCTTGACTCGCATTTTTGTTATCGCGTCAGGGTCGTCGGCCCTCTCCCTCCTCAACCTCTCCACCTCCTGGAACAAACACCAGCGACATACACACACAAAACAGTGCAATGGACGAAATGTCAGTATGAGATACAGATAGGAGGGAGAACAGCCACGGAAATAATAATAATAATAGCAACTAATAATCTGGATGAGCCAGTGCCAGCATTGCTCTCACCTTCTCGTTGCTCGTGTTATGGTCCTCCGTCAGCTGAGTCGCCCGCAACTCCGCCAGCTTCTTCCGCCCTTCCCCCTCCGCCTCCGCCTCCGCCCCCTCTCCCATCTCTCCCCCTTCCCCAGCCTGCCCCGCCTGCCCCGCCTGACCCTCCTCCGCTACGACCACGGCGCGGCAGTCGCCGAGGTTCATCACGTAAAGCTCGCGTCCGGCCACCACGGCCACCACGAGGCACGCGCCCGCCACCGCCAGCTCCAGCCGCTCCACCATTCGCTCCTCTAACGACTCGAAATACGCCGCTTCGGTTTCGCTCAGCGCCGCCGCTAGCGCTTGCAGGACCATCTCGTGCCGCCGCGACGCGTCCGCGAGCTTGCCGTGGTCCCCCCTTTCCGCGCTTTCCGCCGGGGCAAGAGAGGTATTCGAGTTTGCCTCTCCGAAATACAACCCGCGGGCGACTAATTGCTGGGCGAAGCGCGCGTGCAGATTAGCGACGAGAAAATCGGCTGCTGACGTGTCGGTGAACCCGTCATACACGGCGGAAAACACGTAGCCGTTACCGGAAGCCACCACCTGCATGCGGTCCTCCCCCGCCACCCCCTCCGCCCACTCCGCTCCCTCCGCGGACGCGCACGTCGCTCCGCCGTTCCCCCGCCCCGCAGCGTCGCTATTCAAAGACCAGGAGACGACTATCCCTTCCTCCGCCTCTAGTCCTAACAGCTCCGGTTCTCCACCCTCGCATTCCGCTCCCTCCCCCTCGCGCGCCCCTTCCGCGACCGCCGCTTCCGCCGCGCCGCCGTCCGGCCTTTGCGGATTTCCCGGAGCAGGAGGACCACAGGTTTGGCCAAGGCTCATGGTAATAAAATCCTCCCCTCCCGTGGGGCCCAAGGGTCCTGTGAGGCTTATTGAATTCATCGACCCTGGAGAGTTTCTCAGAAAATTCTTCCGACTCGACGGCAGTAGCCGACTCGACGACAGCGACGACAGGCGAATCTTGTCGCCAATCGTCGCCCAGCCCGTTCGCGAGTGATGCTCGCGATGGCTGCGACTGCTCCGCGTGATCCGCCACTTTCCTCGCGAGGACTCGCCTGGCGACCTCGCTGCAGTCTCCTCCTCTTCAGTCACAGCCGCCGTGCCAGTCCACGACACCTCTCGCACTGGTTCCTTGTGGCTGCGACTCAGCATGATCCCAGTGTGCCCCGCATCCACGTTCTGCACTGCGTTTTGCACGGCGTTCTGCACCGCGTTTCGCTCCGCACTTTGCGGCACGCTTTGCGGCACCTCGAAAATAGCCGACAAGTCGCTCCCCTCGTCCGGTCCGTGCGCGGAACCACCGGCGCCGCCTTCATCGAACCGCCTGTCCTTATTCCTCAACCACCCGTTCAAATTAGGCATTGACATACTAAAATTTATCCGCTTCAGCAGGTTCTCCGATCCCCCGTGGTGTCGCTTGACGGAAAGCGACTGCGATCCGCGTTCCGCAGTTCCGTCACAGGGGGAGGAGGCCCCGGAGGATCCGGAGGAGGAGCATGAGCCAAGCGCGGAAAGGGGGAGGTTGGGGGGGAAACTGCGGAAAGACTGTGTGCTAAGGAACAGCTTGTGCGTTATTCCGCCACTCAGCGTGGAATGCGGGCTCAGCGCATTCGCCTCGATCCCCGCGCCGGTTACCGCCACTACCGCCGTCCCGCGAAGAGCAGAGGGAATGGTGATAGGTAAGCTGACGTCAACCGGCGATTGGAGACAGGGGCTTGGTTGGAGAAAATGCTGCTGATTGGCCAGCTTCGCCGAGTCTGTAGCCGTTGCTGCGGCATTAATCGCTGACGCCACTATGGAAGGCCGAGCGGCTTGAGAAGTTAAGAACGTATTGTGTGAGGGCAGCGAGAGACCGTACGGACTAACGGACTGAAGCTGCTCAACTCCTTCCTCTCTAAACGGCTCTGAGGGAGGGGTTGTTATACTGTGAAGAGAGGACGATGTAAACGCGGACGCACCGGGATCAGCGGGGACAGGCGTGGAATGCGCCATGGAGAGGAGAGGGAAGAGACAGTGGGAGCTTTGCACGTCAGCAGTCATGTCCGATGAATAAGTCTGCCGTTAAGAACAGACAAATCATGTAAGTTGATGGAACGGGGAGGTTCTAAACTAGGCCTCTAGTTTTAAGACCTCTATAACCCGTCACGGTTGGCCGGCTAGAAGTCTCTTCAGACTGATCCTCGGCATGCTAACAAGGCGACGATAATGATGGCTTGGCCTGGGTTGAGCTGGTTGGGGAAGATGGCTAGTGTTCCAGTCTGATTTGAATGAACCAGGGCGGGTTCCGCCCGCCAATGTACAGGCGGGAGACCAGGCGGAGAAGGGAAGCAACGGGAGCCACGCGCTGAGCTGTATTGGGAACACGCGGCGAGTGGCCTGCTGCGAGTCTCGGATATATTAGGGCGGGGTGGATTGGTTGAGAAGCTCGGAAAGCGGGGACCACACGTGACAGGGGGACAGTAACGTGCGCCTGGTTCGGTTTGGCGGAAAACAGCCCGCGCGCGATTACGTCAGGAAGCCGAGCAGCGGAGGATGTGGTCTGGTTGGCGAGGCGTTGGCGTCAATGAACAAACTCCCACGCGCGGGCGGCAGGGATATTCACCTTGGAAGCTTCCAGCCAACATGAAATCTCAAGACAAGTTATTCGGGCAGAACTACCGAACAATTTGGCTCGATATTTCATGTCCACCCCCTGAGTCACGACGCTAGAAATTGTGGGTGTGGTCGTGAAGCCTTGAAGGCCAGTGGTGGTCGCAGGCTGGAAATTTTACTGTGTACCGTACAAGAGAAGGAAAATGTCCAGTGAAGCAGAGCAACGGCATAGACGTTCAAATTGCTGCTCAGCTCTTCCTTCACCACAAGCATTTGATTTGCATGCCAGGGCTTACAACCACCACCCCGCCGCATAAAAAATTGCAGCCAATAGTTTCTATGCTGACGACTTCAACCACCTCCCTTTTACAGACACATGGGGCGCTAGCCCCTTCCAAGTTGCAAGTCATTGGCCACAAAGACAGCCAATAATGACAGCCCGGCTGGCATGATTCCCAGCAAGGATTGCCAGCTCACGTCTTCCTTATAGTACCCAGGCGCAACAAGATATTGCCACCACATACAAGTACAGTTATCTTCCATGGTGTTCGAAGTAGGACCCACCATATTAAGTTCAGACACATGTACTCTTCCTAAGAAAAAATGTTTCAGGGAGAGTTGACATACAACATTCTCGAGAAGGAGACATCAGAGCACCTCTTCTGTGTAGTTCAAACGAGGGCCACTCTTTCCATGAACATGTACTGTACTATCCGCTGGACTGCAAATATACAATTCAAAGCCTTAACCCTGCTGCTGGCCTTCTTCCAGCATATATTTTTGGTACCGTACTCGTGGTGGAGAACGCATTCGTTACAAAACCGGCGAGTTTGCACACCCATTTTTTCCTGCATTCGTATTACGAGGTTGATTCAATTTGGACAGTGAGGTCCCCGACACCAATGTCATTAAAAATGGAATGGACATGCTCAAGAACCTTCTGCTCATCCACGCCTTCTCTAACCTGCAAAACAATAAACATATGGCCATTGTAAAAATGCAACTTATTATCCTTTCTTCAATGCTTGTGTTGATACATACCTTAACGTTCTTCTCAACTCAACTTGCCATGACAAGTATGCAGCATGCAGAGCGAAAAGTGTTGTAGACTTACCCGAACAGTGAGTGTCCCCACCACATGTCCCGGGACCACTGCCCAGAAACGATGCTCTATGCATTCTTCTACCCCATCATATGCCGCCACCTGAGAGATGCACACACCAATACACACTAAGCACATAACAACGCATACAAAAGGCTCACTTGGTAGAACTCTCATGTTCGGTGTGAGAACCCGGAAAAAACACCGATCCATGCATCTAATAGCAGGCGTGACATGCGAATTGCGAGTGGAGGTAAGTGAGGAGAGAATCACAGAGACCCACATATTGAATGCAGACGAGCGAAAATAAATGGGAATCAAACACGCACATGGCGAATGCATTTGTGCAGGGCGGGTTCGGAGATGCCTGCAGGGGCCATCTGCAGCAGGAGATTGCCGGACGACTGCACCAATGGGAGCGCGAGGACAAGCACTGTGAGGGAGACGAGGCCCAGGCAGATGGCCTCTGCACTGTACACCCTGGAGATTGAGGCAGGCGCATTTGGGTAGGGAAGGGTGAAAGATTCAGGAGGCTGTGAGCACTTGAGATCCCTGTGACTTACAATAATGACGTGTGCAATGTATGGTAATGTGGAAAAAAAAAAAAAAAAAAAAAAAAAAAAAAAAAAAAAACCGAGGCTCAAGCTCTGAGTGAGTCTTGCGAGGAATCTTAAAATTCTTTTGCGTTTCGTATGAGTGCGAGCAGCATCTTACCCGATGGCAATGAACCACGACGCGAGGACAACCCCACCACTGCAACAGGCAAGGGGGATTGACACGTCACACGAGGAAATGCAGGTTGAACCAAATGGTTGATTAGATTGCCTGATCCATGCAATTAGACTACCTAATGCATGAAGTACATCATGTGATGTGTGGTGTGCGCAAGGATATCTCTGATCACCTGGTGCGTGCAAGCGGATTAACTGATAGTTCCAAGTAGATGACTTGATGGGAGCATGTATTCGTGGTATATATATACCTTCGGATGGAGTCGCAGAGCAGGTGCAGCAGGATGGCGTGATGGTTCATGTCCCTTGGTCTCTGATACGCTGGGGTGGTGGAAACACAGACACATAGCGCAGAGAGAGATGGAGAAGGGAGGCAGAATGGTGTGATGGTTGATGTCCCTTGAACTCTGTTCATACACCCCTGCTCGCTCACCGCCGCACATGCACACAGGCACCCATGGACTCAATTATTGTGGACGAAATCTGATTTTTTAGTATTATAAAAAAAACAGATTCAGCACCCATAGACTCACTTATCGTCCGGCGGGCAAAGCTCTTAAAGAAGAACACTCCGAGGAGGTTGATGAGCAGATGAACCACCGCGGAGAGCACCAGGTAGTGCCTGGGCAAAAAGAGTGACAATGGGTTGCGGGCAACAACAGAGAGAGAATGAGGTGACTCTCAAGTCGCCTCAAAAGTCAGCTCTTGAAGGAGGTTGATGAGCAGATGAACCACTGCGGAGAGCACCAGGTAGTGCCTGGGCAGGGGGAGGAGAGTAGTGTTGAAAGCACAGCAGAGAGCACGAGGAACTGCCTCAGCAGCGGGAGGTTGACGGGCAACAAGAGAGCGTGGGCTTAGCGAAGGGATGATGACTTGGGAAGGTGGAGGATAGCGGAGAGCAGCAGGTACTGGTGGAAAGCAACGACAGAGGGTCAGGGTTTGAGGTGAAGAGCAGGCCAGGAGTGAAGAGCAGAGGTAAGGGATAGGAAAAGCGACAAGTAGGCAGGCACAGAATTGGGGGCCTATAATAGCTCACTTGTGCTCTGCCTCATCCTCGATATAAGCATGCAGGCACTCCACCGCTAGCGAGAAGGAAAGGAAGAGCAGGAAGAGCTGCAGGGCGGGGTGGAGAGAGGGGAGGTGGGGGAGAGGAGGGGGGGGGGAGGGGTGGGTAGCGGGTGGGGTAAGGAGCCAAAAAAAACAAAACAAAAAAAAGTCTCAAAAGTCTGCTAGAGAGAAGGAGAGGAAGAGAAGGAAGAGGTGCAGGGAGGGGTGGAGAGAGGGGAGGTGGGCGGGAGGAGCAGTGGAGAAAGGGAAGAAACGTTTCCTTTAGGGTCCCCTTACTGGTGAGCTAGTCTCTCACAGCTGGAGGTAGAAGGAACAGCGATGAAAAAGGGTTCTGGATTCGAATATCAAAGGCAAACAGCGCATGTCTAGAGCACACGTGGCGTGTTGTTGCACTCAGCTTGGACTCACCCCGTTGGTGAAGGCTGCTAGCACCTCCAGTCTCTCATACCTGGAAGATGCAGCCGGAAGGGGGGAGGGAGGATGCAGAGGGGAGCGCAGGGAAGCATTCAAAGGGGAAAGGGAATGCAGGGGGAGCAGCAGACGGCAGCGGAAAATGCAGGAGTGGGAAAGGGGTTCATAAATAAGAGGTGTGTGAAGTGAAAGCAGGGCGAGGCGAGGGTGAAGTGCCAACAAACAAAGCGATGGACGCATGGACGCATCTGGAGAAGGTGGCACCGGGGCAACCCTTGGGAAGGGGGCACTTGGGGAAACCTGGGGAAGGTGGCACCTGGGGAAGGTGTGCAAAGGTGCAAGCAGCAATTGGCCTACCCGTAGGTGCAGGTAGCATCTGCAGGCCTACCCGTAGGTGAAGGTGGCATCTGCAGGCCTACCCGTAGGTGCAGGTAGCATCTGCAGGCCTACCCGTAGGTGAAGATGGCATCTGCGGGGCGTTTCCCCACGAGCATGGCGGCGAGGGAGACCAGCAGGATGCACCTGGAGAAGGTCGCACCTGGCGCAGGTGTGCAAAAGTGCCAAAAGCGTTTAGCCTACCCGTAGGTGAAGGTGGCATCTGCGGAAGGTGGCACCTGGCAAAGGTGTGCGGAGGTGCAAGCAGCGATTGGCCTACCCGTAAGTGAAGGTGGCATCTGCGGGATGTTTCCCCACGAGCATGGCGGCAAGGGAGAGCAGCAGGATGCAGCAGCCGAAGGAGAGATGAAAGGAGTCGGACACGAGCTCTGCAGAGGGAGGGGTGAGAGGAATGGAAGGGCAGAGGTGAAGACGTCGAGAGCAGGGAGAGAAGGACAGGTGGAAGGAGTCAGACACGAGCTCTGGGAGGAGAGAGGAGGAGATGGGGGCGAGGAGAGGGGGAGAAAGAGGGAGACGGAGTCAGAAACGAGCTCTGGCAGGGAGGGCGTGAAGAGCAAGGTGTGCAAGGTGAGGAGGAAACGGTGAAAGGGGGTCGAGTCGCCTAAACAGAACCGCAGTGAGCGGGGGGCATTCAGAGCATCTGAAGCGCAGGGCGCCAAGCACTGGCTTCGGAGCGAATATCAGCACGCAGCCACCCACCTATTCGCCCTATGAGCAGCCCCACAATGAGCTCTGCAGTGGAATACGCAGAGTTGAGCGCAATCAGCAGCGCCAGCCGCCTCATCTCCCCCGCTGACCGCTGCTGTAGCGCCCCCACCACCGCCCTCCCCCACCACACCCCCCCCGACACTGCCCCCCCCTTCCCCCTGCCCTTGCCGGACGCGGGGGGGAAGGGGGACCAGGGGGAGGGGGTGGGGGGGAATTGGCGCGCAGGGGAGGGGGAGGGGGTGGGGGGGAATTGGCGCGCAGGGGAGGGGGAGGGGGCAGGGGAAGCGGTGCTCCAGGGTGTGTGGGGAGTGCGGAGGGAAGGGGAGGCGGAGGGGGAGGGGGAAGGGACCCAGGGGGACGCTGGGGCAGGGGAGGCCCAAGACGAGAGGGAGGAGGGATCACAATTTCTTTGAATTGAATTAATCTTGCTCCCGTCTCTGCTAACATCCGCGGCACTGCTTGAACCCTCCCTTCTCTCTCTTCCTCCTGATACCACTGCTGCACCTGCTGCTGCTCCTATAGCCGAGTTTCCCCCTTTTCCCCGCTCCCCCCCTGTAGCTTCCGCGCCCATGTGCTGCCTGCGCGCGGAAAACTCCGCCACTGCAGCTGCAGCCGCCGCTGCCGCGCCCTTGCCTAGCTCCGAGCCTGCAGAGGAGGTTCGGCTGGGAGGCGGGACGGCAGGCTTGGCAGAGGAGGGCGTGGACTGGCTGAGACAGTTGTTGTCACTGGCGCTGCGCTTTACACGGCTGTGCTGCGAGTGGGCCGCGGAAGGGGGGGAGGACGGGGTAATGAAAGTGATGGCGGAAAGAGTGGCGGAAGGGGTGGCGGAGGGCGTGGCGGAAGGGGAGGGGAGGGAGGCCGGGGAAGGGGAGCCCGTCTCGTGAGAGGGCAGCGGGACGGAGGCAGGAGAGGCGGAAGGCGAGAACTGCCTGTGTGGCGTAAGTGTCAATCCGTCATTCCCCTCTCTGTGTGGCGCCACACACGCTGGTTGCAGATCGGACGGCTGGAATGAGCCTCCTGACAATACACTTTGCTCAAGCCTGCCATGATCTCGTAGATCTGAACCGTCCGTTTGAATCTTCTCCGCTTCCTGACGAGCCGCACCCCCTGTGACTCTTGCCAGACCTACTTCACCCGAACCAGCTGCAGCAGCTGCCGAACCTGCCCACCCTGATTCTGCTGCAGCCATTGGATTCACCCCTGCCGAGCCAGAAATCCGATCCGCTGGCTCGGCTTTCGTCCCTTTTTGTACCTTACCCTTAATTGGACCACTACCCTTTGCTCCATTACCAAACCTCTCCCGGGCCTGTTTCTCAGCTTCGGCTCGTCGGGTGCTACTAGGAGCCGAAACCGCAGCAGCCTTATCCGGGGTAGCAGTAGCATCGGCTGCTGAGACGAACGAGTTGGTCTTAGCGCTGCTCCGTTCGGCGATAGGAGAGGGCGCAGGGGAAAAGCCGTACCAAGCCCGACCGTTTGGCGACGCGGAAGTGGCGGCGGACCAAGCGGCGGGAGAGACGGAAGGTGTTGCGAAGGCGGGAGGAGTGGCTGATTGCGCTGCTGCTGAAGGTTGCAAAACGGCCGGCTGCGACCAAATCGGGTTACCATTCTGACCAATGTTACTACCCTGGCTAGGGTTTCGCGGGCTGGACTTGGGTCGCGATGGAGTTGAGGCGAGCGTGTGCAGCGGAGGCCCGAATCTCGAGGTTTGCGGAGTGACTTGCGGAGTGGCGTAGCTGGGATCCGGGAGGTCGCCTGGCGATGTCAGAGGAGCGGCGGTCGTAGGGGAAGCGAATGCGGGGCGAGCGGAAGTGGGGGTAGCGAATGCGGGGGACGCGGAAGTGGGAGAAGCGAAAGCGGGAGGCGGAGTGCGGAACGCGGCTGAAGGGGAAGGGGAGGATGATGATGGAGACATGAAGGGATTTGAGAGGAAGGGGTTAGTGGAGGCTCTTGGCGCTGCGTGGTGAGGCCGTGCGTCCCGTTGTGGGTTGGCCATGGCGATTAATGCGAGTAAAATCGTTTCGCGATCAAGCACTAGAACGCGAATGTGTTGTTCGTTGATAGCTATCAGCTCGTAAGAATCGGTTTTCCTCCACAAGCGCTTTGAGACTTTTCGTGCTGTTCTGATCACGCGCGTCTTGCTGCGAGGTACGGTAACGGGATGAGGACTAATCGTCTGGCGAATATCGAGGCACCCCAAGATGCAGACAACCGAAGAGGAGTCGAAATATTCCTACTTTTACGGGTCGCTTTTTCGGTTCGGTGCTTGCAAGATCAATTCAGTTGAACAGGAAAAACGGAAATGGAGGACTGGAAAAACGGATATAATATACGGACGACGTAGCCGCATTCAATAAGCATTGATAGAAACACAGATCAGTCAGATCGAAATGGGAAGGTCAGCATCGCCGTCGTCTACATCAGGCAGCTGTGCGAGTCGCCAAACTAAAGCATGGATTCGATATTACTGCTACCTTCCAGAACGCAGCTCGCTTGATGCACCATCGCTCGCTTGATACCCGCAGGTGGCTAGTTTATGACAGTACAGTACTCCTAAGACTATAATTAGTCCGATTGTGTCTCACAAGCTTCGAATCTGAGCTGCGTGCAGTGCAAGGGGTGTGAGGAATCTAGGTTTCGCGATCTGCGACTGTGAGTTGAATTGTTGTGGTTTGCGCTCTCGGCTAGCTGTTACATATGGGGGAGGGCAAGCTCCAAAATGTGTCGCCAAGTGTGCAAGTGTGCGAGTGTCACGCAACCACGCTACACCTCTTGTTAGTTGTATTGTTTTTCCTAACTTCTTACTGAGTCTTGCCACTACGCCTACAACTCCATTTTTCCCAAGACTAGGCTAGGTCTGACTACCTCGCCTCCCGATCTTGAATCGCATTGCCCTCGGACCCGAAAACCCTAGACCAGCATACCGTGTTCGCCCGGATAGAAGCGCATGTGCACTTCTAATTTATCATGCTAAAATCCAGGACGCGCTTGTAATTATGTTTTTTAAGTGCATGCACCAATTAATTGACACTTACGTTTTATTATTTTGATACATCAAACAGTATATCTCGTCACCGTGGTTTCAATCGATTCAATAAAGTAGTGAGTCGAGATTGAAATATCGCGCTAGTTGGCACGGAACGATTCCCTGCCAACACTTGCAGTCACTTGGCGGCAAAACACTGACTGTTTGAAGCTGTTTGACTCGGCAGCACCAAGCTTCCGACTTCCGAGACTGTTTGTGGATGCTTGAATGAATAGAAACTTGTATAATTTTAAGGCATTTTTCGACATTTCTTAAAGTGCAACTCAACAACACGTACAAGACTGGCCGTTCTTCGCCTGATACTGGCGTTTCGCCACCTTTGCGCGTCACTTTTGCCAAACCATGCACTGCTGGACTGGCCCGAGTCGGCCTTGTTAAGATACTAAGTCACGCTAGGACTTAGGTTTTAGGAAGCTAGCGTGAGAGGGGGTGTCAAGAGAGTTGAGTTGGACAAAAAAGGTGTTGCACTATAGAAACAGTAGTACATATAGGCGAGAGCTAGGGGTGCACCACCAACAAAGTATGACACTACACTATAGTTAATGCAAAGGACAAATTATATAAAATATGTTTTCAACAGGCCTACGCTTCGGCACTAACCCAAAACTTGCTGCCAGCTTCGCACTAGATAGCTCGCACGAGCCGCATTACCGTTTGTTGTTTTTGCTATAAGGTAGAGGAAGAAATCGCGATGCTAACGGAAGAACGTGAATCGCATCAACGCGACGTAAATCATACCCAAATACAAACGCAAGGAACACTATCGCCGGCAGCACCAACAACATCCCGACACGAGAGCGTGGGAGAACGCTCGAGCTCGGTTTGTGATGGAGTCGCGCGCAACGAAGTTCACGACGACCACGGGACGACACACCCCGGAGCGACAAATGTGGGGGACAACCAACAACGCGTCCACATCATGTCGTTGAATGACGGGTCGGCACTTCCCTCGCCGATGCCAGTCAAGCCACAACATTCGCCATGCTTCGAACCGAGTCAAAGGGGTGATCCAATGGTTCATGTGTGGATCTTCACCATAAATGTTTTTTTCGACGCCAACTACGTCTCGTCGGACTTAGCGAAATTTTTATATGCCATGTCGGTATTGCGAGGCCCCGCCATAGATTGGTGGCGCATAATCATCACAAAGTCGAGCGACTACGAGCCGCTACCGTAAGGAGAGCAACTGTCCAGACCCTGGGCACCGTCGTATTTTGTGGAGGTAGGCCAGTATCGCACGTAGGACGCGGGTGCGCATTTCTACAAGGGAGATTTGCGCCAATTGTGATGTCAGTCTCCGCGTGCCAGAAGCTGCGTCGATGGCGCTAGCTCGGTTGTTGCATTATGCGAGCGAGTGGGATACTGTCAAACTTATATGTTGCATATTGTGTAGGCTGTAGTGGGGTAGCCCATATGGGGTACAACCCAATTAGGGTTTGCTACTTGTACTCCTGCATGCTTCTAGTTCATTCATTCTCGTTTCATTCTTCTGACATGGTTTCAGAGCAGGTCCTCTCCTAGGACCATTTTTTTTTAGGGCCCACCAAATCGCGCTACCCCACGAGTCGCGCCGCCCTGTTAGCGCCGCGCTGCCCTGCCCTGCCCTGCGTCACGCTGCCCCGCGCACGCCCTGCCCTGCGTCGCGCACGCCCTGCCCTTTGTCGCGCTGCCCGCGCACGCCCTGCCCTGCGTCGCACTGCCGCGCCGCCTCCCTGCTCGCGCGCCGCTCGCCGCCGCGCGCCTTGCCCTGCCCGCTCGCCGCCGCGCGCCTTGCCCTGCCCGCGCACCGCCGCGTCGCCCTGCCCGCTCGCCGCTCGCCGCCGCGCCCCTGCCCTGCCCGCGCGCAGCTCGCCGCCGCGCCGCAGCCCTGCCCGCGCGCCACTTGCCGCCGCGTGCCCTAAAGCGCCCGCGCGCCACTCGCCGCCGCGCGCCCTGCCCTGCCCGCGCGCCGCTTGCTGCCGCGCCGCCGCCCTGCCAACGCGGCGCTCGCCGCCGCGCCGCCCTGCCCTGCCCGCGCGCCGCTCGCCACCGCGCCGCCTTGCCCTGATCTGCCTGTGCGCCGCCCTGCTGTCCGCCGCCCTGCTTTGCCCTGCCTGCGTACTGCCCTGCTGCTAGCGCGCCCAACTGCTTGGCCTGCGATGGCTACTCTTAGCGTGCTTACATTCGATTCTGAGGGCCGTCCAATAGAGTTCGATGCGTGGCTCGATGACTTACAGCTGTACTTACTGAGCGACTCTAGGGACGGTGTTTCGCTGTTTGACCTCACGTCTGGAGCCTCTCTCGTCCCTTCCGCCACAACTGACAGTGCGACTCGCTCACAGTGGCTTACCCGTGATGCTGCTGCTCGCCTAGCCGTTCGCAACCACCTTCCTTTAGCCGAACGCGCTCACTTTGGCCAGCACAAGACTACTAGAGCCCTGTACGACGCTGTAGTCGCTCGTTACTCCTCCCCTGCCACTGCTGCTCTAGGCCGCCTTGCCCTACCTGTTCCCCGAGCTGTCCGCCTTTGCCACAGTCGCCGACCTCGTCACTCACCTTCGCACTAGTGACGTCCGCTACCGAGTCGCGCTTCCCGCCGAGTTTCTAGCCAAGAACCCCCCTCCGATGTACATCACTCTCTACTTCATCGTCACCCGCCTCCCTGACTCTCTTAGCACAGTCAGGGACCTCCTTCTTGCCCTTGACCCCACAGACCTCACTGTCGACCTGCTCGAGAAGCACCTCCTTGCAGCTGAGACTAGCATAGTCGCTGTAGGCGCTTCTCGTGGCACTCCTCGCACTCCCTTCTTTGAGGGGTGTTCCCCCTCCCCCCTTGTCCCCTCAATCGCTTCTGCTGCCGCTGTTGATTACCTTCGTGCTGAGGAGGTAGGAGCTGCGTCTGCTCCTAGTGGGAGGCGCCGCAGCGGCAGGGGCAAGGGAGGCCAGGGTGGTGGGGGTGTCAGCGGTGGAGGCGGTGGTGGGGGCGGTGGAGGCGGTGGAGGTGGCGGTGGTGGCGGTGGGAGTGGTGGTGGGAGTGGAGGCGTTAGTGGCGGCGGTGGTGGCGGCGGTGGTGGCAGCAGTGGGGGTGGTGGCGGCGGCAGTGGTGGCGGCAGTGGGAGTGGTGGCGGGAGCAGTGGTGGCGGTCGGGGTGGAGCTGTTCAGAGGGG